TATCATGTTATGTCATTTGCAGTGATGTGGTATAGCATTTTACAATGTTTATGTTTAGCAGCTGTTATAACTTGTGTCTTCACTACCTTTTAGAACAGTCATCTGCAGAAGGTTGATGAGCCATACTACCAGATCACCTTACACACAGAGGTGAGAAGAGATTATCTCTCTTTGCTCATAGGTATTTACACATTTACAGGCAGTGTCTAGATGGTGAGGTGCATTGTTGGTGCTTAATACATCGTTGTGTGTGCCGATATTCTGTGCCCTAGGTTGGATGTGAAGCTTCACTCTGTCCTGTAACATTCACTTGCAACAGGGAGCAACTCCAGGTATGGAACTTATAGAACAGCAACTTAATACAAATTTAGTTTTGGGTTGGGCCAGATACTAATGCTAATTGTGGTTGTGAGAATAGTTTTTCAACTTACCATTGAGCTGAAATGATAATAATTGGTGGGTTCAATGCTTTCACACGTGACAATTTGATTTGTTTGGCTATGTTCATTGGTGGAGGGTCTTATGACACACATTTGGCCAGATCATTACCTGGCCCACTAAGAAATAAATTATGAATCAAATTGTTGGCTCAATAATTTGATGCATAGTTCATAATTTAAAGAAAACATAAAATGTAACTGGGAATGGCCAAATACCCTGCTGTAAAAAAGTGCTGCCAATTACCCTATTTGGATTACACATCGCCTCCGACTGCAACATCGCCCTCTACTGTGAAATCTTGGGAAGACTCCTGAAAACAGTCTTGAGGCTCGGTGAGGCTTTTCTGGGTCAACAAGCGTCGTGTTGAGTTTTGTTATTTGTGCTCATGCGTCACTGCCAACCCAGTATCAACAAATACAAAGATATATTCCTGCAGTCACGAAAGCTTCAAATCATATATTTTACAGTTTTGTGTCGAACCAGGACCCATATCTAAGAGGGTCCTTGCCTGTAAACAAACACCTGGCAGTTCACCAGCAGTGGTTTAATCAAGCCTGATTGCTGAGGGGATACCGAATGACACAACTGGTCTAGAGTTTGCTTGAATTAAACCAATGCTGCTGAAATTGGAGTGTATAAAAAAATGGATGTGGAGAGAGACGGATATGGGAAGGAGGCATATAAACTGATTCTTATTTTGTCTAAACATGATAATGCTGTGACTTGATTTGTGATGTATGCACACTAGAGTGATGCATTACTTTGTTTTATATAATCACAGAAACTGTGCCGTATGTAGGATCTGCTGGGAAAACTCAAAGACGCGGCCAAGAGTCTAGAGAAGGCAGCCCAAGTCTGAAGTTGTCACAATGGCTGGCTGGGAAAGCGGCAACAAAGTCCCACACCCTTAATGAAGTCTCCACTCGCACCTGGTGCTCTTCCAACAACTCTCTCGACGTGCCTTGGCCTTGACACATGCATATTATGTTCTTAAGCAGCATTAGTTTTACAAGGTGTTTTCATCGTCCTTTTGGAGTGATAAAAATATCCAAAAATGTTCAGTGATATCGCTTTAGTTAGTATATAAAACGGAAGTTAATAAGATTCACCATACAATTTTGGCTCAGGCCACGTAACGATCTGGCAAAAATAAAGTTGCAAGACCCTCCACTATACGACACGGCCAAACTAAATTAAATTGTCACGTGTGCAATAATGGTCAGGTCACGTACTGGTCAGATCTTTGTGTGGCCTTACCCAAAAGTCAATTATGAATAATAGCATTGGCTGCAAATGCCTATGTGTGACATTTAATAAAGAAACTGTATGGTCTACTTTTAAATAAATAGTATACTGTGCAGTGAAAAGGCAATGCAATGTTTATTTGAAGGCCCAAGCATTCACTTGACATTTGCATAATTGTTATGACACTTCTCTTTGGATTGAAATGTGGATGTTTAAAACATCCAAGTTCCACATGTACTCCTAGAAATACCGTTTCACGTGCTCAATGATTCATATTTTACATGGGAGGTTAGGAAGTGTGAAACATTATTTAAAATTAAACCATTGATGTATGACTTTCCTCTAATATGAACATGTGGAAATGTGTGTGATACATAGTGTTTGTTACAATGTTTGAAGAGAGGCACGTGACCTGCAGTTCTGCATTGTTAGAGCCCACGCTGAACACTGCCGCTTGTGAATTTCATGGTTGCAGACGCATGGTGTGTTGCATTTGTTTTACAAGGCCAATGTACATGACGTTCAAAACGCAGTGGTGGGCGGGAGATATATTATTCCAGATTACAAAACACGCGTTGAATTTAATTTTTAAAGCACTTGTGATTTTTAGAGGGTGACATAGCAGGATTTTGAGGACTAATCTCAGCTGACCTTTCCTGGAGACAATGGTAATCGTGGAAAGATCAGGATGACACTTCTGGGTTTGACCCGGACCGTCTGGCAATTGACCTCTGGGTGGCAGAAATAGATTTTGTACTGAGATCTCAGTATTATGTTGAACTTTAATGTAGCATTCTGCACAGTTTTGATGATAGACCCAGGCTGACTGGGAAATAGGTCTGGGTTTGACCTGTGGTAAAGATGGCCATGTTCCTGGGAGATTGGCACAAACGAGACGGGGTCTTGGGAGGGAGTACCAGTAATCTCACCGGTTCGAAGCGGGATGGTTTGTTATCATTAAATTGCTTCGTTCAGATTGCATTCCGATATTCCCTATACAGTTATGATGATGGTGTCTGCACGTCAGGGGTTGTCCGCCTATGTCCATGGGTAATTTAAGTTGGTGACAATGCAGCTGTGTGTTTAGTTTCAACTGCTGTGTGATGCTCATGAGTTATGATTATATTAAATACGTTGAAATCTGCATTTGTGGTGTGTGCAGTTCCGAGGCTGCATGATGTTCTGGGGTTGTGCTGTATGTGCGAGTCTTGCTGTGAGTGCTGTCTCTATGCGGCGAGTGGTGTCGATGCTGTTTTTGCTGTGGGTGCTGCCTCTGCTGCAAGTGCTGTGCTGTATTTGCTGTAAGTGCTGTTTTCATGCTGTCTGTGCTGTGTATGCTATGAGTATGTTATGTCTGTTGTGGGCGTTGTCTGCTTTGAGTGTTGTATCTGCTGTGTGCTCTGAGCGCTGTCTGTGCTGAGTTATGTGCGTGCTCTCTGTGCGCTGAGTGCTGTATTGTGTCTGTGCCTGTTTCGTGTCTGCTGTCTGTGCTGTGCGTGTGCTGCGAGTGCTGTCTCGTGTCTGCTGTCTATGCTCTAGGTGCTGTCTGTGTTGTGAGTGTGGTCTGTGCTGTCCATAATGCGAGTGCTGTCTGTGCTGTGTGTCTGTGCTGTGTCTGTGCTGTGTCTGTGCTGCGTCTGTGCTGTGTCTGTGCTGTGTCTGTACTGCGTCTGCGCTGACTGTGCTGTGTGTCTGTGCTGCGTTTGTGCTGTCTGTGCTGCGTTTGTGCTGTCTGTGTTGTGTCTGTGCTGTGTCTGCGCTGTCTGTGTCTGCTGTGCTGTGTCTGTGCTGTCTGTGCTGTATCTGTGCTGCGTCTGCGCTGTCTGTGCTGTGGCTGTGCTGTGTGTCTGTGCTGTGTCTGTGCTGCGTTTGTGCTGTCTGTGCTGTGTCTGTGCTGCGTCTGCGCTGTCTGCGCTGTGTCTGTGCTGTGCTGTGTGTCTGTGCTGTGTCTGTGTTGTGCCTGTGCTGTGTCTGTGCTGTCTGTGTCTGTGTTGTGTCTGTGCTGTCTGTATCTGTGCTGTGTCTGTGCTGTGTCTGTGCTGCGTCTGTGCTGTCTGTGCTGTGTCTGTGCTGTGTCTGTGCTGCGTTTGTGCCGTCTGTGCTGTCTGCTGCGTCTGCGCTGTCTGTGCTCTGTCTGTGCTGTGCTGTGTGTCTGTGCTGTGTCTGTACTGTGCTGTCTGTACTGTGTCTGTGCTGTGCTGTGTCTGTGCTGTGTCTGTGCTGTGCCTGTGCTGTGCCTGTGCTGTGCTGTGCCTGTGCTGTGTCTGTGTCTGTGCTGTGTCTGTGTCTGTGCTGCGTTTGTGCCGTCTGTGCTGTGTCTGTGCTGCGTCTGCGCTGTCTGTGCTCTGTCTGTGCTGTCTGTGCTGTGTGTCTGTGCTGTGTCTGTACTGTGCTGTGTCTGTGCTGTGTCTGTGCTGTGCCTGTGCTGTGCTGTGTCTGTGCTGTCTCGTGTCTGTGCTGTGCTGTGTCTGTGCTGTGTCTGTGCTGTGCTGTGTCTGTGCTGTGTCTGTGCTGTGCCTGTGCTGCGTCTGCGCTGTCTCGTGTCTGTGCTGTGCTGTGTCTGTGCTGTGTCTGTGCTGTGCCTGTGCTGTGCTGTGTCTGCGCTGTCTCGTGTCTGTGCTGTGTCTGTGCTGTGTCTGTGCTGTGTCTGTGCTGTGCTGTGTCTGTGCTGTGTCTGTGCTGCGTCTGCGCTGTCTCGTGTCTGTGCTGTGTCTGTGCTGTGTCTGTGCTGTGCCTGTGCTGTGCTGTGTCTGCGCTGTCTCGTGTCTGTGCTGTGCTGCGTCTGTGCTGTCTCGTGTCTGTGCTGTGTCTGTGCTGTGCCTGTGCTGTGCTGTGTCTGCGCTGTCTCGTGTCTGTGCTGTGCTGTGTCTGTGCTGTCTCGTGTCTGTGCTGTGTCTGTGCTGTGCCTGTGCTGTGCTGTGTCTGTGCTGTGTCTGTGCTGCGTCTGCGCTGTGCTGTGTCTGTGCTGTCTCGTGTCTGTGCTGTGCTGTGTCTGTGCTGTGCCTGTGCTGTGCTGTGTCTGTGCTGTGTCTGTGCTGCGTCTGCGCTGTGCTGTGTCTGTGCTGTCTCGTGTCTGTGCTGTGCTGTGTCTGTGCTGTGTCTGTGCTGTGTCTGTGCTGTGCCTGTGCTGTGCTGTGTCTGTGCTGTGCCTGTGCTGTGCTGTGTCTGTGCTGTCTCGTGTCTGTGCTGTGCTGTGCTGTGTCTGTGCTGTCTCGTGTCTGTGCTGTGCTGTGTCTGTGCTGTGCTGTGTCTGTGCTGTGTCTGTGCTGTGTCTGTGCTGCGTCTGCGCTGTCCGCTAGGGGCGCCGCGGCTGCGAGACGCAGCGCGCGGCGTCGCGTAGCGACCAAGGACGCGGCGAGTGCGAGGAGGAGCCGGGTCGGGTAAGAGCCGCACGTCTCTCCATTCCGTCTCCATTCCTCTCCTCCTCATCCTCCTCCTCGCACGCCTCACGCGAGGACGGGGACGATGTCCCAGTGGGTTTGTGGCCGGGGGCTTCTTCCTTGTGGCTACAGCCGGAGGCCCGGCACGACCCCTGGAGACCGCGGACCCGCGGTCTCCACTGGCGACGTCGATGATTGTCTTTGCTGTCCCTGCTGCTTTGAGGGTTGTGAAGTTGTGTTGTTGTTGGCATTGCCGGGCCATTAAGGGCAGGAGGAAAACATTGGTAGAAACCTGTTATCGATTTGCCACGTGTTAAAACAAAACATCGAGCAATAAAACCGAAGTGAGAAACCAAGGGAGCTGCCACATTGGGGTTGATGGTCATCACGGAACCTGAAATTCTCAAACTAAACTATTTTTTTTTTACCAGGTAAGGCCCACTGAGCTCTTTTTCAGAAGCGACCTGGCCACAACTTATACCTCAACGAAGTAACTTATCACGCGGAAATGCATAGCAGCCAAATACTCTAAACGCGTGTGTCTCAATGTGGAGGGGAACCCGGAGGACCCGGAGAAAAATCCACGCGGCAGGCGTCAAAGTCGGGATCAAACCCATGACCACCTGTGTACCAGGCGAGGTAGTTAATATTTCATAGCCACCGTGATGATGATGATGATGAGAGACACGCAACCTCCAAATATACAGCAGCAGGCGTCAGGGTCGGGATAAAACCCATGATCTTGTACACCAGGCGAGGAAGTTAACATCTCATAGCCACCGTGATGATGAGAGAGAGAGACGCAAACTCCAAATATACAGCAGCAGGCGTCAGGGTCGGGATCGAACCCATGACCTCCTGTACACCATGCGAGGTAGTTAACATCTCGAGACCAGAGGTCAATGGTTCGACGCCATTATCCGGCGCGGCACTTGACGCTGTGGTGGAGGCTTCTCGAGCCGCCGTGCACTGCCCCTGCTCACCCAGCAGTCACCACTTGCTACTCCGCAGTGCGTCCATTGTCGGCAATTCGCACGCGGTGGGGTTAAGTGGACGAGTTGACCAAATACCCTCGAGAGCTCACGCCAGTGGATGCTCTTCTGCCGGCAGTGGCGTGAACCGGCAATTTCAGCCCTGAACCTTTAACTGAGAAACGAGGGCAAATGTGTTCAATAAAAACCAGAGCACACACCATAACCATTGGATTTATTTACCATTACAAGACATTCATTTTATTTAATGTTGAGCTATGCTTGTGCACTGATTTCAATTAGTTCTGCAAAGCAGCTGTTTCTGCTATGATTTATACTTGGTTGTCTCTGCTGTTGTTTCTTTTTTGTTGCTTTTGCTCAGATTTCTGTTTGGCTGCTTGTTGTTCTGATTTCAATTAATTGCTTTCACTCTGACTTATATCTGCTTCATTGTTGTACAATAGAAGACCCCAGGTTACTCTTGAAAATGAGACTCATGCTGCTCTCTTGAATTCTCACCACCTGGTTAAGCAAAACTAGATAGAATGGTTAAGCAAACTCAACTTGAAACCGCTGCCTTCTCTGCATGTCTGCCCGTGTCCCTGCAGTGTCACTGTCGACGCAGGATGGGTAAGAAGGTGAAGAAGGCGGCGGAAGGTCCCCCAAAAGACGCGGTGAGTGGAGACAGTGGCTCTGCGAGGGGACGGGAGGACATCACGCAGCAAGAGGAGGAGCAGGAGGATGAAGGCTGCTGGCTAGTTGCTTGACTACTCGGCTAACTGAGGAATGTATCCGGCTTTGGTCTGTGGAAAAGATGTAATGGCTTGGTCAAGTTGATGTAGACTGTGGCACGGTCTGCTGATGTACCCGGTGACATGTATTTTTGATGTTTGATGATATTTTTTATTTATATTTTTAAAAATATTTAATCTGGAATATTCCTTGAGATGGAACTTCATATTTCCAAAGGTTTGCATACAAAATCCACATGTATAATGACATGCATTAATACAATCACACAAAAGAGAGAAAGATCCCCCATACATCCTTAATAGACTTGGGGCAAGTGCCGTTAGTGACTACTATGGAGGCCACAGTGGCATACGAGGAGGTGGGTGGCTGACATTTTTTAAAATCTGTAACTTATACCATTTGCGTTTACACAATAAATATCTCATCCAGTCAAACACACACATAAATACAGAACTAAGTGGTACACACAGCAGGTTCACGTCGAATGCACTCGCTCTGTGACGGTTGCAGACATTGAACAGATTTAAATCAGCTGGGACTGGCGGCAAGAGTTGGTGGGTCTGGGAGATGGTTCTATGCTGAAGCAGCTCTGAGCAAGAGTGTGCCTGTGTGGGTTTGGTCTCTAGGGATGATTAAACTTTTGTGCCTGTGGGACCGTGGAGCAGAGTTATTGTCGGAGTAAAACAAGAGATGTTGAGTTAAGCCATATGGGACTATTGTACATGTGAGAGTTATCTGATGTGTTCTGACAAGGGGCTGACAATCCTGTTGATGTGACAGTTTGAGCCGCTGCCCATAGAGAGCCGCAGTGTGGCCACGGTGGTGCTGATGCTGCGCTCGCCTGAGCCTGACGTCTTGGCCAAAGCTTGCGATGCTCTCCACCGCTTCGCTGACAAATGTATGTCCCCAGCACACACTCTCGCACACAATTACACTCACAAACAATTAAACACTCACACACCATCACATTCACACACCGTCACACTTGCACATGATCCCACTCATCATCACACTCACACATCTCACGGATCTCACTCATGGCATTGCACTCACGGGAAATTATGGCGATGCGTTCATACCAAACGCTGTGTGCAACACAAAATTATCTTTCGTATAATTGTTGAGAATATAAGTAACAATATATTATCATATCTGATCCTACACATAGAAAATAAAAGTATTATTTACGCATTCCATCAGCCACATAGTCCTGTGGGACTGCATAGACACTGAATGTTGAAACCAGTCCAGAGTTTAGCTTTTTCTATACCCATGCTGATGAAATTATTCACTCCCAGAAGACTGTGGCTGTGTGGAGGGACAAATATGAGAAGCAGCCGAATTATTTATTGTTTGCTTGTTTGATACTTTTATCCTGTGTCACCGATGAGTGTGCAACAATGTGTTTGTGCTGGGTTTGTGCCGTGGATATTTCTGGGCTTGTTCTGTGGCTTTTGCTGGGTCTGTGATGTCACTCTTGCTGGGTTTGTGCTGTGGCCCTTGATGCGATTTTCCCGGCTGTTTGATTGTCAGGCGAGGGAAACAGAGCGATGCTGATGGACCTTGGGGCTGTGGAGCCTTTGGCCTCTCTGCTCACACAGGACGACAAGACCGTTCGCAGGAACGCCATTGTGACCTTGGGCACGCTGGCATCAAATGGTGAGGCCATATTATTAGGGTTGTTAAATGACAACGGGTAAACTGTAACCATGGGAGGGAAGTGGCAGTGGGAGAAGGTGGGAGAGGGGGGGGGGGTAAATTTAGATTGAGATCTCGGTGTGTTAATTGCTTAGCGCCACGTGGGACGTGTCTAACAGTCATCAGTGAGCCGACCAGGGCTCCCCTCTGTTAGTCCAGCTAGCCAGGGTTTCCCTGTACACGCAAAAACAAAACATTAAACAGATGTGATTTTATATATTTTGAACTTGAAAGGAAACCTGTGTTTCTGTCTGCAGTTGCTGTGAGGAAGATCCTGTTGAATGCAGATGTCGTTTCACCTGTATTAAAGCTGCTGTCACCTGAAGGCAGGTGATACACATCCAATGTGACCCGATTGTGACCCGAGTACGAGGTCTTGCTGTCTGGAGTCATGGAGTGGCCGCTTGTCACAGAGATTCACAGTTCGAATCCAGTGTAAGTTACAAAATTAAACAGGACCGTTTAATTTTGTAAGTTACATTGTGCACAACGACACTCATATCTAGCAGACAGGGTCTCATGTCTAATATAGAGGTCTGTGCATATAAGCATCTGGCAGTTCACGTGCATTGGTTCAAGCAAGCCTTGTGTAAAAATACTTGTCTTCTTATTTATTTTCTAGGCTATAATGGGATTGGTTCTCAGGCTTATTGTGTTAGTGTACGGATAATATATTTTGTATTAGCCATGTAGTGGGCTAAAACATTTTCAGTTTTTTCGAGGTCATCGTGGCCAAAGCTGTTCATACCACCGCACCTCCTCGCCAGCTCTTTCTCCCCTCCGCCAGATCTTTCAACTGTTGCACAGTAGATGCATGACCTCAAAGATTTACCCTGCCAGTCTCCCACCATCTGGCCTTAGGTCTTCTCTTCCCTTTGGTCGCCTATTTCAGCAATCGGCCCTCCTCTGTCCTGGCAATCATATCTGCAGTACTTACTAACCATGTTCTCTTCCCAACCTTCAAGTTTCTCACCCTATTTTCGCCCCATCCTGCACACATCTACAATACTCCCCTGCCACGTTTTCTTCTGGACTTCTGCTCTGCTTATCTTGACTTGCCACGAAATTCCTAGCATGCGTCGCAGTCACCCATCCTCAGTCGTTGCCTTTCAGTTAAGGCCACTACGGTTATGGGGTAGGTATGGCTGACTTGTGATTTGCTCAGGGAAACCAAAACGATGTTTCCTTGCGTTTGTAGAGGAGGTGGTCTGCCACGAGTACGGCAGCCTTGTGCTGGCGTGCCTGGCACAGGAGTTTAATGGCAAGGCAGGTGTGGTGGCACAGGGGGGCACCGGCTGTTTGGTCCGCCTGCTCACCAGTCACGACCCTGATGTACAGAAGAACGCCGTGGAATGTCTCTCCCTGCTCGCGCAGGTCAGTCAATGAGCGTGTGTGTGCACATATATGTTCATTTGTGCAGAGCCAGTAGTGTCGTGGTCAGAGCACTGTGCTACGACGACCTCAGTTTCATTCTCGCTTACGACCAACATTGGTGGTAAATATGGGGAATGGTCCTGGACCTTCCTTAGGTCGACTCAGCCTCAAATTAGTACCTCGTGCAGGGTGTGTGTATGAATCAGCACGAGGGAGACAAAGGCTGCTCTGGTGCCAGCCTTCATAGTTTCACTCTAACAGCACTTGCCCCAGTAATCTCTTAAGGCTGGCTGGAAGGGGTATCTTTGTCTTTTGTGTTTGAATGCTAAACAATGGTAATGTGGAACTCAAATACAGCCTTATTATTTTGCTCCTTTAGCCAGGAAAGCATCACCGAGTCTCAAAACTTTTTTTCATTAATTGGTGGTATCATTTTTCAAATTTGTAAATGTTTTGACCATCAAGCTGGCACACAATGGCCTCTGCTCTTCATTGAATGACAGCATCGGATCTTTAATGTCTATAATGAAAGAAGCACACGGCACGTAGTACAGTTAACATGCCTTTATTATTAACCAGGGTGGCTTGCCAGATTCTAACCGCGAACCTCTGCTACAAGTGGTGAACGCGTTACCACTGGGCTGTGTCACCACACAATTAGACAATTTTAATTATTATCCATATCCACACCCTCCATATAAAAAATATAACTATAAATAATTTTTATTTCGTGTATATCCACGACATAAACCTTTTCGAAATATAGGCCAAGTTTAGGGTTTGAGAGATGATTGTTTTAGACAGGGATAGTTTATGTTACTGCATGGGCCAAAGTTTCTGGCCTTTCCATACAGCTCAAAAAATAAAATGATATGAACATCACAGCTATGAACGTCATGGCCAGGTGAGCAACTTAGGAATCGGTTTGTAAAAAAAAAATGTCCATCACCACACTTGTGGTGTTTGCGCTGTGCAGGACACGGAGGGGCGCCTGGCATTGCATGCTTCACATGCCGTGCCGCCTCTGCTGGACCTTCTGGCTTCGGAGTTTCCAGTCATCCAGAAACTCGCTCTGGACACACTGGTAGCGGTGGCACGCGACGGGGAGGGGCGCGGCGCCCTGCGCCAAGGGCTCGACCGCGTGGTTGGTATCCTGAGCCAGAAGGTGAGAGACCAACGTGGCCCGGGAATAGCGCTTTCACCTTTTGTTGCGTTGGTTTATAGTTCGTAACCGGCAGGCCGCCCTGGTTATTATTGCGGTTGTGTGTATTAACCATAAAACACTATGCGGAGTCTGCTTCGCTCACAGTGAACGTTAAAGATCTGCTGACGGCATTAAAAAAACTCAGCCATTGTGTGGCGGTGTCACGGTGCAATGTTTGCCAAATGAGAAAATTTACCCAGAAATCACTCAATCACACGCACAGTAGCAATCAACACTTCCTAACGGTAAACTATTGGCCACTTGCAGGCCACAAACTAAGTCACCGTGTAACACACAGCGACAGCTGCCACTGAGTGCCCTTTAAAGAGTTTGGCATGCTGTGTAATGGAAGCCGCTTATCTTAGGTAAAATTCCTCTGGGATGTCGCAGCGTGAAGGAGGGTGGCTCTGTCAAGACCAGCTCGAGATCGTGACTTTCATCGTAGCGGCTGTCCCCGCTATACGGAGCTCGAGAGAGGCCCCTCGAGAGGGCATTGTGGCCTGAGAAACCCTGGAAGAGTTAAAGTGATTTCCTGCTCAAATGAGCCTTGAGGAGGTGTTTATTTCCTGTTTAAAGCCCTGAGCCAGCGGTGGAAATTCCACATTCATATGACAGGGTCGAGTGCGTAGAACAATTAATGTTGATTTCCCCACATAGTGGTACCTATTTATATGACCTCGGAGAGAGGGATGATGGGCCGAGTCAACCTCCAACCAGGATTTCATCTCGCACCTCCCAACTGCAGGCCGCTCGCCCTGCTGCTGAGCCGCACAAAGGGGTATTTTGAAGGAAGAGGATGACTGTATGTGGCGATAATGCGAGTCATGTAGTCACGGTGGTCTCCCGCAGGAGTGGATGGATCTGCACGCACAAGCGCTGCAGGTGTTCACGCTGTGCCTGGGAGACGTGGAGACTATGAGGCAGGCGCAGGGCAGTGGCACTTTGGAGACCATGCTGAGCTTCGTGACTGCCTCCAGTCAACCTGACCTGCAGGCCCATGCCACTCGTGCCCTTGCCCATATGGCTGGTTCCGGTGAGACACAATTTAGTTTTATTCACACACACAGTTGCTGAGCACTACCCCAAAGGCCCAAAGTGTCAAGTGGCCAGCAACAAACAGCACCATACAAGTTGTAATAGGTACAGAGTTAACACGCATCTTGAATTGAGCGAATTTATTGTAACAGCTTGGGGAAACATACGATGGGAGGGAATTCCAAAGAGCAGCAGTGCGCAGGAAGAAGCAGAAAGAGAAGTGTTGTCACCTGCAGTGTGGCGGCTGAACACAGCGTGGATGAGAGGAAGTAGTCAGTGTGGTCGACCGAGTCCTCAACGTGGGTGGAGGAATCAATGAGTGAAGTTAACGGGAACCATGGTAGTAGTGATAGTAGAGTGATAAGGAGGCGACTGATTGCTGGTGAGTGACTCGAGTGAAGGGGCGAGTAGTGGATCATCTATCATCCCGTCTGCTGCTTTACTCTGAACTCTATCCGGTGCATTGAGGTAGGAATTGGGTGCTCCACTCCAGCAGCAGGGCTCCAGCTTTGGCTGGATGTGAGCTTTGTGTCGCAACAGTAGGAATTGCTCAGAGTTGAAGGAGGATTTGGCACTGAAAAGAAAACGTGTAGACATGCATAGAAGAACTTGTTTGGTGCTGCTGTGTCTATCACCTTATTATTAGTATGAGTCTATCTTAATAGAACTGTATTTGTGATGTGGGGCTGTTTGTGCTCGTTGTAGCATGTCCTTGTTCGTGTGTGCGTGCAGTGTGTCTCGCGTAGACTTAAGCATTGGCATCGGTGAGACGGACATGGCGCTGTAGTGGTTAGCAAACTGCCCGAGTTCTAATCCCGTTCACGGCCAACATCAGTGGGCAATATTTCAACTGGTCCTGGGCCTCCCCTAGGTCCACTCAGCCTTAAACGAGTTCCTGGTTTAGCGTGTTAACATATACACTGGGGAGACAAAGGCAGCTGGGCATTGCCAGTCACCCCCTCGTGTGCCGTGCCGGCCGTAATATCACTTGCCCCAACAGTCTGTGAAAGGCTATATGGGGGATGTTTGTCTTTGTCCCTTTGTGTGTGATGGTAATACGTATGCGAGCAGTTCTGCATGTTAATGTGCGGTTGTCTGGCTGTTGCAGACGAGAGCTGGGGGATTCTGCACGAGCAGGGTGTGGAGGCGGTGATGGTGGCGCTCTTGGGCTCTGCTGCCAGCGGCGATGCGGTCCGGTCGGCTGCAGCTCACGCTGTGGCTGCCATGAGCCAGCGCCAAGCTGGCGCCATCGCCATTCACAGTCACGGTGAACTTCGCTCGTCCATTCCTCCACCCGTGCTGAGGGCTCGCTCGGGCTACCAGACGGCTTTGTCTCATCCATGCTGTAGGCAACCACCGCACTGTAGGTCACAACTACACTCACTCAAGCACTAAACCACTCACTCACCCACCCACTCACTCACTGACCCACTCACTCAATAACTTACCCACTCACTCACTCAACCACTCACCTACTAACTAACTCACCCGTTAACTCTTCTATAACTACCACCATGGTTACTGTCCTCGTGAACTCCACTTGTTAATTACTCGCACTGCTCCACTTTGGAAATCCCTCCCATTGTCTATTTTCTCATTACTGTATTACCTTTCTTAATGCAAGACACGCTTTAACGGTTATTTGTTACAACTTTAATAGTGCTGTTTATTGCTCTCTGACGTTTTGGGCCTTTGGGCCTCTGCTGAGCAACTGTGTAAAAAAAATCACGCAAGTGTCTGCATCACTCTACAAGTTATTCTTTTGTCCAGAATGCAGTCTCATCAGCTGCCATGTAAACGTGAGCAGGGTGTTTTCGTGGTGCGAGGGGGCGGTAACATGGCTCAGTGTTAGCGCGATCGCCGCTTTTTGCAGAGGTTTGGAGGTTACACTGCGGGAGTATTCGCCATAAAATACTTACGCGCTGTCCACTTTAGTGGACATTCACGTGACGTTATTCGACACGAGTAGGCCATTGCATGCTAGCATCATGGACAAATTAAAAAAAAACCCCTGCAAATCACTCATGTATCACTTGATATCACACATCGTACTAACCATCACCCCTGACTGGCAGACTAATGTTTGAGATGAGATGTTGCTCATGCATTTAAGCAAGTGCCGTGTAAATGCAAAAGTGATTGTAATTCCAAGTGCTGATGGTGACACGTGATGGTGGCTCTCTACAAGGGGGCACTGCCCAGCTGGTGCGGCTCTTGTCCAGTGAGAGTGCGGACGTACGGGAGACGGCTGTGCTGGCGCTCGCTAACCTCACGAGCACCTTCCCCGACACCTGCGGGTATCGCCGGGGCACAGGAACGCATACACATGTCTATGTTGAAATGCGTGCAGGGATAGGTTAATCAAGTTTGTGGTTAATTTTGTTTAACTGGGCGCCACGGTGGCGAGATGTTAAACTCCCGCATCTGGTATGCAGGAGGTCGTGGGTTCGATCCTCACCCTGACGCCTGTATATTTGGAGTTTGCGTGTTCTCCCCGTAGTCACGTGGATTTTTCTCCGAGACCTCCAGTTTTTCCCTCCACGTTTAGAAGCATGCGTTTAGAGCATTTGGCTACTATACATTTCCATATGATAAGCCACTTCCTTGTGCTATCATTTATGGCCAGTCGCTTTTGAAAAAGAGCTATATAGCTCAGTGAACATTGCCTGCTAAAATAAAAATTGTTTAGTTTAACCTGGGTGAGAACTGACGAGACCAGAATATGGTCTCACTTGCAAAAGTGACCTAGATCATCAAAACGGAAAAAGCAATTACATAAAAACAAAGCACAGCAATGAAGCAAATATAAATCGGAGCAAAATTAACCATATTACACAAACATACATCGATATAAAATGTAATAAACTTGCTGAAACGAAGGTTGATTCAGACAAACAAGAGCTGCTTTGAATGGAGTAATATTGGTATGTGTGTGGCTTCTGTGCAGCACAGCGGCAGAAGGAGTAGAGGCTCTGCTGGGGCTGCTGGCTGCTGGGCGCTTGGCTGTACAGGCGGGCGCCAAGACAAGTCCTGCCGCCCATGCGGCTGTGGTGTTGGCAAACCTTGCCGGGCTAGAGCACCTGGTGCCTGGATTGCTGGCAAGCGGGGCTGTCGAAGCCATAGCTGCCCTTTTGTCTTCCCCAAATCCGCAATTGCAGGGCAAGGCTGCGCTGGCGCTTGCTGGCTTGATGTGCAGAGCCGAGGCTCGGGCACAGGTTGGTGGGGATGCTGCTGTCACTGCCCCGCATGTTTAGAAACGTGGAGAATGTACACACTGGGTGGCATGCCGATAGGTGGCATGTCACGGGGTGGCATGCCGAAAGGTGGCATGTCACTTAGGTGGGATTTTGCTCGATGGCTTGTCATTAGGTGACATGTTAGGTCCACTTAAAGCCAGTAAAATTTCTGGTTCAGAGTTCTTGAAGGCTCCAAAGTGAAATTGAATTCCTGCTCAAACGAGCATGGTAGCAGTACTGTGTGTGTTTGTGTTTTTATTTTCCGTGCGTCGCACAGCTACGTATAGTGGGCGGTCTTGCCCCGCTGGTTCAGATGCTCGACTCGAACACGGTGGAGATACGCCGCACGGCATGCTGGGTGGTTTTCCTCTGCGCTGCAGACGAGCCCACAGCCATGGAGATCTGCCGCCTGGGGTTTGTGCCTCGGCCCCATCACAGCAGCTCAGGGCATTGGCGGATCGAAGCGGTGCCAGTGGGGGAGGGCGGTGATGTTTTGTTGATATTTACTGGAGAAAACACAATTAATGATTATATTAATTACTGTAGGGTCACCCCTTGCTGCCTCTGGCCTAAGGCTGTGCACAATCACTTCTCTCAGGTCTTGTGCGTCGACCTCAGCCGCTCTTTGCCTCTGCTCCTGCGTGGATTGTGAGGTTTCTTTATTTATCTATCCCCGTGCGATGGAAATCCCATTTGCAAGGGTGTCCAGGGTGTCCATCGATGCACGCATAACAAACGCATAATGATGTCATGTATATGAACCTATAACTTACACAGTTTGCCTTTGTATAGTATTTTAATAAGTTAATACATACTTGATTTGAGGCTTTCGTGACTGCAGGAATCCATACTCTTTGGTTCTTTCGGTAGAGTCACGTTGATAGAAATGAAATAAAATAAAACAAATCACGACGTTTTGATCGCAACACAAGCGAACTTCATCAGGTGGGACAACCACAGCAAGAAAATGCTGAAGTCGGCGGGAGAGCTGCCTTTGACTTTACCGAAAGAACTAAAGTGACATACTTTAAACAATGCCCAGAATAGGTATATTGCTCGTTTCGAGTTTCAAGGGTATTTGTTTAGCCAGGTGAAAACTCCAGAGACCAGCATTGCATCTTAATTTCAAGAGTAACCTGGGTCACCAAAATGACAAAACAGAACATTTAAGCAAAACACAACTATACAGCGAATTCATCGCAGCAAAAAGAAGAAATTGAAAACAGTGCACGGACATAGACGATATTAAAATACATTTACAGACACAAGTGTTGTCTAGGACAGATCTTTCCTACAAGCCACTCGTTGTGGAGTCACGCGACTGAAACAGCAAAATAGATCCTGGGTGGTTGTTGCACGAGACGTAAACGGGCATGGGTAGATATCAAGTACGTGCCAAGTACCTTTTGGGCTGGGCGTCTGCGGCTTCCCCAGAGGCTTGGAGGTGCTGCAGAGGCTGAACGAGTCGGAGACGCGCAGGAGTCGCTTCAGCGAGACGGCTCTGGCGCGCGTGCTGGACAGCAACCTCCCGCTCAAGTACAGCCGCACGGGGCGGCTCTCAGCACACAACACCATCACCGATGGCTTCTATGATGCTGGCCCGGTGAGAACCCGTGCTGACCTGGCAACCGTTGTTTTGTGTGTTTTTCACACAGTTACTGGTGTTGTGGAAGGTTTACCATCATCAGCCATTATCAATCCATTGTTGGATGAACCCTTTCCCAAGCCACTGCCACATCTCGCAATTCTGCGATGCAACAAATCCATCCATCACGTGTGCATGAGCTGTGTCATCGCTCCATTTCTTAGTAGGCCATCCTCTCGGAGGCGTTTCCTTCCTTGGTTATTAGTCTTGACCACCCTCTTGTCTATCCGTGATGCATCCCACCCCAGCCCACTTGCTTTTATTAACAGTTTGGATGCTATCATTAACCTGTATATCTCTCTAATCCATGGGTTCCTCTTGCTGTCTCACTGCAATTCCAAACATGCATTGGTCCATACTTCTTTGCGCAATTTTCAGTTTTTGTTCCATATCTTCCGGTAATGCTGTGAGGTAGTTAGGAGGAAATATAACTGTTGGTACACCGCAGTTAAGTCGATCAGTGGGTTAAGATGTGGGTACCCCCACGTCTTCCAACGTGTGCGGTCAGCGTGGAAGAGCGGACTGAATGAGAGTCTGCCGGCAGTGGCAGGAGCGAGCGCTTGCAGGGCTGCTCCTGTAGCTTCACGCGGGCTGTGTGGTGTGCTTGTGTGAGCTGCGGCAGAGCGAGCACCAGGGCTCCCTGGAGGAGCTGGCGCGGACAGGGCCGAACCGAAACCGCGCAGTACTCCTCGTCAACACGGCCCCCGCTGAGCAGTACGTGATCGTTCGCACTTCTCACTCACTCACACTCACTCACATTCACACCTCACTCGCGCTCACTTGCACTCACTCACGCTCACTCACACGCACTCCTCACTCATGCTTGCTCGCTTGAACTCACTCGCTCACACTCGCTCGCACTCCTCACTCGCTTGCTCGCCTCCACTCGGCAACACGTGAGGCTGTGTGGCATTGCACACACAAAAGCTCTCAGCCTTAACCGGGCCACCAGCCAGAGGCGTAGCTAGGGGGGGGCAGGGGGGTACATATGTCCCCGGGCGCCAAGGTAAAGGGGCGCCAAAATGAGGCTTACAACTTTACATTATAACTTATTGAGGCGGGCGCGGCAGCCTGAAACTACTGCACAAATCTACACCTCAACCTAAAAGTTTATATATCCCGCCACACACAGCCTACATGTCATGTAATTACATTTTGGTACGCGGAAAATTTGAATACGGATGAGGATAAAAATGTTGGAAACTTTCTCGCGCTGATCAAACTCGTTGCTCAGTGTGACCCATTGTTAGCAAAACACGTATAGCACGCAGGAGAAAATCCGCGATCAGTTTCTTATTTGTCACCGGAAATCCAGAATGAATTTATCCACATACTTGCGTCGACTGTAAAGAACCAATTGTTGAGTGATATCAGGAAAACCAAGTACTACGGTATCTTACTTGACTCAACTCCTGATCTAGGACATCGGGAACAGCTTTCTCAGGTCGTAAGATTTGTGGATGTGGATTTTCAAACTAAAAAGTAACTTTCAAAGAATCATTTTTAGGTTATATCGAGATACATGCAAAAGATGCAGCAAGCCTAGAAAGAGTCATCGTCGAGAGACTGAAATCTGACAACATACCTCTAGCCGACTGTCGGGCACAATGTTATGACAATGCTGCTGTGATGACTGGGCATATATCCGGCCTTCAACAACGAATATGTGACAAAAATCACAGAGCATTGTTTGTCAACTGTGACAACCACAGCTTAAACTTAGCATTAGTACACTCAGCTAAACAGGATCCACTTGTCGTCACATTTTTGGAACAGTTGAAAGTATATATTTGTTTTTCTCTCGTTCAACAATTCGTTGGGAAGAGTTAAAAAAAGCTGTGCCCATCACAGTAAAGCGGGAATCTGAAACACGCTGGAGTGCACGATCAGAAGCTGGTAAAGCTATCTATGAAGGACTGGATGAACTAGTAGGGCTGCTAGACAAATTATCGGAGGACGTAACTATGACGCCTGAAACCAGAAGTGATGCAGAACAGTTACAGGTGTAACTCACTACACAAGCATGCGTATTAAATTTTAACTTCATAGTTTTATTACATTTCTGGAATGTCATTCTTGGAAAAATCGATCGTGTTCAGAAGCGCTTACAGGATCCTACTATGAATTTCAAGGAAGCAGCAACTGATCTTAAATCTTTGGAGCATGAATTTGTCAAGCTTCGTGATGATTTGAGCCAAGTTGCTGTAGAAAATGCCAAAATAAGATGCACAGCCTGGGGGATCGATGTGGACAGAAGAATTAGGCGACGTCGGAAGATGCCAGGAGAACTGGCAAGAGATGCAGGACTTTCAGCAGAAGAAGAAATTGTGCGCGTTATGAAGTGTATTTTATCGACTTCAACAGGAGATGTCAACACGGTTTTTACGACTAAATGACCTGAACACAAAATTTGGATTTCTGCTGGACGTCAAAACTCTTCTATCCGACACAGATGTCGATGCAATTCGTCGAAATTGCACAGATTTTGGAAATTTCTATGACACCGACATCAACGGCCACGAACTTTTCACAGAAATTGGAGATTGCAAAATGCTGTTCAGTAACCAGAATGAAGTTCTACCAGAAACTCCTTTGGATCTTCTTGGTTTTATTGTGTTTTATGGAGACGAAATATTTCCGAATTTGCGAATTTCACTGCAAATTTTATTAACAATAGCAGTTTCAATTGCAAGCTGTGAGCGGTCGTTCAGCAAATTGAAACTTATTTTGTCGTATTTGCGTGCTTCAATGGGACAAGATCGTCTCAGTGATCTTACTCTTCTTAGCGTTGAAAGAGAAACATTGGAAAAAACAGATTTTGATTACGTGATTGACCAGTTTGCGACAGTGAAATCAATAAAAATGTATCTTTTGTAGACTATGTCAACCAGTCTACGACAGTGACTGAGTGAGCCATGTAATATAATTTCTATAAATTTGCTTCTTTAAATACAATATTTCATTACAATTTAAATTGTTATTCCTTATTCGATGTAATAGGAAAATATGATTAAGGGGGGGGGGGGCGGGGGGGCGCCAATTTTATAATTCGTCCCCGGGCGCAAAATATCCTAGCTACGCCTCTGCCACCAGCTCAATAGAATTCGGCTGCACATGTGAGCGAGTGGGCTCACATGGCAACAGATTTGCGCACGTGTTTTTATTTTAGTTAAAGAATTTCACGTGGATAATACCAGGGAATAGAACATCTTGTTTGCAAGGGTGTCCAGGGTGTCAATTGACACATGCATAGCAAACACAATTACACACACATACAGAGACACAATACGATCACACACACATGCAAAGACACGACACGATTACACACCAATGCAAAGACATACACGCTCACAAAGACCGAGATCCTCCACTTTCGGCTTAACAGACTGTTGGGGCAAATGGTGTTAGAGAACACCTATTAAGGCACACAAGGGGTAGGTGGCCAGCACCATGTTCATTATAGGCGACATAGGGCAGGCCCCAGGAACCGGTTCAGATATGTCAGTGATCTTGGTCATAAGCGGGAATGGAACTCGGGTCGCGAGGCTCATTGTGCAATGCGCTAACCACGGTACTACCGATCACTCAAGAACAATACGATCTCTTGGTGAATTTGAATACGTCGTTGTTTGAGCTCAGCGCACTTGCTTTGGTCTATTCCGAATATGCCTCACCTGCTCCATTGCTACAATGCACAAGAGTGTCTTGTCTCTTTGCACACTCGTGCAATATTCACCCAATTCCATTTCAATGTTTCTTTAAACTCAATTGTACTTTCAACGGTTTTTTAAAGTACAGTAATTTCCTTGCAGGAAAATAATGCAAATTTTCATTATGTTTGTGTACTGTTTTCAGTTTATTCTGGAGCATGTTTGCTTTTTGCTCTGGTTTCAATTTGGGTGTATCTGCTCCGATTTATATTTAATTTATTTTGCTCGGATTTCTATTTGCCTCATTGTTATACTTTGCCTTTACGTTATTGCGTTTGACTTTTCGATAACCAAAGCGACACTTGTAAATTTGACTTTATTCCACCCTCTTTGAGTTTTGAGCAGGGTAAGCAAAATGAACTTGTAACGGAGTTTGAGCACAAGCGTGGCACTGTCGGTGCAGGCTGAACGTGGTTGATCCCCTTGTGGAGAAGCCCCCAGACCCAGGGGCAAGTGGGCGTGTGTCCTCCCTCCAGGCCAAGGGCTCCAAGACTCCCAGGTGAGCTGCACAAAGATGGTTGATTGCTGAAGCAGCACTCACTGATTCACTCCAGTCACTCGGTCACCAGTGGTCAGTCGCCTCTTTAGCGCTCTTCGATTACTTCTACCACGGTTACTGTTCCCGTGAACTTTGCTCATTGATTTCTTCAACCATATTGGGTACTCGGTCAACCAGACTTTTGTCTCATCCACGCTGTTCAACCACCATACAACAACACACTCACCCACACACTCACCCACTGACTCAGCACAGTGCAGGTCACAACACTTTTCCTTTCTGCTTCTTCCCTTGCACCGCTCTACTTTGGAATTCCCTCCTCTCACCTCTTCACCCAATCTCTTATACTAACTGTTATCTTTTCCAACTTTGGTTAGTGCTATTTGTTGCTCGCTCTTTGATGTTTTAGGGCCCTGTGCTCAGAAAATGTGTTTTTTTAAAATGCAAAGGTTGCACGATAATACGGAAATATTGTTGCGTTACCCCACCAATCGTTCAACTCTTACAGTAAGACTAAGACCAAGGGACGGAAAGAGGAAGAACGGGCGCCGGAGGAGGAGGAGGCCCCTGGGCCTGCCATGCGGATGGAAGGGGCCACCATTGAGCAGCCGCCATGGCAGCCAACCCCTGACCCCGAGCTGCGGGTGTTTGTCGAGGAGGCGATTAGAGCGGTACTACCCTTGGCCTGCCCGCGCCTGCAGGCCGCCACTCTCGCCAGGTAATCACAATTACGATAGAGCGCTTGACACGCGATAAGTGACTTACACCGCATCCCAGTGGCAGCTGTCTCTGTGCGGTACAAGGTGATAGCACCTGCAAGTGGGCATGAGTCTGTCAATAAGGGACGATTATTGCTATGTGTAATCCCAATTGAGTAATATACAGGTCAATTTTTTTATTGGGAAAAATTGGACTCTCTAATGATGTCCTGGATCTATAAGGTCCTTTACGTAACAGAGCGGCCTGCTAGATTCGAACTGTGAACCTATATAACTTCGATTTCTGTGCTCAGCTTCCTGTGCCGCGCACCCACCTTCACTTGTTGTTGCACCACGTGACACAGCCCTAGCTGATTCCTGAGCTTAATGTGATGGCGTGTGCTTGCGACGGTACGTAGGCTTGTGTCTGATAGGATGGGAGGCCCGGTGGAGCGCGACTCTCTCAGCGACTTCAGCTGGGAGCTGCACGTAAGCCAGCTCAAGAACGAGCTCCAGTCCAACCTCATCCCACTGGGCCGCATCCAGAGAGGAGTGCAGCCGCACCGAGCGCTGCTCTTCAAGGTGCAGCCCAGGGGCTCGGTGGTCGTGTGGCGGCGTGAAGACCCTCGTTTTGTGAATGAGGTTTATAACAAAGGGACTCGCAATCGGAAGGTTGCGAGTTCAAAGGAAAGTTGAGGTGGGATTGCTGTGTGGATAGATTTGGACACAAATTAAGCAGCTTTAAAATAAGTTGTTGGCATATGAGCACAGAAGTCGGAGATGAATGCTAGTGAGTGTTGTAGATGTGATTAGACAGGATGGGGTAGAGCTGATTGCCAAAGCAGGTATTGGAGGGGACTCCAATTCGGTAACCACGGGGAAGACCTAAGAGCAGATATGGTGGTGGGATGCTTGAGCGCAGACCTTGGAGGTCGCGTGTCTACTGTGCAGTAGCTGTGGGATCTGGCGGAGGGGAGAAAGTGCTTGTCGTGAGGTGTTGTGGCATCAACGGCTTTGGCCACACTGACTTCTCGATCTTGATCTGTATGCCGATGGGTTGTACACCTACACGCAGGTGGTGGCCGATCGCCTGGGTGTGCCCTGCAGCCTGGTCAGAGGCCCCTATAACCATGCCTGGAACGAGCTGCTTCTGCCGCCCGCGCCACCCCAGCCGGCAACGCCTGTGGACGGCCTCTCTCATCCTGCGTCTAACGGCCCTCTGCTATTGCCCCCTCAGCTGCACGTTGTGGACCTCATTCATAACGTAGGGGCGCTGCTCCATGCCGACAGTGCCGAGGCCTCCAATTACACGCATTTGTGAGGTCACGTCTCCCCAGCCCCAAAGAGGAATTTGAATGCACCAGTCACTGCAGCAACTATCGCGACAACCATGGGTGACGGTCTTGTTTCTCATGTTAGGGCAGATATTAGGCACCGAACAATTCACCACATTCACAGTTGATGCAGTCAGGATTTGGGGGGATGATTCGCGAATATATCTTTCATTGGCGTTTTGAATAATATAGAACATGTGGAGGTGGCAAGGTACCCAGGACACTTACATTTTTTTACGACCCAATCATTGACTGCTGTTCGTTTAAGCCAGAAGTGCCGCTTATATGTACAATTCTCAGCACTGTTATGAATGTAAGAATTTGTATTTCACGAGTTGTCACATGCCTAGCAACTCTAAGACAATGGAAACTGGCAGACTAATGCCCGCTGGCAGGCCATGGTGTTGACATTATGCAACACAGGGACAGCTGCTACTGGGAATTCCCTTTCAAAATGTTTGAGATGCGACGCAAGTCCATTATCGTGTAATTAATGCGGTCTGAGATGCCCTGGCGTGAAGGGCGTTCATCAAAACAAATCATCAATATTAATTGTACATGCCGGGAGTGTTAACTAAAGGGACATTGCCACTCAATCTCATTTTGTTAAAGTTCATACAGACAGTGGAAAATGAGGCTATGCAAGTCCCATTCTTCGGTATCAATGCAAAAGAAACGTGCACACGCGTGGACCGGTTTTGTTAAACATGTTGCCAAATTTTCTACCAATTCTCTTCGCATGTACGAGTATACATAACACAATACAAAACTGACAGTTGATGTTTTATTTGAATGTACATTATGAAACAACATTGCAGTACAATACCAAACAAACGGTACGAACCCAAAATTCTGAGTATTTACAGCTCCGCCAGAGGTGATTGTGCTGGGCAACATGAATGTATAAAAACTTACGGTGTTGCAATATTTCTGATTTTATGTCAAATTGCTGTGAAAAAAATGTAATTCTCCAGAATCTTTGCTGGACTAGCTAGTATTTTCTTCACAAAGATAAAGTACAAAAAAGCATGGCTACAATAGTGGTTGCAGTTGTATTATTGACACGACCACACGTTTATCTGATAAAGGTTTCCAGAAAATTAAGCACTCAATATTCTTACATATGCCAAAACATGAGACCCCTCTAAAAATATCTGTTCCCCAAAATTTGACTCATGACAAAACATTTTTTTATCCATTATTACAGAACTGCAACTTTAAACTTGATCAATGAATTTGTTATGATAAAAAAATTCATCTGAAAATATCCCTTGAGACGGAAAGTCCAGGGCTATCAACTGGCACGTGCATAGAAAATGCGTAATGGCACGCACACACGTGTTTAGGGGCAGGTTTAAAATTTGTCTGCACTAAATTTTTACACCAAAATTAAGTATTATCATCATCATCAATGCCTGGGTAAGGCATCTGGATTTCTGTGTGGCTCTTGTAGCACCATGACCATTACTGCAGAGGAAACCTCTGTATCAAATAGGTGTGCGTCTGTCCAGCCTGCCCCTTGCACCACGTTGAATCCTAAAGGAACGTTGGCGCCAACCGGAAGCTCAGCGCCGCATGAAGTTTTTGTCGAGCGCGGCAGCCGTGCGCTGGATGGAGTGCACCTTCCGCTTGACTCTGTCTTCTACGGAGGACGAGGCAGCGCTCTCCAGCTTCATGGCACTGGTGACGAAGCAGACGGTCACATATTATTATTACCATGCTTATTTACCCAGGAAAACCTCACTGTGGATCAGCTCTTTGTTATGAAAGGTTCTGAAGTTCAGGCAGGCATGACAATTGCTGTGTTTTTTCCAAAGTAATTTGTGGATAATTTGGAAAATTTGGATCATGACGCCAGCACATGACTTCCTCTTCCAATGACGTTGCGGGATCTTTAACGTCCGCTATAAGTGAAGCAGACAGTATGTGGTATTTTACAGTGAATTCACACAACAGAATTAAAAAGTCAGGGTGATTGATAATGCAGCACTAATTCACTGCATTAACTCGCCCACCCGAGGCCAGTCCACCACCTTAGCACTCTTCTATCACTACTACCATGGTTATTGATCTAGTGAAGTTCACCGATTGATTCCTCCACCCATTGAGGATTTGGTCTACCAGACTGTTTTGTCTCATCCACACTGTTCAACCACCATACTGCAGGTCACAACAACACACTCAACCACCATATTGCAGGTCACAACACTTCTCGCTATGCTTCTCTTGCACTGCTCTGCTTTCAAATTCCCTCCCATTGTCTCTTTTTCCAAGCTCTGATAACAGGCTTGCTTAATTAAAGAAACATTAAGACTTCTTTCTTACAACTATATGCTCAGCAACTCTTCAGTAATAAAAACGGCGGCATCTCATATTGGAACCACGAGCTTCTGCAACACGCAAAAAACGCACCACTGCTCGGCCACGTCGGCAAGCTCTGCTGTTAGCCAGCGAAACGGAAGATTTCGATGAAGGTCGCTCTTGCGTGCTAGTGGCTATGCTAAGGGGACTGAGGGACTGCGTGCACTTACTGCAGGAAGCGGCCATCGCGCTTGTCGCTGCGCTCGCGCTGGCGCTCATGCTCATCCTCCTGCCGGTATCGGTTCACGTTCGCCACCCTCTGCTCATCTCGCCACTTGGCATTCTGCATCATCTCCTCGCGCCGCTTCTCCAGCTCTTCCGCTGACAGTTTGCTGCAAGGTAGTGACACGTTTGTAAAGAACGCAGTAAAACTAAACACGTAAGTTTGATCTGGCCAAACTTCTGTCGTTAAGACTCCACATCACCTCACAGACAAACAAATTCAACTGTCACGTGTACAAGTATTTAACGACACGCCAATTATTATTGTTCCAGTCGTTTTGAAATCCTCGATTTTATTGACTTCCTGGACCTTGTCCTGATGATGCTTGGTGCAGTTTCAAGCAAATTGGTGTATATAATTGCAAAAGTTGATTGCGAGACTTGTCAGAATAACTTGAAACAGTAAAAATTGGTGTATAAATTCTTAAACACATAACAAATTGTCGGGTGGTGGTGGGTCCTTGTGGCAGAAATTTGTCGAGATCAATAAGTGGCCTAACCAAATAAACATGTTTCTAATAATAGTTAAATGCAATTAGAAGGAAAGTTTCAAAGCCTACAAGGTTCACTTGTAGGTTGGTAGCTAAAGTGTTCTTTTGATGTCGATCTGATTTGAAGTTCAGTAATTGTCCAAACCCAATGGAAATGAAGCTATTTTACTCAAGGCAGATGAGCCTCCCTGAGGCAAATGACATCCACAACAGGATATGGGACTGGAGGTAAAGAAACCCAAAGTATGCTTAACACAGCAATTAATACAACGTTTTTGGCGTTTACACTTTTTTTTATACTCCAATGGTATTTTAATGGTGAGATGATAGACCATGGAAAATGAACAAACAGGATGTTTAAGGACCTGGAGGTGTGTGCAGGTGGGCGACGCTGATAAGGGGCTGGAGGAGTTGAGGTTCTGCATTTCTTGCTCACAGACTCGGCCGCAGCGTTTCTGTCAGATACACATGCACAATGCTCAGGTTCAAATACCATGGGCTGCATTTAATGTACTAAAATCAAAGTGATGCTCAAATGGGCATTGAAGTGGTGCTCATATCCTGTTCATAGCCCCGAGCCAGTGGTGGATGTATACATTCCCATGGTGTGGGGGAGTCTATCCATAGGATCACTGCTGACTTCCCCACTAAGTGGTACTCATTTCATTTCCCTCGGAGGAATGATGGCCGGAGTCAATCTACAACCAGGATTTTAACTCACAACCTCTTCAGTGCAAACCACTCCAGCCACGGTTATTGAAATTATTTTCATTCACGGAATATTTTCAATGAGTAAAATGCTCTTCACCAAACTGCACTGACCAGCATTATAAAGTATAACCATATACTTCATAATGCTCCAACGTCCCACACAGTGGATTGACAAAAGGTGTAGAATGATGCATCCTTTACTCCTTCCAAGGTAAATAATGCAATGTAACATTCTGGGTTTGCCGACATGTGCACAACATGCGTGCCAATAAGCCATATACAATACTTCAACTTATAAACCATCTGAAAGGGACCGCCTATCAAGATGCTGATTAGCGAGCCCACCTCTGTGGGTTGGCTGCCATGTGGGACTCTGGAGGCGCCTCTTTGTGCCGCCCGTGGTGAAACTGGCGATCAGGGGAGACGGAACAACTTCTGGCTTCCCGAGACGACATAAATGTCTCTCTGTGCCGCTCACGGTGATGCTCTTTCATCTGCAATGGTGGAGTCAAGTGCAGGTCATACAATTATACAGTTAGGATTTAAATATGCTCTACATGCAACCACAACGTAGAGAAACAATGTCGCTGGGCATATACATTTTATATTCACAAACAAGTCAAAGGCAGAGGAAAGAGGAAGGTCTTAAGCTTGTACTTGAACAGCGGCAGGGAGTCAATAGCATGGATGTCTGGGGAAAATAATGTCCCAAACTGTGGACGCAGCAGAGGAAAATTGAGTGATCTTACACTGAGCGAAGGTTGACTGCGAGCTTTCATAAAGCACTGGCTACTATAACGGATTGTGTGTGGAGGGGGGGAGCATTGTGATGAGAGAAGACAGAGGGAACAGAGTGCGTGGAGGAGCAGAAGAGTTAGGGACCAGTCTATGCAGGACCGTGAAGATTTTGAGTGTAATCTAGATGTTATCTGAACAAATTATTTGATGCTGCTGCATTTGTCAGCGGTGCACAAGCACAGTTAATGAACTCACATTCGTCGATACCACTGTGGCGTTTTAGGCAATGGCCCTTTTCTGCAGGACACATTATATATTCATTTGACATTTGTCCGAGAGTCATCCATGACGGCAACGTGGTCTCATATATGGGTGTGACTGGGCTATGTGGCTGAGCTATGAGGCAGCAGAATTTTTTTATATATTTGGCGAGCTTGGTGAAGAGGAAATTGTGTAGTTTATCAGTTTTAACAAGGCAGCCTACACGAGAAGATTGTAATAAATGTTTAGTAATAAAATAAGATGCTCACCTGAAGGCCGTAATCGCCTCTCTTATACTGAGACTTTTCACCGTGGGATTCTTCTTGCGATGGTTTCTTGTGATTCCTAAAGGAGTGCAAAGTGTTATTTAATAGCAGAACGCATGGCGGTTGACGTGACACTTGCTGGGTGAAGCTGTAGGTACGGAGTTCCTGCACGAGCGCTGCCTCACCTCGATCGTGCCTCCCTGTCGCTATCGCTGCTCGACTCGTGCCGCCGCCTGTGCTTCTTCTTCTTGTTCTTTTTCTCTTTTTTCTTTTCTTTCAAAATATTCTTTTTCAGCTGCAAAACAACACCACGACAAGAAATACTTTCAAATAACTTTACCAATAAAATATTGAACATGGAGCTTTTCGTAGCCAATTATTCAAAATAAATTTTGAGTTGGGCTACATACTTATCTGGACATGCATTGTAAGACCCTCCACCACCCAATATAACCAAACAATGCAGTTGTCCAGTGTACAAGCATTTACACACCAATGGTTATTGTATTAGCTCACCGGTACGTTGAAGAACGAGTCTCATTACTAAATTTATCAATCAAATATATGGCATTTGGCTTGAGGCTGCATCAAACATCATCAGGGCAAGATCTAGGAAGTCATCACCAAACTCGCTGGATTTTGTCCTGAAGACGCTTGACGCACTTCAATCGGAATTTTGTATCTAAGCTTTACAGGTCTTACCATTTCTTTAATTTTCTTCATTTTCACAGGGTTCTGAAGGACCTCCCTCTTCTTCTGTTCTTCTTTTTTTCTGTGGAAATGGCAGAGATTATAGTTAATGATGTGCCAGTTTATCCACACTCACTGCGAAAATGTAAACGTATAAGTGTCGCTATGAAACCTATTCGTCCTGAAGCCAACGTCCACCGACACGACAACAGCTGCAATTCGCCACTAAGTGGCGGTGACATCACCACAGCAGTCGTGCCGGGCAAGGTGCACTTGAAGCCACGTGAAGTGTCGAAGGGTTGCTGGCAGGAGGTGACGAGAGACGCAGGTGTTTTGGGTTGACTGAGATGACTGGCAGATGCACCACCTGTGCCCTCTACTTTGCTCGTTGTAAGCGTTGCTCCAGTGCCCTCCATTATTGCTGAAAAGGGACTGCGTCCAAATGCCCAGTAGCGTTCTTTACGAGCCTCCTCCATAAAGGTGATATTGAAGTCCAATCAGCTCCAGATCTACCTGTACTACATCAGCCCACCTCTTCTCTAGCCCGTGCCTTGCCCATTTAGCCCCCTCTATCCAGCTAAAAAGCTGCTTAGGTATGCAGTGGCTGGACATGCAGACTACATGAGCCAGCCAATGCATCTTTGCTTGCCAGAAGAACTCACTGATGGGACTGTGTTGAGAACTGTATAGGCTCTGCGAGCTCTTCACACAATCCAGCCTTGTTAAAGCCAGGAAGGACTTTGTAAGCAAGCCAAACTGAATGTTTCAAACCAGTGCAGATGTTCCTTATGAGGGGTCCAGGTTTCGCAAGCATAGAAAAGAGCGTTGTATGGCATGACAGGCCAGGTAGCTTCCACACAATGTTATACGTGGCTTTACCGAAAGACCCAAAGAATATTAATTCCTGCAGTCACGAAAGCTTTAAGTCAATAGTTATACAGCTAATCACACACGCTCTTACCCTGTCATTACTCGTATGGGGAAACATCGTAATATAGAAACAAGAACCAATGTATAAAATGCCGGTATATGTGGTTGGTATTCTAACAAGTGCCGGTATGGCCTGCCGTCGTATACCTGCCCTATCGGCCACTGCCCATGCCTTTACATGGTTTACCCATCCTATGAAATTACAGGGCAGCAGCGTGACACAGTGGTAACACTTGTAACATTTGTGCCACAACAACAAATAGTTGGGTTAGATATCCCCTTGTTATGCATGGGTTTCCTCCCACAGCTAAAAACATTCATTGGCCAAACATCCCAATGTAGCAGGTCAATCCTGAATAAAGAATCTCTGACTCAGTGCAGATTTCCTGGATAAAAAAACGGATTAGCATTATTACATGCATTAATATTCCCACTTGTTGGACATCATACTGGCCAGGATTTACAATTTACCTGATGAGAAAGAGTGGGTCCTCCCGGATTTTGGCAGCCATGTCATTGGCAGAAAGGGGCGTGGTGGTGGCCGCGAAGATGGATCCAGTCGGGAGCCCCGTGCTGGTTGGGCCAGGAGGCTCCTCCATGAGCTTGTCACTGGCGTATTTGTCAATGGGCTTTCCCAGCAGGTACTCCTCGCGATTGACGAGGCTTCCAGGACCCTGGTACATCCAGTCCAGACGCGTGTCCTTCTTCCTGTTGGGTCACACATGACCGTGTTAACGCATTAAAATTCGGAGGCATTGGTATCTGTCAAAAGAACGGAAGAGCACATACACGCGAAGCTTCCTACAATACGGGGAATTCCTCTGCGCTCTCACTAATCTTCTATCAGAATGTTTTCAGAACCTTTCGACTGGAGGAATCCGATGTGCTATGAAGCTGTTTTTCACAAATGTCCAGTCGAGCGGTGGGTAGAGAATAAACAGCATTAAATTATGCAAAATATCATCACCAAATGCATGGCTACAGGTCCTATGTTGAGGTTTACAGTGGTCAAGTCACGTCTGTGGGAGGGGACGCGGTATGGTTGGAGTTGGCGTGTGGGCAACCCGCACGTTATGACGCCGCCCTGCTCGGCGTGACGCTGGATGTCCTCCCGGGATCGCTCCTCCGCCAGCTCCTTCTGAAGCTCGTCGATCTTCTTCTGCTCGGCCTCATGCTTCTGCTCAGCCTTCCACACACGCTCGATATTCCGCAGTGTCTGTGGGTGCCAGCTCTTCTTTAGATTCTGAAAGCAGCAGACACAAGACACTGCATTTTAGCTACGCTGTGGATTACTAAAGGCAGATTGTAAGGATAGGGTTGTAGGGGGTTGATGCGTTGGGTCACACATTACCGTTGATGTGTTGTTGTTCTCTTGATTGTGTACGCGCACTAAATCACGTAATGATCAGAAGCAGAATCTTTAGTTCGACTGTAGGAATCCGATGAGGTCTGAAGATCTTTTCCCATAGATATCCACTACGTAGGGAATTTAAATTATGGAAAGCGACTCTGCCGGACACACTACAGTACGTAACTTAAAGTAATCGTGAGCGTCGTTGTGGAGAATTTAAGTAACAAAATAAACAAGCGGACGCTATTTAAGTAAAATATTCTCCACATTTACGGAGTGGCTGCCGGGCCTGGTCGCGAGCGGCCAGGCCTGGATCGGGCCCGGAGTAAATCGCCGCCCGGCTCACCAGATCGCCGCCTCCCATCGCGGCGGGAGAGGAGGCGAGACGCAGACGACGACGAGGAGGGAGCACGGGGAGAGGGAGACGGGGAGAGGGAGACGGGGAGAGGGAGCACGGGGAGAGGGAGACGGGGAGAGGGAGACGGGGCCCGCAGAGGAGGGAGACGCGGCGAGCCGCGACCGTCTCTGATGGCGCCTGCCTACACCGGAAACCAACTGTTCACCGCGGTCCCTGACCTCTGTGTTAAACCCCTAAACAGTTGCACTGGGAGTGTTTCACCGCGGACCCGAAGCCTACCACGTGATACTGACTCTGCATTGGGACTGGAGGAATCCGATGAGCTTTTTCCATTTAAAGCTTTCGTGACTGCAGGGATTCATCTTCTTGGTTCTTTCGGTAAAGTCACGTAGAAGGGAAGTAATAAAATAATAAAAATAAAACAATTCTCACGACGTTTCGGCCACAACGCAAGCAGCCATCCTCAGGTGAAAACCAGGTCTGTCGAGGCGACAGCGTCTGAATGACACAGCACACGTGCTTGGAGCATATATATAAGCTGGGTTGGAAGGGGGGAAAAGAGTACCTTGACAAAAGAATATGCATATCAAGAGGCATTTAGCATATTTATGGGAAATGCAGGTATTTGATTAGTACTACTCATGCCCGTGCATTATGCAGGATTAGCAGCATCAAAGGGAAGGGATATGGGAAATGCAGGTATGTGATTAGTACTACTCATGCCCGTGCATTATGCAGGATTAGCAGCATCAAAGGGAAGGGATATGGGAAATGCAGGTATGTGATTAGTACTACTTATGCCCGTGCATTATGCAGGATTAGCAGCATCAAAGGGAGGGGATAGGGGTAGCATTAATAAAGGGAAGGAGTGTTAATACATGTAGTATCGTAATTTTATAGTGAATATACAGCAGTGTGATATACATTAGGGTGGGTAGAATAATACATAATGTAATATTACAATGTATAAGGTTTAGGGTGCTTTATAGCAATACAGTATATAATTTAATGTTGGGTTTGTCTATGGCAGTATATAGTACAGTGTAGACTCGTGTAATGTAAGAGAATAAAGTTTAGATGGAAGCATATTATATATTTTTTACGACGTAGAATTGTAATGTATTACTTACTGTTTGTAACTCAGCTTATTGTATATTCACTATACAATTACGATACTATATATTACTTTGTACATTGTATTAAGCATATAAATGTTATACTATTTCTTTGAGTTTCCCCTCACTACTCACCCATTGACATATTTCGTTGCTTCCTCTTAGTATCTTTCACACGACGGTCAATGGTACAGTGTATAATAACAAATAGTATAACATTTATATGCTTAATACAATGTACAAAGTAATATATAGTATCGTAATTGTATAGTCAATATACAGCAGTGTGATATACATTAGGGTGGGTAGAATAATACATAGTGCAATATTACAATGTATAAGGTTTAGGGTGGTTTATAGCAATACAGTATATAATTTAATGTTGGGTTTGTCTATAGGGGTATATAGTACAGTGTAGACTCGTGTGATGTAAGAGAATAAAGTTTAGATGGAAGCATATAATATTTTTTTTACGAAGCTTATTGTAGAGTATATTTAGTATACTGATGATACTATGTAGTTTATACTTTAGTTGTTTACGTGGTGGTTTTAGTTACTGCAGCTACATACTATTAACACTCCTTCCCTTTATTAATGCTACCCCCTATCCCCTCCCTTTGATGCTGCTAATCCTGCATAATGCACGGGCATAAGTAGTACTAATCACATACCTGCATTTCCCATATCCCTTCCCTTTGATGCTGCTAATCCTGCATAATGCACGGGCATGAGTAGTACTAATCAAATACCTGCATTTCCCATATCCCTTCCCTTTGATGCTGCTAATCCTGCATAATGCACGGGCATAAGTAGTTCTATTCACATACCTGCATTTCCCCTATCCCCTCCCTTTGATGTTGCTAATCCTGCATAATGCACGGGCATAAGTAGTACTAATCACATACCTGCATTTCCCATATCCCTTCCCTTTGATGCTGCTAATCCTGCATAATGCACGGGCATGAGTAGTACTAATCAAATACCTGCATTTCCCATAAATATGCTAAATGCCTCTTGATATGCATATTCTTTTGTCAAGGCGCTCTTTTCCCCCCTTCCAACCCAGCTTATATATATATGCTCCAAGCACGTGTGCTGTGTCATTCAGACGCTGTCGCCTCGACAGACCTGGTTTTCACCTGAGGATGGCTGCTTGCGTTGTGGCCGAAACGTCGTGAGAATTGTTTTATTATGTTTAATTTTTATTATTTTATTACTTCCCTTCTACATGACTTTACCGAAAGAACCAAGAAGATGAATCCGATGAGCTATGAAGCTCTTCTTTCACAGACGGCCCATTGCCAATACGTCCAAGGGATGAGAGTTTACGGTGTACTCGTTTTGTTACATGGATGATCTCATTTAGCCAGTCGTCCGGCGAATTTCCAAGGGAGATTTGTGAGCACAGCAGCAACAAAACGAATACATCATTATTGGAATAGAACGAGATATTTGAGGAATATTGCACAACCAGCAAACGAGGTATTTGACGGTCGTAAACGAAACACAACAGTTACAAAACACAGTAATTCGGCCCGTCCCACGGGTGGGGGGCACATCGGGTGGCGGGAGCTTTTGGCAATGAGTGGGACCCCAAAAAGCCCACTTTGGGCCCAGGTGGCACCCCCACAACCCCACTGTGTGCCCGGGTGGCACCCCCACAACCCCACTGTGTGCCCGGGTGGAACCCCCACAAACCCACTGTGTGCCCGAGTGGCACCCCCACAAACCCACTGTGTGCCCGGGTGGCACCCCCACAACCCACTGTGGGCCCGGGTGGCACCCCCACAAACCCACTGTGTGCCCGGGTGGCACTTCCACAAACCCACTGTGTGCCCGGGTGGCACCCCCACAAACCCACTGTGGGCCCGGGTGGCACTTCCACAAACCCACTGTGTGCCCGGGTGGCACCCCCACAAACCCACTGTGTGCCCGGGTGGCACTTCCACAAACCCACTGTGTGCCCGGGTGGCACCCCCACAAACCCACTGTGCGCCCGGGTGGCACCCCCACAAACCCACTGTGTGCCCGGGTGGCACCCCCACAAACCCACTGTGTGCCCGGGTGGCACTTCCACAAACCCACTGTGTGCCCGGGTGGCACCCCCACAAACCCACTTTGTGCCCGGGTGGCACCCCCACAAACCCACATGTTTGCCCGGGTGGCACCCCCACAAACCCACTGTGTGCCCGGGTGGCACCCCCACAAACCCACTGTGTGCCCGGGTGGCACCCCCACAAACCCACTGTGTGCCCGGGTGGCACCCCCACAAACCCACTGTGGGCCCGGGTGGCACTTCCACAAACCCACTGTGTGCCCGGGTGGCACCCCCACAAACCCACTGTGTGCCCGGGTGGCACCCCCACAAACCCACTGTGGGCCCGGGTGGCACTCCCACAAACCCACTGTGTGCCCAGGTGGCACCCCCACAAATCCACTGTGTGCCCGGGTGGCACCCCCACAAACCCACTGTGTGCCCGGGTGGCACCCCCACAAACCCACTGTGGGCCCGGGTGGCACCCCCACAAACCCACTGTGGGCCCGGAGGGCACCCCCACAAACCCACTGTGGGCCCGGGTGGCACTCCCACAAACCCACTGTGTGCCCGGGTGGCACTTCCACAAACCCACTGTGTGCCCGGGTGGCACCCCCACAAACCCACTGTGTGCCCGGGTGGCACCCCCACAACCCACTGTGGGCCCGGGTGGCACCCCCACAAACCCACTGTGTGCCCGAGTGGCACCCCCACAAACCCACTGTGTGCCCGGGTGGCACCCCCACAACCCACTGTGGGCCCGGGTGGCACCCCCACAAACCCACTGTGTGCCCGGGTGGCACCCCCACAAACCCACTGTGTGCCCGGGTGGCACCCCCACAAACCCACTGTGTGCACGGGTGGCACTTCCACAAACCCACTGTGTGCCCGGGTGGCACCCCCACAAACCCACTGTGGGCCCGGGTGGCACTTCCACAAACCCACTGTGTGCCCGGGTGGCACCCCCACAAACCCACTGTGTGCCCGGGTGGCACCCCCACAAACCCACTGTGTGCCCGGGTGGCACCCCCACAAACCCACTGTGTGCCCGGGTGGCACCCCCACAAACCCACTGTGTGCCCGGGTGGCACTTCCACAAACCCACTGTGTGCCCGGGTGGCACCCCCACAAACCCACTTTGTGCCCGGGTGGCACTTCCACAAACCCACTGTGTGCCCGGGTGGCACCCCCACAAACCCACTGTGTGCCCGGGTGGCACCCCCACAAACCCACTGTGTGCCCGGGTGGCACTTCCACAAACCCACTGTGTGCCCGGGTGGCACCCCCACAAACCCACTGTGTGCCCGGGTGGCACTTCCACAAACCCACTGTGTGCCCGGGTGGCACCCCCACAAACCCACTGTGGGCCCGGGTGGCACTTCCACAAACCCACTGTGTGCCCGGGTGGCAACCCCACAAACCCACTGTGCGCCCGGGTGGCACCCCCACAAACCCACTGTGTGCCCGGGTGGCACCCCCACAAACCCACTGTGTGCCCGGGTGGCACCCCCACAAACCCACTGTGTGCCCGGGTGGCACTTCCACAAACCCACTGTGTGCCTGGGTGGCACCCCCACAAACCCACTTTGTGCCCGGGTGGCACCCCCACAAACCCACTGTGTGCCCGGGTGGCACCCCCACAAACCCACTGTGTGCCCGAGTGGCACCCCCACAAACCCACTGTGTGCCCGGGTGGCACCCCCACAAACCCACTGTGGGCCCGGGTGGCACTTCCACAAACCCACTGTGTGCCCGGGTGGCACCCCCACAAACCCACTTTGTGCCCGGGTGGCACCCCCACAAACCCACTGTGTGCCCGGGTGGCACCCCCACAAACCCACTGTGTGCCCGGGTGGCACCCCCACAAACCCACTGTGTGCCCGGGTGGCACCCCCACAAACCCACTGTGGGCCCGGGTGGCACTTCCACAAACCCACTGTGTGCCCGGGTGGCACCCCCACAAACCCACTTTGTGCCCGGGTGGCACCCCCACAAACCCACTGTGTGCCCAGGTGGCACCCCCACAAACCCACTGTGTGCCCGGGTGGCACCCCCACAAACCCACTGTGGGCCCGGGTGGCACTTCCACAAACCCACTGTGTGCCCGGGTGGCACCCCCACAAACCCATTGTGGGCCCGGGTGGCACCCCCACAAACCCACTGTGTGCCCGGGTGGCACCCCCACAAACCCACTGTGTGCCCAGGTGGCACCCCCACAAACCCACTGTGTGCCCGGGTGGCACCCCCACAAACCCACTGTGTGCCCGGGTGGCACCCCCACAAACCCACTGTGTGCCCAGGTGGCACCCCCACAAACCCACTGTGTGCCCAGGTGGCACCCCCACAAACCCACTGTGTGCCCGGGTGGCACCCCCACAAACCCACTGTGGGCCCGGGTGGCACCCCCACAAACCCACTGTGGGCCCGGGTGGCACTTCCACAAACCCACTGTGTGCCCGGGTGGCACCCCCACAAACCCACTGTGGGCCTGGGTGGCACCCCCACAAACCCACTGTGTGCCCGGGTGGCACTTCCACAAACCCACTGTGTGCCCGGGTGGCACCCCCACAAACCCACTGTGTGCCCGGGTGGCACCCCCACAAACCCACTGTGGGCCCGGGTGGCACTCCCACAAACCCACTGTGTGCCCAGGTGGCACCCCCACAAATCCCCTGTGTGCCCGGGTGGCACCCCCACAAACCCACTGTGTGCCCGGGTGGCACCCCCACAAACCCACTGTGGGCCCGGGTGGCACCCCCACAAACCCACTGTGGGCCCGGAGGGCACCCCCACAAACCCACTGTGGGCCCGGGTGGCACTCCCACAAACCCACTGTGTGCCCGGGTGGCACTTCCACAAACCCACTGTGTGCCCGGGTGGCACCCCCACAAACCCACTGTGTGCCCGGGTGGCACCCCCACAACCCACTGTGGGCCCGGGTGGCACCCCCACAAACCCACTGTGTGCCCGAGTGGCACCCCCACAAACCCACTGTGTGCCCGGGTGGCACCCCCACAACCCACTGTGGGCCCGGGTGGCACCCCCACAAACCCACTGTGTGCCCGGGTGGCACCCCCACAAACCCACTGTGTGCCCGGGTGGCACCCCCACAACCCACTGTGGGCCCGGGTGGCACCCCCACAAACCCACTGTGTGCCCGGGTGGCACCCCCACAAACCCACTGTGTGCCCGGGTGGCACCCCCACAAACCCACTGTGTGCACGGGTGGCACTTCCACAACCCACTGTGTGCCCGGGTGGCACCCCCACAAACCCACTGTGGGCCCGGGTGGCACTTCCACAAACCCACTGTGTGCCCGGGTGGCACCCCCACAAACCCACTGTGTGCCCGGGTGGCACCCCCACAAACCCACTGTGTGCCCGGGTGGCACCCCACAAACCCACTGTGTGCCCGGGTGGCACCCCCACAAACCCACTGTGTGCCCGGGTGGCACTTCCACAAACCCACTGTGTGCCCGGGTGGCACCCCCACAAACCCACTTTGTGCCCGGGTGGCACTTCCACAAACCCACTGTGTGCCCGGGTGGCACCCCCACAAACCCACTGTGTGCCCGGGTGGCACCCCCACAAACCCACTGTGTGCCCGGGTGGCACTTCCACAAACCCACTGTGTGCCCGGGTGGCACCCCCACAAACCCACTGTGTGCCCGGGTGGCACTTCCACAAACCCACTGTGTGCCCGGGTGGCACCCCCACAAACCCACTGTGGGCCCGGGTGGCACTTCCACAAACCCACTGTGTGCCCGGGTGGCAACCCCACAAACCCACTGTGGGCCTGGGTGGCACCCCCACAAACCCACTGTGTGCCCGGGTGGCACCTCCACAAACCCACTGTGTGCCCGGGTGGCACCCCCACAAACCCACTGTGTGCCCGGGTGGCACCCCCACAAACCCACTGTGGGCCCGGGTGGCACTCCCACAAACCCACTGTGTGCCCAGGTGGCACCCCCACAAATCCACTGTGTGCCCGGGTGGCACCCCCACAAACCCACTGTGTGCCCGGGTGGCACCCCCACAAACCCACTGTGGGCCCGGGTGGCACCCCCACAAACCCACTGTGGGCCCGGAGGGCACCCCCACAAACCCACTGTGGGCCCGGGTGGCACTCCCACAAACCCACTGTGTGCCCGGGTGGCACCTCCACAAACCCACTGTGTGCCCGGGTGGCACCCCCACAAACCCACTGTGTGCCCGGGTGGCACCCCCACAACCCACTGTGGGCCCGGGTGGCACCCCCACAAACCCACTGTGTGCCCGAGTGGCACCCCCACAAACCCACTGTGTGCCCGGGTGGCACCCCCACAACCCACTGTGGGCCCGGGTGGCACCCCCACAAACCCACTGTGTGCCCGAGTGGCACCCCCACAAACCCACTGTGTGCCCGGGTGGCACCCCCACAACCCACTGTGGGCCCGGGTGGCACTTCCACAAACCCACTGTGTGCCCGGGTGGCACCCCCACAAACCCACTGTGGGCCCGGGTGGCACTTCCACAAACCCACTGTGTGCCCGGGTGGCACCCCCACAAACCCACTGTGTGCCCGGGTGGCACCCCCACAAACCCACTGTGTGCCCGGGTGGCACCCCCACAAACCCACTGTGTGCCCGGGTGGCACCCCCACAAACCCACTGTGTGCCCGGGTGGCACTTCCACAAACCCACTGTGTGCCCGGGTGGCACCCCCACAAACCCACTTTGTGCCCGGGTGGCACTTCCACAAACCCACTGTGTGCCCGGGTGGCACCCCCACAAACCCACTGTGTGCCCGGGTGGCACCCCCACAAACCCACTGTGTGCCCGGGTGGCACTTCCACAAACCCACTGTGTGCCCGGGTGGCACCCCCACAAACCCACTGTGTGCCCGGGTGGCACTTCCACAAACCCACTGTGTGCCCGGGTGGCACCCCCACAAACCCACTGTGGGCCCGGGTGGCACTTCCACAAACCCACTGTGTGCCCGGGTGGCAACCCCACAAACCCACTGTGCGCCCGGGTGGCACCCCCACAAACCCACTGTGTGCCCGGGTGGCACCCCCACAAACCCACTGTGTGCCCGGGTGGCACCCCCACAAACCCACTGTGTGCCCGGGTGGCACTTCCACAAACCCACTGTGTGCCTGGGTGGCACCCCCACAAACCCACTTTGTGCCCGGGTGGCACCCCCACAAACCCACTGTGTGCCCGGGTGGCACCCCCACAAACCCACTGTGTGCCCGAGTGGCACCCCCACAAACCCACTGTGTGCCCGGGTGGCACCCCCACAAACCCACTGTGGGCCCGGGTGGCACTTCCACAAACCCACTGTGTGCCCGGGTGGCACCCCCACAAACCCACTTTGTGCCCGGGTGGCACCCCCACAAACCCACTGTGTGCCCGGGTGGCACCCCCACAAACCCACTGTGTGCCCGGGTGGCACCCCCACAAACCCACTGTGTGCCCGGGTGGCACCCCCACAAACCCACTGTGGGCCCGGGTGGCACTTCCACAAACCCACTGTGTGCCCGGGTGGCACCCCCACAAACCCACTTTGTGCCCGGGTGGCACCCCCACAAACCCACTGTGTGCCCAGGTGGCACCCCCACAAACCCACTGTGTGCCCGGGTGGCACCCCCACAAACCCACTGTGGGCCCGGGTGGCACTTCCACAAACCCACTGTGTGCCCGGGTGGCACCCCCACAAACCCATTGTGGGCCCGGGTGGCACCCCCACAAACCCACTGTGTGCCCGGGTGGCACCCCCACAAACCCACTGTGTGCCCAGGTGGCACCCCCACAAACCCACTGTGTGCCCGGGTGGCACCCCCACAAACCCACTGTGTGCCCGGGTGGCACCCCCACAAACCCACTGTGTGCCCAGGTGGCACCCCCACAAACCCACTGTGTGCCCAGGTGGCACCCCCACAAACCCACTGTGTGCCCGGGTGGCACCCCCACAAACCCACTGTGGGCCCGGGTGGCACCCCCACAAACCCACTGTGGGCCCGGGTGGCACTTCCACAAACCCACTGTGTGCCCGGGTGGCACCCCCACAAACCCACTGTGGGCCCGGGTGGCACCCCCACAAACCCACTGTGTGCCCGGGTGGCACTTCCACAAACCCACTGTGTGCCCGGGTGGCACCCCCACAACCCACTGTGGGCCCGGGTGGCACCCCCACAAACCCACTGTGTGCCCGAGTGGCACCCCCACAAACCCACTGTGTGCCCGGGTGGCACCCCCACAACCCACTGTGGGCCCGGGTGGCACCCCCACAAACCCACTGTGTGCCCGGGTGGCACCCCCACAAACCCACTGTGTGCCCGGGTGGCACCCCCACAAACCCACTGTGTGCCCGAGTGGCACCCCCACAAACCCACTGTGTGCCCGGGTGGCACCCCCACAAACCCACTGTGTGCCCGGGTGGCACCCCCACAAACCCACTGTGGGCCCGGGTGGCACTTCCACAAACCCACTGTGTGCCCGGGTGGCACCCCCACAAACCCACTGTGTGCCCGGGTGGCACCCCCACAAACCCACTTTGTGCCCGGGTGGCACCCCCACAAACCCACTGTGGGCCCGGGTGGCACTTCCACAAACCCACTGTGTGCCCGGGTGGCACCCCCACAAACCCACTGTGTGCCCAGGTGGCACCCCCACAAACCCACTGTGTGCCCGGGTGGCACCCCCACAAACCCACTGTGGGCCCGGGTGGCACTTCCACAAACCCACTGTGTGCCCGGGTGACACCCCCACAAACCCACTGTGGGCCCGGGTGGCACCCCCACAAACCCACTGTGTGCCCGGGTGGCACCCCCACAACCCACTGTGGGCCCGGGTGGCACCCCCACAAACCCACTGTGTGCCCGGGTGGCACCCCCACAAACCCACTGTGTGCACGGGTGGCACTTCCACAAACCCACTGTGTGCCCGGGTGGCACCCCCACAAACCCACTGTGGGCCCGGGTGGCACTTCCACAAACCCACTGTGTGCCCGAGTGGCACCCCCACAAACCCACTGTGTGCCCGGGTGGCACCCCCACAAACCCACTGTGTGCCCGGGTGGCACCCCCACAAACCCACTGTGTGCCCGGGTGGCACCCCCACAAACCCACTGTGTGCCCGGGTGGCACTTCCACAAACCCACTGTGTGCCCGGGTGGCACCCCCACAAACCCACTTTGTGCCCGGGTGGCACCCCCACAAACCCACTGTGTGACCGGGTGGCACCCCCACAAGCCCACTGTGGGCCCGGGTGGCACTTCCACAAACCCACTGTGTGCCCGGGTGGCACCCCCACAAACCCACTGTGGGCCCGGGTGGCACCCCCACAAACCCACTGTGGGCCCGGGTGGCACCCCCACAAACCCACTGTGGGCCCGGGTGGCACTCCCACAAACCCACTGTGGGCCCGAGTGGCACCCCCACAAACCCACTGTGGGCCCGAGTGGCACCCCCACAAACCCACTGTGGGCCCGGGTGGCACCCCCACAAACCCACTGTGGGCCCGGGTGGCACTCCCACAAACCCACTGTGTGCCCGGGTGGCACTTCCACAAACCCACTGTGTGCCCGGGTGGCACCCCCACAAACCCACTGTGTGCCCGGGTGGCACCCCCACAAACCCACTGTGGGCCCGGGTGGCACCCCCACAAACCCACTGTGGGCCCGGGTGGCACTTCCACAAACCCACTGTGTGCCCAGGTGGCACTTCCACAAACCCACTGTGTGCCCGGGTGGCACCCCCACAAACCCACTGTGGGCCCGGGTGGCACCCCCACAAACCCACTGTGGGCCCGGGTGGCACTTCCACAAACCCACTGTGGGCCCGGGTGGCACTTCCACAAACCCACTGTGGGCCCGGGTGGCACCCCCACAAACCCACTGTGGGCCCGGGTGGCACTTCCACAAACCCACTGTGGGCCCGGGTGGCACTTCCACAAACCCACTGTGGGCCCGGGTGGCACCCCCACAAACCCACTGTGGGCCCGGGTGGCACTTCCACAAACCCACTGTGTGCCCGGGTGGCACCCCCACAAACCCACTGTGGGCCCGGGTGGCACCCCCACAAACTCACTATGGGCCCGGGTGGCACCCCCACAAACCCACTGTGGGCCCGGGTGGCACCCCCACAAACCCACTGTGGGCCCGGGTGGCACCCCCACAAACCCACTGTGTGTCCGAGTGGCACTTCCACAAACCCACTGTGTGCCCGGGTGGCACCCCCACAAACCCACTGTGTGCCCAGGTGGCACCCCCACAAACCCACTGTGTGCCTGGGTGGCACCCCCACAATCCACTGTGGGCCCGGGTGGCACCCCCACAACCCACTGTGTGCCCGGGTGGCACCCCCACAAACCCACTGTGTGTCCGAGTGGCACTTCCACAAACCCACTGTGTGCCCGGGTGGCACCCCCACAAACCCACTGTGTGCCTGGGTGGCACTTTGTTGTATCTAGGTGTATAAGTGTTTGTGCCTCTGTCTCTGTGTTTGTTTCTGCGTGTGTCTGTACGTCTAACTGCGCGTGTGCAACACAGGGCCCATGGAGAGGGGAGTGCGGGATGTGGGTAGGGACGGAGGCTTGAGGTTATTTCCTATAATACCAACAATTCCACGGCAGCACAGCTGGGACTTCCACACCGATTGAGAAGTGCGGACTTAGTTGATGGATAACAGTGCTGCACAAGGGGCTGTTTTGGTTAACGTGAACGCTTCTCCATTTGGCCTGATGTTCCTTGGGGACAGTTCAATAAAAGATCATTATGGGTCAAAGCCCTAGGACAAATGAAATCCATTTGGCTGAGTAATAAAAACGATATCTTTCGTAGTGGCTGGAAGCCTACAAAAAACATGCATGGCACAGCAGCGAATGTATCCTAAAAACACACGCATCACATTTAAAAAAAATCCTGCTGACAGTGGGGATTCAGATTTCAGATTTGCTTGATATCTACTGTACATGTATTCAAAATCATCCTTACACACTGTACACACAAGTGACTCATAATCAATATCTGGAATCCACTGCAGTTTTTGTTATTTAACAAATGTTGTTTTGCAGAGATCACTATATTGAAATAAAACATTACATGGGTCTGGATAATTCTGGATCTGGCCTTGCATGGTTGGCTTGTGTCTAGAGACGAGTTATAAATGTCCGTATTTTCCCTGAAGGAGGATTGTTTGTCTGCCCAAAATGGAGCGGGTTCTTGTACGGAGGTCCCCAGGAGAATGGGCAGCACCTGCCATGTGACGAGGTTCGGCGGACCGAAGGAGCTGCCCAGGACACACGGACTTGAGAGTGGATGGATGCATGGAGCCCGCGAGGAGGACACAGTGAGGTTGGTCAAGTGCAAGTGAAGGACTCTGGGTGCTTAACAGGACCTCGCTGACTTCAAAGTGCTGAGCAAATCTTCACACTGCGGTAACCCCTGCTGATATCTCAAGTTGAGTACTAGTTACGAGATAATTGTATGTTTATAAAGTTGTTCTTATCGATGCTCTTGGTTTGACAGATAATGTACAAAAAGCGGTATATATTTAAAAAAATAGGTGTGAAAGGAAGTTGTGTTAACTTCTTACATTGAAGCACCTTGTCACAAACTAAAGACGTTTGGCGATGCTGCTGCAATAGAAGTGGTGCATATGCACAAGAAAAAAAAAACTCAACACATTCGCTTTAACATTGTGGTCTTGAAAGGATAAATATATATTATCGGTAACATTTTGAGCAATCGCCTAAAATATTTCTGGCAATGTGCTATGGAGAAGGTCCATTGCCCATAGTGTCGCCTTATTGTGTTATTTCCCTTTTGAGGCTACAGCATTTTTATTAACGAATGTGTTGAGCTTTTGTTGGAAAATAATACTCGCTTATGCTTTACGGTAATGAGTGTGTCCTTTGGAATTGACTGTTCTCAATACTTTTGACTGCAATTTACAAGACTTAAATACTTGGAAATGTGTATTTGATAAAGAGATCCGGATTTGAGTCTTCTTGCAGTCCTAGATATTGAAAGGAACTGCTGCTATTGTCATGACAAAACTAGTGGGACAAGTACACAAGAACGTTACTTTAAATGCATGTTTTGTGTAAACGATATCATGCCAAGCAGGAAAAGATATGCCAGAGTCATTAGATGTGGCGATTAGCGGAGTGGGGAGAGGGGGCTCAGTGAGTGAGGATTGTGTGGTTGTGGAACGCCAACAATATAATTTGACAAAAGCATTTGTGCTAATGGACCAAGTGCTGACAGGTTTCTTTGTTATTCGTTTGTTCACATGACATGTGGGTCGCTCACTGGCGTGTGTCTTCGGTCCTCGTGTATGGCAGGAGGCTGATAATTATTTGTGTGCATGTTGCATGACCTAGCAGTCACGCGTTCCCTGCATGTTGCATCAGTTTGCGGTTTTAATTCGACAGGCCACCCTGGTTATTACTGTGGGTGTATTAACAGTGGATGTTGAAGATTGCCTGACGTTATTCGAAACGAGAAAATTGTGTGCTGGCGTCATGGTCCAAATTTTACTAATGCTAATTTACCCATAAATGAATAAATTGGGATTACACATATCAATAATCTCCATTTGCTGGCAAACAAATGCCTCCGTGTTGGCTAAGCGTTGAATCACAGGGGCAGCTACCACTGGGGGTGCACTTTAAAATGTATGAGATGAGATGTCCGTCGCTAATTGTGTGTAAAGCATTTTGAAAATGCATGAAGGGCGTTGTATTAAAACCAAATCATGATGTGGTTGTAATGTGTGTGTGTGATTGGGTGCAATTGTCCTTCCTGCACCCTAGGTTGGGCTGCACCAACATGTCTCGCCGCGTGGGCGAGTATGCGGTCACAGAAGTGCACAAAGAGGAATACGATATCGATTCACCTGAGGTATTGCTGAACCCAACGTTTTGTATACACACCATTGTTACCGGTGATTGCAGCAATAGTGTGGTGGCAGCGGACATCGTTGTGTTAAAAGGTGGCTCTGGATTTTGATAAATTCACACTGCCCATTTTCTGGAGAGCTCCTGTAGCATTCGGATTTGGCCACATAGGCTCAGGAAATTTCGATTTAAAGCTTTCGTGACTGCAGGGATTCATCTTCTTGGTTCTTTCGGTAAAGTCACGTAGAAGGGAAGTAATAAAATAATAAAAATAAAACATAATAAAATAAAATAATTATTTTATTTTTAATTATTTTATTTTATTATGTTTTATTTTTATTATTTTATTACTTCCCTTCTACGTGACTTTACCGAAAGAACCAAGAAGAAGGCTCAGGAAAGATAATTATTCAGTATCACTGAAAAATGTACAGCCCTTTTGTCAATTCACTGCTGGCTACCTCGTGCTATCAGCCATGGGGTTTGTATGGCCATATTTCACAAGGCTGGTGGTCAGTGCGGATTGGTAAAGGGGTACCAGAACCGGTTCAGATATTTCTCACGACTGATGATAGCTGTTGCCAACAATCGAAACCAGGTCACCGGGTTCATAGCACGTTACACTAATGATCGTGCCACCATTCCACGTACTACAATGAAATACCTCTATGTGGGACAGTCTTCCCATAATGTTTACCTTTCCTACTGCACTATGCATGTACAGGGCTGGGATAAAATGTCTATATTTAAGTCTGAAGTGAAAGTGACCTTGAAGTGCTTATGTGTGCGCTGGGCTAGGGGAAGAGGGTGGAAGGTTTGCGTGGATAAGAGCCATAAGGTGGTATGCAGACCCTTGGGATGTGTGTCAGCTGGTCACACTGTGATCTCTCCTGAAGAGACTAAACACGCTAAGCCTCCTCCATAACGTGCACGAATCCTAGTCCCGCATTAACTCAAAATGTCTCGACTTTCACTGGCACCTTTCATGTTTATAACGCAACAATGATTGACGTCATTGTGGAGAATGTAACAAAATGAATGCTAACTTCCCTTATCTGTGTTTTTCACGGAGAAACTATTCAACTAAACTATTTATATTTTACCGGGTAAGGCCCACTGAGCTATATAGCTTCTTTTCAGAAGGAACCTGACCACAAATTATTGTTCAATGAATTGGCTTATCATGTGGACATTTATAGCAGCCAAATACTCTAAAACGCATGTTTCTAAATGTGAAGGGAAAAACCGGAGGACCCACAGAAAAATCCACGTGACCATGGAGAGAACATGAACACTCAAAAATATACAGGCATCAGGGTTGGGATTGAACCCACAATCTACTGTATGCCAAGCGAGATAGTTAACATATCGCCAACACCTTATCCGGCAGCCACACGGCCTTCTGGGATTGCATAAATTAAACCGCATCGGTTCAATACAAACTCTGGACCTGGTTTTGATATTCTGTGTCTCTGCTGGTGGATTGCCAGATAGGCAAAGATCATCTCTGTTAGATGTGCTTATAAATATCTGACAGTTCACCAGCATTGGTTCAAGAAAGCCTGACTGATGACGAGACACTAAATATGGAGAACATTCCAGTGTCTTTTTGTGTTAAACCATCACAGTTGAAATTATGCACTCCTAGAAGGCCGTGTTGCTGATGAGATGTGTAAATAATACTTTATTTTTTCACGTGGAGGGTAGATATGGGAAGGAGTCGGATTTGCTTAATTTATTCTGTGCAGGTATAGGTTTGTAGCGACCATTGATTCTTATTTCAAGTAGTGAGACAGTTGTTGATCAGATAGGGATGGTGCGTCATGACAATTCTTCAGATGGAGCTTTAGACACGAGGCTGTTGGGATTGTCCAGCTCATAGGAAACGCACGAAGCTTGAGTCAGCGCCACGTGGCCACAGTAGGCCGCTATTTATTGCTCACACCCTGGGGGGGTGTCAAATGGGGCCTCCATCCCAACAGTGAGAGAACGCAACCTAATGAGAGGCATGCCTTTCCTTTGCTGTCAGAGGCATTTACCGAGTGAGACAACTTAGCCGACTCATTAAGTAACTACCAAAATAAACCTCCCTTTTCATTTTACACAGTCTCTTATATTGATAATCATTTGTTGTTACACACAAAGTGATATTTATATATGCGGCTCATTTTAATTAACATCTAAGACAAATGTAAAAACGAATTATCATCCGTTACTGCTGTATACCAACCAACATGCTGTGTAGCAACAGCATGGGATTGTAATTTACATTGAAATGTGAAATGCAGAGCAGTGTCGAAAGTATATATATATTTTTTTTATTGTCAAATGAGAAAACACTGTTTAAATTTCGATTTAAAGATTTCGTGACTGCAGGGATTCATCTTCTTGGTTCTTTCGGTAACGTCACGTAGAAGGGAAATAATAAAATAATAAAAATAAAACATAATGCAGACATAATTCCTTGCAAAAGGTTTCTGTTTGGTGTTTTAACATCGTTACACCTGTTTTATTGCCAGAAAGGGTAAAACCTATTGTTATATTTTGATACTGGCAAAGGAGGTCCTATGATATTCGTGCATTGTGGATTTCAGAAGAGAAGGTTCTGCCTTGCGCACTTAGGACGTCCTGTCTATGTGTGTGTCTGATGTGTAAAGTGGACAACAGTAGGAAAATCCAAGTCATATGAAGAGTTTGAAGAGGAGGTTGGAGGCTACACGAAGATAACAACCGTCACAGAGACGAAGCTCACCAAACAGCTTCCAGGAACGGTGACGGAGCGCACCATCATCACCGAGATCCCGTACGATGAGGGGGGAGAGGAAGAGGAGGAGGAGGAAGTGGAGGAAATTGTAACCAAGAAGGTACTCCTGACTGATCCCTGCCTGCCATGCCACCTAACGCACACATGCTTGCAATCTATGTCTTGAAAAACCCTTTGCAGAATTGCATTTCACAAATGTGTTAAACTTTTTTTGGTGCATCCAAAGACTGTCAAAATTAGATAAAACTAGTTGAGAATCATTTAATGTAATATGCACGGTGGTTTATATCTGTATTTGTGCTACATTACTTCTAAGGTCACAACCTTTTCCACAGAGGAAACCGTGACGTACTTTTCTGTCAGCCCAGGCCTATTATTAAATCTGTGCAGATTATTGCAAAAAAGTTTAATGTAATAACAGCACCAGATATCGGTACAAATAAATTCCTGCTGCCACTTAAGCACACAAATGCAGTTCCTGTGGTGTATGGATTAAACTGTGTTAGGAAGCGATCCCAGTGGTTTCCCATGGCTTGACCGTGTTACTGGTTTGTTTCGTATCGTACATGAAAGAGTGATGCCTCTGTGTGTGTCGGTGGGCAGTTCGGAGCAAGCGATGGACCCAGAAGCACCCAGCAGAGCAGGCCAGAGAGGAAAGCAGCCAGAGATGTCAGCGCAGCTCCGAGTGAACACCTCACTGTGGACCTGCTGCACAGCAAGAAAGCACAAGATCTCTACAGCACGGTAACGTTCTTGCTTAAGCTGTGAGTTCATCAAAGGTGCTGTGCGGTCTTGTGGAAGAGAAAAGTCACGAATGCAGTTGCTACAAAAATATATGAACCCATCAGCGCCTGGGACAGTACCCTTGACAGATATGGGAAGGTGGTGTATCATCTGCTTATTTATTGTGTAACCTAGATTGTCCACATTAACGCTCATTATTTTTGTGTTATGCATTATATGACTCTGCGTACTATAAAACATATTTTTAAAATTTGATTTTACCAGCTAAGGCCCACTGAGCTATATAGCTCTTTTTCAGAAGTAACCTGGCCATAAATGATGGCTCAACAAAGTGGCATATGTAGGAATATATAGCAGCCAATGCTTGTTTCTAAATGTTGAGGGAAAAACGTAGTACCCAGATAAAAATCCACACGACCACAGGGAGATCATGCAAACTCCAAATATACAGGCGTCAGAGTGGGGATCGAACCCACGTGTCCTGCATACTAGGCGAGGGTGTGAACTTTTCGCCGTGGCGCCCTTGTAATATAGGGCCCATGTCCTATATGACATATAGGACACAAGTTTAACTGAGAGGGTCCTTGCCTATAGACATCTGGCAGTTCACCAGCATTAGTCCAAGCAAGCCTGACTGCTGATGAGACACTGAATGTCAAAAGCGGTCTCGAGTTTGATTTTGTTGTGAACCAATGCTGCTGAATTCATCCACTCCCAGAGGGTCATGTGGCTGATGGGATGTATAAAGAATACTTCACTTTTATATGTGGAGGGACACCTATATGAAGGGAGAAATTTGTCTAATATATTCAGTTACATTTGGGGTCAATACTTGCTTCTCTAGAAGGACCTGTACAATATACTGTACCAGAAGAGCATGTGTTGTTCGTGTGCACTCATTCCACAGGCTGATATATGATAGGGTCATTGTTGCTCAGGTCTTGTTGCAAATAACACTTTCCTGATTTTTTTAATTGTCACCTTGTCAAACAAAATTAAACTAATAAAATCCTTAAGCTATTTTTTATTTTATCAGATAAGGCCCACTGAGCTATATAGCTATTTTTCATAAGCGACCACGCCATAAATTATAATAGCTCATGCAAGTGGCTTATCATATGGAAATGTATAGCAGCCAAATGCTGTAAAAGCATATTTATAAACGCGGAGGGAAAAACCGGCGAACCCGGAGAAAAATCCATGCCACCTTGGGGAAAACACGCAGACTCCAAATATACAGGCATCAGGGTCGAGATGGAACCCACAAGCTCGTGCACATCAGGTGAGACAGATAATATCGCGTCACCATGAACTTGACCTGGCTGCGCTGTGTTTGTTTGTGGACGTGCCGTGCACCTTGCGGTGGTGTAGTTGAAGTATAAGAAGGACTACGAGGAAAACAAAGCCATCGGGTTCAGCATCGTGACAGACACTCCTGAGCGCAAGAGAACCAAGCGGGCACAGGACCAGATCAGCGAGGTATGACACACCGACTGCTTTGTACGCACAGTACAAATTGGTTGGATAATAACTCATCATCTATATACAATAATTACGTCACATAACCATGGAGAGGAACCATCAAGCACTTGCTACATCACATGTGTGAGCCAATAAACTCAGTGGCAGAGTGAGCGGCTCCAACTCATAAGATTCCAATTTCAAATGCTGGTTGGGGCTTGACTCAGCCCATCAGCCCAGGGCGAGCGGCAGTGTGGTGCAGTGATCATACTCATGCCTTACAGCAAGTGCCTGGGTTCGATTCCCAACTGAGGCACCTTTCTGTGTGGAGTTTGTATGTTCTCCCCTGTTCTGCATGGCTTCATCGGGGTTTTCCGGCTTCCTCTTATAGCTAAAAAAATACAGTATAGCTGGTATTGGCCAAAATGCTAATTCTGAAATATTACTTGCGATTTACTCAATTGGGATGACACACAGCAGCAAAATCGCCCCCTCCTGTGAAAACTTGGCAGGACCCTCCTGAAAAATATTGAGACTCAGTGAGGCTTTGCTGGGTAAATACGCATAAGAACAATAATATAACCCCCCGGGGTCGATAACATTTGAAACATGGTGTGGGGAAGTAAACACTGGTTGCCCAATGAAAGACTTGCCCTCGTCATAGGAATGTGAAATTTCCAACCCCTTGCTCAATGCTATAAACAGGAGATGAACACTGCCTCAATATTCATTTGGGCAGGAAATCACGTTGGCTTGATTGCACTGGGCTGAGGTTCACAGCTGCTACACATCCTGCTCCGCCGCCGCTTGCCTGCCTTATGAGCCCCCCCGTGTGGTGCCGTGCAGGTGAAATACCACAAAGAATGGGAGAAGATGAAAAACGTGTGCCACCTAGACAACACCAGCCGAGATGTGGAGCATGCAGCCAAAGTGTCCAAGATGGTCAGCAAGGTACTGCGCCCTGCTAAGCAGCAGCCTGTTCGCCAAAACACTGAGTGAAATTCACAACGGTTGTTTTGTTCTCATGCTTCTGCGTTAAAAGCCGTGTGTGCATGCCTGGTCTTTACAGCACAGATTGTGTGTCACAGCTGGAGGTGAGAAACGTGGTGTAAATAAGCCATGCACCTGAATTTTTTATATTTGTGTGCATGGCCAGATTTTGTACAAAGAAAAATATGAAGACATGAAGGAGCATTTTCAACTACCTCCTGATGCGCCCGAGTTTGTACACGCGCTAAAAAACTCGGCACTCTACAGCAAGGTGACCCAGCACTCTAGATACACAATGACCATCAGCAGTCCTCACTTTAAACTCCAAGCAAGAGTACCTTGCCACGGTGGCGAGATCTTAACTACCTTGCCTGGTACACAGGAGGTTGTGGGTTCGATCCGGACCATAACACCTATATATTTGGAGTTTGCATGGTCTACCTGTGGTCGTGTGGATTTTTCTCCTCCGGTTTTTCCTACACATTTATAAACATGTGTTTCGAGTATATTATGGCTATACATTTTCTATTATTTGTGGCCAGGTCACTTCTGTTAAAGAGCTATACAGCTCAGTGGACCTCATCTGGTAAAATAATAAAAAGTTTCGTAAAAAAATAATTGGTGGGCAACCAGCTGGGGAAACCACACAACTGCATTTGTGTTGCCACTGGAACGATCATGACCACATTCTCTCACCCATAGTTAGGGCTAAAGCTGTGGCCTTTTATGGTTCTGGGAGCACTATTTCCTTATAAATTCATGAAACTACGAAAATACACGCTGCGTGGTTCATGGCCACTCCCATAATCTCTGGGGGCTAAAATCCACATTTTTGTCGTGGATTTTTGGATCTCTACCAGGAGCGGCTAATTCCTCCCATAATCTGAAGCACAGTATGACGACTCGAATATTTAGTAGGTCCCCCGAAGTTACCACGAATTACCAGATTTCTTCTGTATTTGCAAATGTTATTCGTGTGTCCACATGCGTGCGCGTGTGTTGGCATGTGTGTGTGTGCGTGCGTGTGAATAGAATGCGTATAAGGCTGAATACGAAGACGAGAAAGCGACCTTCTTTCCGTACGCCGACAGCCCGGAGCTCCGGCGCGTCGCGTCCGCACAGAAGATTTTTAGCGACGTATGTGGCACCGTGTTATTTTGCAGATGGCTCAATGGAACTGTGTCATTTAAAAGCTGGCTCACAAAAATAATTCAGAACATAGCACTGTTGCTGCAAATAAGCACTCCCAGAAGGTCATACTGCTGATGGGATGTGTAAAAAAAATCCTTTTCAGTTTTTATTTTGGAGAACACATATGGGTAGGAGGTGTGTTGTCTACTAATTTTGTTAGAGATTTATTTAACTGATTTATTTAACTAAATACTTGATTTCACAATCGATAAATTAAACTTAACAGTTTAAGATTTCCCAGCCATATTGCTGGCCAATTGCAATGCGAGTTACGTCTGTGTGTGTTTGTGCATGTCTTTGTTGCGACAGATTCAATACAAACAGAAGGGCGATGCTCCATACACATCAGTGGCAGACCCCCCTGATGTGCGGCAGGCTAAGAAGAACTTTCTGCAAGGCAGTGATGTCAGTAATGTTTTGTGATATTCACCCATCACCTGCGCCACCCTTTCACTCACATTTCTCTCCGTTTCCCAGTTGGGTTACAAACGACCCCAGTTTTAGCCTCTTGTCTCTTTCTTTGACTTTTTTCTTTAATCGTTTTGTTTGTTTATGCAAAACAGGGCCGATGGAATGTCTCAGTTTGGCATTGTCAGCTGCTACAACGCACAGCTAAATGCTCGCCAACGTGCTAAAGAGAAAGATTGATTATATCCTTGTTGTTCGCGGTTCAGAGGTTGCCGAGCGTGTGTGGAACACAAACACACATCGTGTATGCTCGGGGGTGCGTGTGTCTGTGTACACAGCTGAAGTATCGCGAGGCCTATAACAAGGACGTTAAGGGAAAGTGGGCCGAGACACCCTACGTGGACATGGCAAACGCCAAGATCAACGCGCACAATCTGTCTCAGGTAAGCTGACAGGTGCCACAACTGTGCTTGACAGGCAGAGCCATGTGGGAGGCACTAGCCTATCGAACCCGTGGTGTACACTTCAGGAGTTTCCATTGCTCATGCCACTCGAATTACATCCGTTCATTCTGTTGGAATGACCGATGAACGTAATTTTAATGTAAGATTCTTCATATGGTTGATATTTATAAAAATGCTACTCTGTCATCTCCGCGTGTGTGGTGAGTGGCGAGTGTGAGGTGATTATCTGGTGTGTGTCATTTGTCAGATGAGTGGTTAGTGTCTGCTGAGTGGTGTCTAGTGAGCAGTTAATGTCTGGCAAGGTGTCTAGTATGTGTCTTTTGAGTTTTAGCGTTTGGTGAGTGTTTAGTGTCTGGTGAGTGCTGATAGTCTGGTGAGTGGTGAGTGTCTGATGTGTGTCTGATGAGTGATGAGTGTCTGGATTGTGTCATTCTCTGGTGAGTGATGAGTGGTGTTCGGTAACACTGGTCAACACACTTTTTCTGGCATAAGGTATTCCAACGGTTTTAAGGCAATTTTGGGGTGCTGATTCCAAATATCTATCAGATATCAAATATTGCATTTTCAATAAAAACTGCAGAAGAAAAATATTAAATAAATGTGGATATCTACATAAAATGATATTATAAACACACTATCCTAAAAATACAGCACCATATTTTAACACTAAAGCAGTCACTGACTCGCAACAACTTGCAATCATAAGTGACAGAGTTAATTTCGGGTAAAATCAATGAAAATGGGGTATGCCGATAGCATAAAATGAGATGTGATAGAGCAAATCTGAGATCAGATTTGGAATCGGCACCCTGAAATTAGTCTAAAACAGCTGCAAAAGTCCAGGCCAGAAAAAAATGCTTTTTTTTTTGTTGTTGACCAGTGTAGTAGGAGAAGGTCTGATCAGTGTGTTATGCATGGTGAGTAGTGAGTCGTGAGTATCTGTTTAGTGTCAGTGTCTGTTGAGTGATGAATGTCATATGAGTGAGTGGTGAGTGGCTGGTGTGCTGTAAGTGGTATCTGATAAGTGGTGTAAGGTGAGTGATGAGACTGAGGCAGTGACGCGAACAAAGCTAGTTTTTTTGTTATCATTGAGAGTCTTATGAGTTGGTACTCAGCACAGGGCCTGAAGGCTGTTACATATGCGTGTATGTTGTCATGCACAATGAATGCATTATACAATGCGTATGGTTGGGGATTTCCTAGCAGAGGCCATTGTTGCACTGCTGTGTGTTAATGTTGGTGCTGTGGCCTCTGTGGACTTGTGCAGATCCAGTACAAGGCAGACTGGGAGCACATGAAGGACAAACAGTGTGGTCTGCAGAAGGATGCACTGCCACTCAAGGTGGCCAAGGCCCAGTGCAAGATTGCCAGCAATGTGGGTTTTAAACTGCCCTGGTACACACTCATTGCTGTCACACAAACCAATGTTTTCATTGGTTTATAGCCACGTGGATTTGCGGGAGTGTCTCTGACCTTGAGCTGGTGATTCGTTGTGCTGCAGGTGGAGTACAAGCGGGCATTCGAGCAGGCCCGAGGCCAAGCGGCCTGCATGCAGAGCGTGGATGATGATCCCAAGATCCGCCATTCCATGAATGTTTCCAAGAACCGCAGTGAGGTGGGTGCATTGTCTTTGGTGCGTTGGTTCACATCACTATGCATGACGCACATGCAAGAGAAAGTTACAGATACATTTTAATTGTTTATTGTGAACAAGCGTAGCAAGCCCGCAAGTCACATTCCACCACGAACCAGGTTATCCGTAGCCTGCCATGGTGGTGTTTGGTGTGTAGACACGTGCATTATGTTAATATATATTGATTATGTTCTCACATGGTAATACATGCAGTAAAAATTATCTTTAATTCCAGCTCCTCATGTTGTGTTATTAGGGGCCCAAATAAAGCCTTGTTTGATTGATTGTATCGTCTGTTTAGAATCTGTACAAGAAGGAATATGAGAAGAACAAGACTAAGTTTCACATGCCGGCGGACAGTGTTCACGTGGTTCAAGCTAAAAATGCGCAGGAAATGGCCAGCAACTTGGACTACAAGACAAGCCAACATGGCTACGTACTTCCCCCTGACTGTGTGACATCACAGCAGGCCCGCAAGTCCTATGACCTCCAGAGTGATGTACGAGCCACCACTGACACTGAGCACTGCACTTTGATCGCACAGGCAGTGACATCATCATCATTCCATTGATATGCCACCCTCTTCATCAACTCAACATCTCTCGTTTGACTCCAACAATAACTCCACTCTTCGATCTCACAGGCACAACAGTTTAACTGTCACCAAACCCGCACAGAGCTGCATCAGCATGGAACCATCTCCCAGACCCACCAACTCGTGCCGCCAGTCCCAGCTGATTTAAATCTGTGATTAAAGCTCGCTCACGCAATATATGCGACCACCATAGTGCTAATGCTTTTTACATAAACCGGCCATGTGTATCACTTACTTTTGTATTTATGTGTGTGTTTGACTGGGTGAGATATACATTGCATGAATGCAAACTGCATAAGTTGTACATGTAAATGTGTGTACATGTGTCGTGACATGTTTGTTATGTACGTGTGAGTTAACACCCGGGACACCCTTGTAAACAAGGCATACCGGCTCAAGGGATGGTTCAGCGGAATATTTTAATTGATAAATTAAGAAATAGATGTCCCTACAACAAGAAGTGTGTGTAGACAATGTGACGTGATGGTGCGTATGTCGTACGAGTCATGTATATGTCATGGTGCGCGCTACATATGTGCGTGCTGCAGAATTTGTACAAGTCGGACATGGACTGGATGCGTGGGGTGGGCTGGGTCACCTCGGGTTCCGTGGACGTTGAGAAGGTCAAGCGCGCAGGCAGCATCCTGAGTGAGGTGCGTCACCTCCCCTATCTCCGCACCTGCAAGGCCACCAGCGACGGTGCACACCTGTACAAGGGCAGGCACCGTCGCCTGTGCTCCCACCGACTCAGCGTTCCGCCTGTCCTGTCCACAACCTGCGCTTCTCTGTGCAGAAACGAGGTGCTGAGATGTTTCTTTGCTGCTCCCACAGAGGAAGTACAGACAGCCAGCTCAGCAGCAGCCCTTCACCCAGGTGGAGGACACGCCAGAGTTGGTGAAGGCCAAATCCAACAAGCAGCTCTGCAGTAAAGTACGTGTCAGAGTGTTCCGTTCTGCCGTGAATGACCCTCCTGCATCATTCATTTTCAAACACCGTTTGTTATTCTTCCTGATGGCTCTGTGCGTGTACATTTGCGTGTGCGAGCAGCTCGTGTACAAGGCAGATAGTGAGAAGCGCCTGCACCAGTACACCATGGATGCAGATGAACCCCAGCTGCTGCAGGCCAAGGTCAACAGCATCAATCTGAGTAATGTAAGCAGCCCATTACTCTCTTGCCACCTCAACGCATGGGGTAATCACTCATTCACTCACCACTTCAATACCGATCATAGGTAGTGATCACTCAGAGTTTCACACTCACTGCCACAACTCTCCTCTGCTTGTTTGCCTACAATAATGATACTTCTAACAGCCGGTGTATTAACCATAATATAAGTGCCGTCTGCTTTAAAGCGGACGCTAAAGATCCCGTGACGTAATTGGAAATGAATGGGTCATTGTGTGCCGGCGTCACGGTCCAAATTTTCCAATCAAAAGATTCCCCGCAAGATTACTCAATTGGGATTATACATAGCAATCATCGCTCCCTACTGACAGACTACGTGCAGGCAAGCTGGTAAGTCAGCTGCGCCACACAGGGAGAGTTGCCACTGGGGGGTCCCCTTGGAATGTTTGAGATGAGATGTGACGGAATATTTTTTCAGTTGTTGAGGCGTTTAAGAGCCATATGAATGCACAAATACAGCACGACATTACCCGAGTGATGCCTTTGATTGTGGTCGGTATCGCAATGTTTTCTCACCAGAAATGCTACCAATTTGACTATGAAGAAAACAAGGCCACGGGTTATGACCTGAAGGCTGATGCCATTCCTTTCCGTGCTGCAAGAGCTTCCAGCAACATCGTGAGCGATGTGAGTAACAAGCGCCCACACAGAACAATCACGCAAACAATTGCAGCGCATTAAGAATCAGAAAGCAAAGGTGGCCCGGGTTATCTTCAGACATCTCACAGTGGTTGTGGCTGTGGTGACTGTTGTGCAGCGCAAGTACAAGAAGGAGTACGAGGCAGACAAAGGCAAGCACATCGGGGCCCGGAGCCTGCAGGACGACCCCAAGATGGTTCACTCAATGCGTGTGGCCAAGATGCAGAGTCAGCGCGAGTACAAGAAGGGCTATGAGAAGGGCAAGACCAGCTACCACACGCCGATGGACATGCTGCAGGTCGTGGAGGCCAAGAAGGCCCAGGCCATGGCCAGCAACGTGGACTACAAGACGCGGCTGCACAGCTACGTGCTGCCACCCGACTACATGACGGGACAGCACGCCCGCAAGGCCTACGACCTGCAGAGCGACGTGAGGAATGTGCAACGAATGAGGGCGATTCTCGTGCTCACAAGGAACCATCTGGCAGTGCTGATCTGAAACTCCAGTTCTTGTTCACTATCCACACCGTATTACACTTATTTCTCTTATTCTTGAGTGCCCTTCTGTCTTTGTGTCACGACGAGGGGGCCCAATGAGACCATTCTGCCTGCTCCTGTCTTGCACCAGCTTTATTGCTTCCTTCGCGTGTTGCCCTTTCCGTTTGAGGTGTCGTTTTCACGGTGACAATGCGGGACATCTTTGCTCTTTCTCTATTTCGTGTTCCTTGTTCTCTCATGTGTAAAGCCATGTTTGATATTCTATATTATACTCACCTCCGATTAGCACGGTTGCCTACGTACGGTGCAACAGAAGTTCAACATACGTACAGTTGTGCTTTTTATTTAGTTAGAGGTGGATGCAACTCACAAACGAATTGCTCCTGCTTTGTTCCAGGCCATTGGGCATGAGTACACAGCTTTATTATCGACGAAAAATACTTGAAAATCAAAAGCAGGAGGTTGTCTATTGGCATGACTGCACTGACATTATATCATGAAATGCGGGGCGATACTACAGTGACAACATTACTGAAGTGATTTTAAAGGATTTGTCTTTTACTCATGAATTACATTTTGAACTAGTATTGGGCAGCTTGGGACGCATTCCAGGTACATCTCCACAACCAAGAGCAGTTTGTGTTTTGTGCTGTGTCTTTCTCTCAGAGTCACAATTGATAAAACTCAAGTTTGTAAAAAAAATCCAATTATGGTACCCAGATATTAAGGCACCCAAAAGAACATGTCTCAGAATTCCTGTCAAAGGACTGTCATTGGCCCCTGCTTATTTAAAGCAATCGGGGAGATTGATAATTATCCCTCACTCGCTGATTCACTCACTAACCGACGGTCAGTCACCTCCTTATCACTCTTCTATCGCTATTACCATGGTTACTCTTACCGTTAATTCACTCATTGATTCCTCCACCCATGTTGAGGACTCAGTCTATTAGTCTCACCATTTTGTCTCATCCAGACTGTGTTCAACCACCACACTGCTGGTCACAACAACACACTCACCCTCTCACTAACCCACCTCACTCACTTGCTCACCACACCGCAGGTCAACTCACTTCTCTTTATGCTTCTTCCCCCGCACTGCTCCACTTTGGAATTCCCACCATTGTCTCTTTCCCCAGGCTCTAATAATAACCTCGCTCGATTCAAGAAGCGTGTTAACACTTACCTGTTACAAATTTGATGGTGCTGTTTGTAGCTGGCCATGTGACGTTGTGGGCCTTTGGGCCTGTTCTCAGCATTTTTTTTTTAAGAAACTGAAACACCACAAGCAGCCACAGAATATAAGTGCCATTCCGTTGGGGACTTGAGCATGATGCGGACATGAAGCCGAGTGTCGTGCGTCTATGCTATTCAAGCTGTGCTATGCGCACACGCAGCGGAGTAGCCATTCTTGCCGACTTGTTAAAATGAAGGTAGCTTAGGAGATTTACGTGGTTTCAAAGTGACAACGATATCCTGCACAAATGAGCATTGCAGCGGTGCTCATCTACCGTGTACCTCCCTGAACCAGTGGTGGGAATTCCACATTTCTGTGTCGGGATTCAGATATCCATAGGACAATCACTGTTGACTTCCCCACAAAACGGTACTAATTTAATCAACACCGGAGGGATTATAGGCTGAGTCAACTCCCAACAAGAATTTAAATTCCCAACCTTCCAATCACAAGCTCCTTGATCTACTGCTGAGCCACCTGCATGGATTAATATCTTGCATGGCCTATTTAATTAAAATTAAAAGAAGATGATTTAGATTTTAAACTATTAAAACATGTGAGCTTTAATTTTTCCTGTTTATAATGCATCACAGTTTAGTCTATTTAGAGACACGTGTGTGGCAAGAAGTGTGTGCAGACAATGTGACGCGATGGTGTGCATGTCGTACGAGTCATGTGTATGTCGTGGTGCGCGCTACATATGTGCGTGCTGCAGAATTTGTACAAGTCGGACATGGACTGGATGCGTGGGGTGGGCTGGGTCACCTCGGGTTCCGTGGACGTTGAGAAGGTCAAGCGCGCAGGCAGCATCCTGAGCGAGGTGCGTCACCTCCCCTATCTCCGCACCTGCAAGGCCACCAGCGACGGTGCACACCTGTACAAGGGCAGGCACCGTCGCCCGTGCTCTCACCAACTCAGCATTCCGCCTGTCCTGTCCACAGCCTGCGCTTCTCTGTGCAGAAACGAGGTGCTGAGATGTTGCTTTGCTGCTTCCACAGAGGAAGTACAGACAGCCAGCTCAGCAGCAGCCCTTCACCCAGGTGGAGGACACCCCAGAGTTGGTGAAGGCCAAATCCAACCAGCAGCTCTGCAGTAAAGTACGTGTCAGAGTGTTCCGTTCTGCCATGAATGACCCTCCTGCATCATTCATTTTCAAACACCGTTTGTTATTCTTCCTGATGGCTCTGTGCGTGTACATTTGCGTGTGCGAGCAGCTAGTGTACAAGGCAGATGGCGAGAAGCGCCTGCACCAGTACACCATGGATGCAGATGAACCCCAGCTGCTGCAGGCCAAGGTCAACAGCATCAATCTGAGTAATGTAAGCAGCCCATTACTTCTAGATTTGAAGCTTTCGTGACTGCAAGGATTCATATTCTTAGGTTTTTTCGGTAAAGTCACGTAGGGAAAACATCAAAATTAATAAAAATAAAATAAAACAATAATTCACGACGTTTCGGAGGCAACACAAGTCTCCGTCATCAGGTGGGACCGTCACAGCCGGATTAGCTGCATCAAGTGAGGCAATGATTCAAGATGTAATCCTTTAAAAAGCAAGTTGAGGGGGAGGAGAGGGGGGGGGGGAGCTAATCAGAATGTGGTAGCCAATGAATGGAACGTATCGGGAGGGAGGGGGGGTGGGGCTCAAAGACGGCACGGAGTGCCAACGTACAACGCATCGGGAGGGGGAGGGGGGGGCAGGGCCAAAACTGTGCAACGCATCGGGAGGGGGAGGGGGGCCAAAGAGTGCACGACGGCATCGACGCTGTTGCTGTTGCACAACGCCAACGCATTGGACAGAGAGGGGGAGGGGAGGCCTGATACACATGATAGAAAAGAACAAAAATGCCCATGTTTATACCAATGCTGGCTGAACAATGAAGAGAGTACTGTTAAATACTGGGGATGTTAACACTCGGTAAAGTAAAGTAAGATAGTGCCTGTCAGATAAGATGGTCCAAAAAAGTGTAATTAAGTCTTTTTTGCGTGGTTAATAACATCTTTCCAATGATTACTAGGTTTGTACCCATCATCACGGTTGAAATTATGTCTGTGTTTGTATATTTGTATGGCTTCGTGTACAAACCTTTGATGGTAGCCGGGAGGTTTGCAGAGAACCTTGGTCTCGGAAAAGACAATTTCATGAGAGCCCACCGAGTTGTAGCAATGATCGGCAATGGCCGAAGAATCAGTTCTGCCGTGTTTCAGATCTGACTTGTGCTCGCGGACACGATCAGAAACATGACGTTTCCTTTCTCCAATGTAGCAATCACCACAAATGCAACTCAATTTGTAGACTCCAGGATACTGTAAGTGAGGCACGACATCCTTCACAGATGGAATCAGATCACGGATTTTATGCACTGTACTGAATCGGACTTGGATCTTATGTTTGTTTAGAATTTTGGAGATCTTTTTGGTCACGCCTGCTATGTATGGTAACGTGATAGTTTTGGTCGGAGTTTCATGTGGCTGTTCCTGTGTGGTGGGAGAGACAGCTTGGCGGATAGTACGGTCAGAGTATCCGTTCATCCTGAGGGTCCGATGTACATGTCTTAATTCACCGGTCAGGTGGTGTTGATCAGAAATGCCATGGGCTCTGTGGTATAGCGTTTTGATGAGATAATTTTTTTGAGATGGGTGGTGGTGGGAATCCGGTTTCAAGTAGGAATCTGTGTGGGTGGCTTTCCTGGAAACAGAATGTCCCAAGGATCTGTCAGGCCTCCTCTCAAACAGAATATCCAAGAATGGTAGTTTACCATCTTTCTCCACTTCCATGGTGAATTTGATGGATGGGTGTCTAGAATTGATGTGGTCCAAGAAGTGGTTCAATGCTGGGAGGCCATGTGGCCAGATGACGAAAGATGACACTTTCGTCATCTGGCCACATGGCCTCCCAGCATTGAACCACTTCTTGGACCACATCAATTCTAGACACCCATCCATCAGATTCACCATGGAAGTGGAGAAAGACGGTAAACTACCATTCTTGGATATTCTGTTTGAGAGGAGGCCTGACGGATCCTTGGGACATTCTGTTTCCAGGAAAGCCACCCACACAGATTCCTACTTGAAACCGGATTCCCACCACCACCCATCTCAAAAGAATTCTCTCATCAAAACGCTATACCACAGAGCCCATGGCATTTCTGACCAACACCACCTGACCGGTGAATTAAGACATGTACATCGGACCCTCAGGATGAACGGATACTCTGACCGTACTATCCGCCAAGCTGTCTCTCCCACCACACAGGAACAGCCACATGAAACTCCGACCAAAACTATCACGTTACCATACATAGCAGGCGTGACCAAAAAGATCTCCAAAATTCTAAACAAACATAAGATCCAAGTCCGATTCAGTACAGTGCATAAAATCCGTGATCTGATTCCATCTGTGAAGGATGTCGTGCCTGACTTACAGTATCCTGGAGTCTACAAATTAAGTTGCATTTGTGGTGATTGCTACATTGGAGAAACAAAACGTCATGTTTCTGATCGTGCCCGCGAGCACAAGTCAGATCTGAAACACGGCAGAACTGATTCTTCGGCCATTGCCGATCATTGCTACAACTCGGTGGGCTCTCATGAAATTGTCTTTTCCGAGACCAAGGTTCTCTGCAAACCTCCCGGCTACCATCAAAGGTTTGTACACGAAGCCATACAAATATACAAACACAGACATAATTTCAACCGTGATGATGGGTACAAACCTAGTAATCATTGGAAAGATGTTATTAACCACGCAAAAAAGACTTAATTACACTTTTTTGGACCATCTTATCTGACAGGCACTATCTTACTTTACTTTACCGAGTGTTAACATCCCCAGTGTTTAACAGTACTCTCTTCATTGTTCAGCCAGCATTGGTATAAACATGGGCATTTTTGTTCTTTTCTATCATGTGTATCAGGCCTCCCCTCCCCCTCTCTGTCCAATGCGTTGGCGTTGTGCAACAGCAACAGCGTCGATGCCGTCGTGCACTCTTTGGCCCCGCCCCCCCCTCCCCCTTCCGATGCGTTGCACAGTTTTGGCCCCGCCCCCCCGATGCGTTGTACGTTGGCACTCCGTGCCGTCTTTGAGCTCCGCCCCCCCTCCCTCCTGATACGTTCCATTCATTGGCTACCACATTCTGATTAGCTCCCCCCCCCTCTCCTCCCCCTCAATTTGCTTTTTAAGGGATTACATCTTGAATCATTGCCTCACTTGATGCAGCTAATCCGGCTGTGACGGTCCCACCTGATGACGGAGACTTGTGTTGCCTCCGAAACGTCGTGATTTTTGATTTATTTTATTCTTATTAATTTTGATGTTTTACCTACGTGACTTTACCGAAAAAACCTAAGAATATCAGCCATTTACTGTCACCACCTCAACGCCTGTCACGTGGGGTGATCGTTCTCACTCACTAACCACCTCAAAATTGATCACCCACGATTTCACACTCACGACTACAACTGTACAAAAACAATATCACCTGAGTGATGCCTTTGATTGTGGTCGGTATTGCAATGTTTTCTCACCAGAAATGCTACCAATTTGACTATGAAGAAAACAAGGCCACGGGTTATGACCTGAAGGCTGATGCCATTCCTTTCCGTGCTGCAAGAGCTTCCAGCAACATCGTGAGCGATGTGAGTAACAAGCGCCCACACAGAGCAATCACGCAAACAATTGCAGCGCATTAAGAACCAGAAAGCAAAAGTGGCCCGGTTATCTTTAGGCATCTCACATTGGTTGTGGCCGTGGTGACTGTTGTGCAGCGCAAGTACAAGAAGGAGTACGAGGCAGACAAGGGCAAGCACATCGGGGCCCGGAGCCTGCAGGACGACCCCAAGATGGTTCACTCAATGCGTGTGGCCAAGATGCAAAGTCAGCGCGAGTACAAGAAGGGCTATGAGAAGGGCAAGACCAGCTACCACACGCCACTGGACATGCTGCAGGTCGTGGAGGCCAAGAAGGCCCAGGCCATGGCCAGCAACGTGGACTACAAGACGCGGCTGCACAGCTACGTGCTGCCACCCGACTACATGACGGGACAGCACGCCCGCAAGGCCTACGACCTGCAGAGCGACGTGAGTGTGCATTCCCACCGGCCTCGTGCGTATCACTGAGAATCATCACCAGAGGCGGGTCACAGGGGATATATGAAACAATGTCTTGTCTTTACACAGTCGCTGTACAAGTCAGACTTGGAATGGATCCGAGGGTGTGGATGGATTCCCACCGAATCCCTGGATGTAAAGAAGGTTCAAAGAGCAGGGAACATCCTGAGCGAGAAGAAATACCGGCAACACCCAGACACCGTAGGCTTCACCAGTGTGACTGACTCGCCCGTCATGCAGCAGTGCAAGCTCAACGCCGACCAGATCAACGACGTGAGTGCATTGCTTATGCCTAATTTGACACGAGGCTTAAGTTTAGGTTCATTAACATTCTGCTGGTTAAAAATGTCAAATTTTTTGCACAATTTCTGACATGTAGTGTTCTGATTTTATGGTGTGTTTGTAGCGTGCGTACAGGAAAGCATGGGAGGATTCAAAGACTGAAATAAGTATGATGCCCGATACGCCGCAGCTGTTACAGGCCAAAGCCAACGCGTACAACCTCAGTGATGTGAGCCTGGTTGCAGCTGAAAACATGTGTGCACCATTAAGAACATTATGAACATGATGAACAAGGTAAGTAGCCTGCGGTCTAGCTACATCACAGGAATCGTTTGTTTCAGGTTTGCTACAAAAAAGGACTGGAGGAGCAGCGTGCTCTAGGCTGTGACGTGCGAGCAGACGCCATCCCCATCCGAGCGGCCAAGGCCTGCAGGGCGATCGCCAGTGACGTGAGCTCACACCGCTGCACCACCACTGCCTTCACAGCAACGAGCCACTACCCTGTGGCCACAGGCTGAAGGACGTGTGCCTCTTTCTTTTGCAGGTCAAGTACAAGGAGGCTTTTGAGAAGGCAAAGGGACACCACGTGGGCTTCCAAAGCCTGGAAGACGATCCCAAGCTGGTCCACTCCATGCGCGTTGCTAAAATGCAAAGTGATCGTGCGTACAAGAAGAATTTTGAAAAGAGTAAGACAAACTACCACATGCCTTTGGACATGCTGAACCTCGTCATGGCCAAGAAGTGCCAGGACATGGTCAGTGACACCAACTACAGGCAGAGGCTGCACGACTGGACGTGTCTGCCGGACCAGACCAGCGTCGCCCACGCCAAGATGGCCAACGAGCTGCAAAGCGATGTAAGATCTTGTTTTATGTTTTTGTTTGCTCATATATTATGTTTTTATCAGTGTCTAGTAACACATAATTCTGGTTATGTCACCCTAGACTCTCTACAAGGCAGACCTTGATTGGATCCGGGGATGTGGCTGGATTTCGGTTGGGTCCTTGGACAATGTGAAGGTTCAGAGAGCAGGAGACATCCTGAGTGAGAAGAAATACCGGCAGCATCCAGATACTGTAGGCTTCACCAGCATCAGCGATTCGCCCGATATGCTCCAAGCTAAAGTCAATGCCGAACAGCTGAGCGATGTGAGTTTAACATGATCTTAAAGTGATGCTTCAGTAAATTAGCATGCATTTAAATTAACAACCATTGCCCTGTGAATGACAATACATTATAAACTAACGTATCTGGAAGTGATCCTTCTTCACAACAAAAAAAATATGTTGGATGATATCTTTCATTTTGCCGTGGAGGTTTAGACATGTTTTGATGTCGCCGCTCTCCACGTTCACGCGTGATGCAAGTCCAGATGCTGCACAGGGCCGGTTGGTTTGTGACTCTGTCGTGCGTCTGTAGTTGGTGTACAGGGCTGATGGTGAGGAGGCCAAACACTCGTACACGCTGCCTCCAGATGCACCGCAGCTGCTACAGGCACGCGTCAATGCCTATAACTCCAGCGACGTAAGTTGAGATGCACAGTTGCTTTAACGCCTGTGTCCTCATCGCATGCCTGTGAGCACAGCATGCCACGGTCACCACTCATGTAGGAGTAGTCACAGTAATTTCCTGCTCGATTGAGGTAGTGTTCATCTCTTTACAGCCTTAAGCCAGTGGTGAAAATTTCGCATTCCTATGGCGGGGGCGAGTCTATCCATAGGACAACCACTGTTGACTTCCCCACAAAGTGGTAATAATTTTATTGACCCTGGAAACATGATGGGTTGAGTCAACCCTCAACCAGAATTTGAACTTACAACCTTTCTATTGTGAGCTGCTTGTAGTAGTATGCCATATTTAACCAGGATATGAAATAAAATCATTGAGATGAAACAACATTCCCTGTTTATTAAGGGCGACCTGGGTCATATCAAGACGGTTTAAGTACACAATATTTATGTTGCACATTCATAATGAAGAGACGAGGGGCTCCAGGTGGATAGCAACACATTTGTTTTCAATATCTGTAAAACACGACATGCAAATCTCATTGGGCAGGTCTGCAACAGGCCTCCTTTAGCCATCTGGTTGGTGTGCATATCAAGTCACTCAAGAGACTAGTGTACACACAAGGTCACAAGGTCACTCAAGAGACGAGTGTACACACAAGGTTACAAGGTCACTCAAGGTTACAGGGTCAATCAAGTGCCCGCCAGTCTCCGACTGGTCAGATTCAATATTGACTGCACGTATTGTTGAAGCCTATAGCAAATTTGGACCTTATAAATAATTGGAGTGTTTCTACTTCTATTGTGCCACATTTCAAAAGCATTTAAATTGAACAATCGAGATTAATGTTTACAATAATGTTATACCATTGTGAATAAGGAAGAGTAGAAGGTGGGGTGCACTTCAAAAAAATTATAGAAACTTTTTTTTTACAAATTCTGCAAAGAAAAATCACTAAAGAGGCAATAGAGAAGATGTGTACAAAATATGAGAAGAGAAAATGTTAACAAAATGGCTTAACACAGCCAGAAAACATTAACACAAACACTTCATGGTTATGTAACAAAAATATTTTACACACTGATCAAATGCATCTAGGAATGTGCATTGGAGCTTAGAATAATGTAGTACATAAGTGCACTTTGCTAGTGGTGCAAAGGTTGGCTAGTGTAACCAGATATGGACCAAGGTGATCCTGTTATTGTGGTGCCACACGTTGACACTTGGAGGCAGGGGCATGTGTGAGGTTGCTGCTACCAATAGAACTCTGCATTGATGTCTTCCTGCCTGATAAGAAGCAGCACTTTGGAAAAGGACAGTGCATAATGGCACCTCTGATTAGCACGGTTGGCTACGTACGATGTGAAAGAAGTTTAACATACATGCATATGGCAAGGCTACTCCAACCTGTGTTATTTATTGTGTGGAACTGTTGTGGTTTAAGTTTGAGGTTATCCTTGCTACTCTGGCTGGTTTAAAACTTTAGTCGTGTCGCTAGGTTTGCTACAAGATGGCCTGGGAGAAGACCAAGGACAAGGATTTTGAGCTTCCACTGGATGCGCTGTCCATCACAGCCGCCAAACACTCCGTCAACATCATGAGTGACGTGAGTGTTGCTGATAGCCGACCTTATAAAATACTGGTACCCCATCGCTGTTAGATAGCTATGCATACGCCAATTTAAAAAGCCTCAGCACTCAAAGTGTCATATATAACATCTCCTCTCAAACATTCAAAAGGACACCCTCAGTGGCAGCTGATCCTGTGTGGCAAAAGGTGACAGCACCGGCCTGCAAGTGGAAATTTGTCAACCAGTAGGAGGCAATGATTGCTATGTATAAATCCTATTGATTAATTCGCAGGTGATTTTTAAAAAATTGGACCATGCCATTGACAAGCAATGGCCTGCTCTTTTCGAATGACGTCACGTGATCTCAAAAATCCAATCTAAAGCACAAGGCACATTTTACGGTCAATACAGCCTTAGCTAGAACGGTTTGCCAGATTCAAACTGCGAACATCTGCAACAAGCGGCAAACGTGCAACTGCTGGGTCATGTCCCTGTCAAAATATCGAGTGAAATAAGATGTACTTAAAAATAAATGCCAATAATATTGTCATTTTGTAACCTGACTTTCGACAGCGCAAGTACAAGAAGGAGTATGAGGCAGACAAGGGCAAGCATATTGGGGCCCAGAGCCTGCAGGACGACCCCAAGATGGTTCACTCAATGCGTGTGGCCAAGATGCAAAGTGAGCGCGAGTACAAGAAGGGTTATGAGAAGGGCAAGACCAGCTACCACACGCCACTGGACATGCTGCAGGTCGTGGAGGCCAAGAAGGCCCAGGCCATGGCCAGCAACGTGGACTACAAGACTCGGCTGCACAGCTACGTGCTGCCACCCGACTACATGACGGGACAGCACGCCCGCAAGGCCTACGACCTGCAGAGCGACGTGAGTGTGCATTCCCACCGGCCTCGTGCGTATCACTGAGAATCATCACCAGAGGCGGGTCACAGGGGATTCATGAAACAATGTCTTGTCTTTACACAGTCGCTGTACAAGTCAGACTTGGAATGGATCCGAGGGTGTGGATGGATTCCCACCGAATCCCTGGATGTAAAGAAGGTTCAAAGAGCAGGGGACATCCTCAGCGAGAAGAAATACCGGCAGCACCCGGACACCGTAGGCTTCACCAGTGTGACCGACTCGCCCGTCATGCAGCAGTGCAAGCTCAACGCCAACCAGACAAACGACGTGAGTTCATCAGTGCGGTGTTTGGGCTGAGTCTCTAAGTGTTCACAGCATTCAATACAATAAGTAAGTTAGTGAAAGGCGATCTGACTGTATAATGTATCTGCATTGACAGCGCTTGTACAAGGAAGCCTGGGAGCAGGACAAGGTCAGCATTCACGTCATGCCTGACACTCCACAACTGCTGCAGGCCAAGGTCAACACCTACAACCTGAGCGATGTGAGTACCATTGGCGATAGAGACATGGGTTTATTTTATTTTTATACACGTATACATTAATGTTATTTTTCATGTTTTCTTCATGATAATTTGTTTTTTGTACAGATATACTACAAGCATGACCTGGAGCAGATGAGAGCAGATGGATATGACCTGAGGCTGGATGCCATCTCCATTAAAGCTGCAAAGGCCTCCAGGAACATCGCCAGTGATGTGAGGTCCTTCATCTCATAAATAAACTCATGGGAACTAATGTTCGTGGATTAATGCATCAAACACATTAATACGATTTTCTTGAGCGATTTTGAATACGTTTGTATTACTTTCAGGTCAAGTACAAGGAGGCATTTGAGAAGGCAAAGGGACACCACGTGGGCTTCCAAAGCCTGGAAGACGATCCCAAGCTGGTCCACTCCATACGTGTTGCCAAAATGCAAAGTGATCGTGCGTACAAGAAGGATTTTGAAAAGAGTAAGACAAACTACCACATGCCTTTGGACATGCTGAACCTCGTCATGGCCAAGAAGTGCCAGGACATGGTCAGTGACACCAACTACAGGCAGAGGCTGCACGACTGGACGTGTCTGCCGGACCAGACCAGCGTCGCCCACGCCAAGATGGCCAACGAGCTGCAGAGCGATGTAAGATCTTGTTTTATGTTTTTGTTTACTCATCTATTCTGTTTTCCTCAGTGTCTAGCAACACGGCATTCTGGTTATGTCACCCTAGACGCTGTACAAGTCAGACTTGGATTGGATCCGGGGGTGTGGCTGGACTCCGGTTGGGTCCCTGGACAATGTGAAGGTTCAGAAAGCAGGAGACATCCTGAGCGAGAGGAAATACCGGCAGCACCCAGATACTGTAGGATTCACGAGCATCAGTGACTCGCCCGTCATGCAGCAATACAAGCTCAACGCCGACCAGATCAATAACGTGAGTGCAATAGTGCTGCACTTGGGCTGAGACTTTAAGTGATTCCAGCATGCAATACTCATCCAAGAAAAGAGCAATCTAACTCTATAACATTTATGCATTGACAGCGCTTGTACAAGGAAGCCTGGGAGCATGACAAGATCAGCATTCACGTCATGCCCGACACTCCAGGGCTGCTGCAGGCCAAGGTCAACTCCTACAACCTGAGCGATGTGAGTGGTTCATATAGTCCGCGATCACACAGTTTATGAGCAAATAAAATATGTATATCCTGCTTAACTGGTCGTATCTAAACAAATGTTGAGCAAATGGTTGGTTCGGAATAACCAGACATAGGTCACCCTCTCTATTGGTCCTAACTGATGACATCACATTTCTCTCTGCACGTGAATGGAGTAGCCTGTGGTCTAGCTACATCACAGGAATCGTTTGTTTCAGGTTTGCTACAAAAAAGGACTGGAGGAGCAGCGTGCTCTAGGCTGTGACGTGCGAGCAGACGCCATCCCCATCCGAGCGGCCAAGGCCTGCAGGGCGATCGCCAGTGACGTGAGCTCACACCGCTGCACCACCACTGCCTTCACAGCAACGAGCCACTATCCTGTGGCCACAGGCTGAAGGACGTGTGCCTCTTTCTTTTGCAGGTCAAGTACAAGGAGGCTTTTGAGAAGGCAAAGGGACACCACGTGGGCTTCCAAAGCCTGGAAGACGATCCCAAGCTGGTCCACTCCATGCGAGTTGCTAAAATGCAAAGCGATCGTGCGTACAAGAAGGATTTTGAAAAGAGTAAGACAAACTACCACATGCCTTTGGACATGCTGAACCTCGTCATGGCCAAGAAGTGCCAGGACATGGTCAGTGACACCAACTACAGGCAGAGGCTGCACGACTGGACGTGTCTGCCGGACCAGACCAGCGTCGCCCACGCCAAGATGGCCAACGAGCTGCAGAGCGATGTAAGATCTTGTTTTATGTTTTTGTTTACTCATCTATTCTGGTTTCCTCAGTGTCTAGCACCACATAATTCTGGTTATGTCACACTAGACACTGTACAAGGCAGACCTGGATTGGATCCGGGGATGTGGCTGGATCCCGGTTGGGTCCCTGGACAATGTGAAGGCTCAGAGAGCAGGAGACATCCTGAGCGAGAGGAAATACCGGCAGCATCCAGACACCATAGGCTTCACCAGCATCACCGACTCTCCCGTCATGCAGCAGTGCAAGATCAATGCCGACCAGATCAACAACGTGAGTGCTGTGCTTGACTTGATATAATTTCTGAAATGCTCCTACATTCAATACTCATGCGAGTAAAAGGCAATCTAACTCCCAAACGTATCTGCACTGACAGCGCTTGTACAAGGAAGCCTGGGAGCAGGACAAGATCAGCATTCATGTCATGCCCGACACTCCAGACATGTTGCAGGCCAAGGTCAACTCCTACAACCTGAGCGATGTGAGTCATTATGATATGAATGTTTTTGATATTTTACGTTGGATTTGGAAACCAGTCGCACTGTGTCTCACACTTCTGGCATCGATCTTGCTGAGATCACAGCGGTGGTTATCGTGAAATCAAATATGAAAGTTCAATATTATTCTTGCATTGCATTTTGCCTCGACTGTGTCACATTTCTCTATTTTGCAAGGCGATTCCACTCTCTGAGACATGTCCACCACTGCATGCAAAGAGCTCCAGGAGACAGTGTTGAGTCGCAGCAGCGCCCATTTATGAATGCACCGACAGGGCCAGCAACGAAATTACACACGATCACAACTCATTCAGCCCACAGATACAGCACCCTGTGCCCTTGCTCTCTCACAAAGGATCATACTTCGCGTTGTGAATTTAACAGTTTACATATCAAATATCATTCGCTATTACAGGCATGCCTCATAGCGTTCAGGATGCATTCTTGGAAAGCGGAGCGCGATACGAAACAACGCGATACGATGTCATAACACAGTTACAATGGAGATGCATTACCGACAGCGCTATTTTTTACCTATCAGCGGTATCGGTGATCGCCTTAATACTGATACTGTACACATGATAAATATATTCAAGCATTTTATAAATAAAAATATTAACTTTTAATGATGACATGAAAAAATTACAAAAAGTTATCTGCCAACCAGTGCATTCGTTTGGAGCTTGCGTAAGATTAACCACCATCTGCCGTAAATACACGTTCCGTGGGAAGCCTTCAAGACTGGCGGGCCGAGGCTGGGGCACTGATTGGCCCAGCGCCACGGAGCGTCAGCGACTCTCACTGGTTGAACACGTGGCTCTGAGAAACGAGGGAGCGACGCGCACTGCGTGTTCTTGCTCAGGAATTTTGAACCATGCAGGAATTTTGAACGGAGGAATTTTCCTCCAGGACAAAGACCGTACGTAATAAGGAAACTGCATTATAAGAGTCAGCGCAACGAGAAATATGCCTGTATTATAAACAACCATACTCTTTGGTTCTTTCGGTAAAGTCACGTAGGTAGAAAAATAAAATGAAATAAAAAATAATATATCACGACGTTTCAATCGCAACACAAGCGGTCGTCCTCAGGCGGAAAAAATAATCCAGCAGTGGAACTGCTGAACCAGGAAGAAACAGCGAAAGAGCCGTTACAACAAGAGGTTATATATGTTGGCGAAGGGCAAGCAGCCAGGGTCTGAGCTGGAAAGGAATTCCATCCCCGCACGCAAGCTCGTCAGTTGTGTTAATGGGGGAGATTAGGGAGAGAGATTAGCATGAAATGAGCTTCCGTTGCCGTGTAAGAGTATCGCCCCGTGTATGCGCATAACAGCAGTGTTAATGGGAGATTAGCACTATGTTGATATGTTGATGGGAGAGATTTGGCAGAGAGATTAGGGAGATTAGTAAGTTAATGTCATGTCTATGTGTAACACAAGCTAGAAATAACCACTGTATTAACTTTAATAATATGTATTATAAATACTATATATGTGAATTATGTTGCATTACAATTAAGGATTATATTTAGATTTAAATTAAAATATCAGAGCTCCGCAATCATGCTACATTCCTCTCATTGCCCTGCGTGGCTTGGAGCCCACTGTCGGTCTTGTGCCTGCCTGCGCATGTCCATTGGAAGACGCAGAGCCCAACGCATTGCTGCCCATCTGATCGAAGCCAATCGCGGCCCAGCCCTGTCCACGCTGCTATTACGCAATTCCCGCATTACACTTAAGAGGATATTGATTATTTATTCAGGGACTCTATATCCAATTTCAGAAATTAATTGCGTGAATATTTATTTTCTAGAAATACTACAAGCACAGTCTGGAACAGATGAGATCCGATGGATATGACTTAAGGTTGGATGCCATCTCAATCAAAGCTGCAAAAGCATCCAGGAGTATCGCCAGTGACGTAAGCACCTCCCTCGCATGGAGCCCACCCCTGTCGCTGCTAACTTTACATGTTATGTTTACATTGTGAGTTTGTGTTCCCGCACATTATTGGTTATTTACAAGTATTTTTTTTCTCTCCAGTACATATACAAGGAGGCTTACCGCAAGCAGAAGGGACACCACGTGGGCTTCCGAAGCCTGGAAGACGATCCCAAGCTGGTCCACTCCATACGCGTTGCCAAAATGCAGAGTGACCGTGAATACAAGAAGGATTTTGAAAAGAGTAAGACAAACTACCACATGCCTTTGGACATGCTGAACCTCGTCATGGCCAAGAAGTGCCAGGACATGGTCAGTGACACCAACTACAGGCAGAGGCTGCACGACTGGACGTGTCTGGCGGACCAGACCAGCGTCGCCCACGCCAAGATGGCCAACGAGCTACAGAGCGATGTAAGGCCTTATTTAAAAATGTGTTATTATTATTATTTGAACAGTGGAAAGGAATTTATTTCTCTGACATGCTTTTGTGTCTCAGACTCTGTACAAGGCAGACCTGGATTGGATCCGGGGGTGTGGCTGGATTCCGGTTGGGTCCCTGGACAATGTGAAGGCTCAGAGAGCAGGAGACATCCTGAGCGAGAGGAAATACCGGCAGCACCCAGAGACCGTAGGCTTCACCAGCATCACCAACTCACCTTTCATGCAACAGTGCAAGCTCAACGCCGACCAGATCAACGACGTGAGTGCATCAGTACTGTGCTTGGACTGAGTTTCTAAATATTCCTTGCATGCATTACTCATGCGATAGGAGGATGAGAAGGATAATTTAACTCCGTTGTGTATCTGCACCGACAGCGCTTGTACAAGGAAGCCTGGGAGCAGGACAAGGTCAGCATTCACGTCATGCCCGACACGCCACAGCTGCTGCAGGCCAAGGTCAACACCTACAACCTGAGCGATGTGAGTACCTAGGTGTGAGAGACTCAATTTTATTGTTCGTATTAAAATTTATTCCAATTAAATGCATCTGTCTATATCACAATATGTTGTGTTTTCTACGTCTAATTTCATTCCGTAATGATTATATGTACAGAAATACTACAAGCAGGGTCTGGAGCAGATGAAAGCGGATGGATATGACCTGAGGTTGGACGCCATTTCTATTAAAGCTGCAAAAGCCTCAAGGAACATCGCCAGCGATGTAAGCAACCTTCCACTCATTAGCGGAAATTGAATGCTTACTATTGTGTTAACTTAAGAAGTTACAACCCTTCTTGAGCCATACATGATTTTTCAAGATTCTAACTGCTATAGTAATACAACAACTGAACTTTTGTATGGGCTGGCAGAGCCAAAGAGTCGTTATTGACAGGTATATTTTCCAGGTGACAACCAGGCCATGCAGATTCTTCCATGGAAGGTTGTGTCTCCTCCACTCCTACACAACTACAGAATGAAACCAGACAAGGGCAGGGGCCATAGGACTCCCCCATATACAATTACATTTACATCGCGTCTCAATTTAACCACATCTCCAGACGCTTCACATGAAACGTAAAGCATTCAAAGGGTATGAATAGGTAAAAAAAACAGAAAAAAATAAGATTTAAACATTTTATCCATATGCACATGAAAACAAATGATGTTGGAGGTTTGACTTGAACAACGGCAGAGTCTCAAATGCATGGAGTTTAAATGGAATTGAATTCCAGAGCCTAGATAGGAGAATCCGAGAAGGGGGACCTTCAAGGAATGAAGGTTGTCTGTGGGCTTTATCGCTGGAATGGAGATAACGTGCCAGAGAATCGAGTGAGATAAGAGGGGAGAAGTAGCCAGGGGCAAGACAAATGCCAATAAGAGCCACTGCAATATTAAATTGAATTTGAGACTTGACAGGAAGCCAGTGCAAAGATTGCAGTGCAGGAGTGCTATAATCACATTTTCACTTTTGGGTGAGGAGCCTTGTATCGAAATTCTGAATCATGTGTTATCTTGAAAGGAGGGAATTTGAAATACCATACAAGAGCGAGTTTCATTGGTCTAGGCGAGAAGTAATAAAAGCGTGGATATAGGCCTTAGCAGACAGTGCAGGTAAACATTGCCGTGTCGACTCAGTGTGACGCAGGTGGCAGTAAGAGTCCTTGCAGACTCGGGAGATGTGGCGGGTGAACATATCAGGGTACAGGAGATCCACACTCGACTTTGAGATTCTATTTTGACACTTTTTGTTTCACCAATCTGAAGGATCTCAGTTTTGGTAGTATTTAAAAGAAGAAATTTTGAACCAATCCAGTTTGAGATTGCATTAAAACAAGCTAAAAAATTGGACATTGCAGATGAATGAGAGAAGTCCATAGAGACGTACTGCTGGGTGTTATCAGCACAGATCTCATGTGCCACCTTTAAACTTGATATGATTGCACCAAATTGAAGGAGGTAAATGGGAAAGGCAGTGGGCCAAATAAGGAGTCATGTGGTACCCCATTGATTTAACAGTTTTAGAGAGAAAGATTTACCCTGAAATGAATCATAAACAAAATAATTTTATGGTAAGAAGATAACCCAGAGAGTAATATACTTACGTATCTCTGAAGGCACTGCAGCCTGTGGTCTAGAATGCAGCTGTGAGATCAATGGGGACCAGAAGCATAAGAGACCCATGATCATAAGAGACTAGGAAGCCATTGACCACACCTAAACATTGTCTCTGTAAAAGTGGCCTTGTTAAAAACCAAACTGCAATAGGTCATAGAGACCATGGATGGCAAGGTGATTAGGTAGAAATGTAAAAGTATTCTTTTCCAGAACCTTCCCCAGAAAAGACAATTTTGAGATAGGGTAGAATTTTTTTAAAGTAAGTCAGGGTCAACATTAGATTTGTGAGTATAAGAGTGGCAGTAGCTTGTACCGGTAGAATGAATCCATTGACCACCCAAGTGATATGGTGATAGAGTGGGTAGGCAGTGTGCGATGAGTTTTCTGAGACCCAGATCCATGATGGAAGTAGACATCTTCATTTTGGAGAAGATGTTGGGTAATTCAAGTTTGTGTGACGGCTTATGGGATGTCAAGCTGGGGGGGGGGGGGGGGGGGAAGAAAAAGGAACAGGGGAGGCATTGTGTGATGCCAGTTTGCCACTTCTAATTTGTTTCAAAATCATGGATGAATTTTTTTCATGAAAAACTATATCTTCAATTAGATTTTCACCAATTGCTGCTTACTTTACGGTCATAGGAGATACTAAAGGCTGCGCTTTTAATATTCTTGATCAAATGTTTGTAAGGTTTGGTATTCTATCATCTAAGCAACCCTAAGTTTACAAGAATTAATTTAGTGTTTTAATAATTTTTTTGATCAACATTCTTTATTTTTTCAGGTCAAGTACAAGGAGGCTTTTGAGAAGGCTAAGGGACACCACGTGGGCTTCCAAAGCCTGGAAGACGATCCCAAGCTGGTCCACTCCATGCGCGTTGCCAAAATGCAAAGCGATCGTGCGTACAAGAAGGATTTTGAAAAGAGTAAGACAAACTACCACATGCCTTTGGACATGCTGAACCTCGTCATGGCCAAGAAGTGCCAGGACATGGTCAGTGACACCAACTACAGGCAGAGGCTGCACGACTGGACGTGTCTGCCGGACCAGACCAGCGTCACCCACGCCAAGATGGCCAACGAGCTTCAGAGCGATGTAAGGTTTTGTAATTGCATATTTATTGTTTGCATTTCATTCTCATTGTTATTCAAGCAGTGGATAACACAACATAATTTATTATGTGTTTTTGTTTCTCAGACTCTGTACAAGGCAGACCTGGATTGGATCCGGGGATGTGGCTGGATTCCGGTTGGGTCCCTGGACAATGTGAAGGCTCAGAGAGCAGGAGACATCCTGAGCGAGAGGAAATACCGGCAGCACCCAGAGACCGTAGGCTTCACCAGCATCACCAACTCACCTTTCATGCAGCAGTGCAAGCTCAACGCCGACCAGATCAACGACGTGAGTGCATTGGTGCTCTTCTTGGCCTGCTTCTGCACATTTTTGCCAGAATGCATGACTGTAACACCCCAATTTACACCACCCCCCCCCTGCTTAACTTAATTTCTCTGCAACATCCTCAACTTATTGATACCCAATCCTATATGATGTACTGTGTACCTCACCAAAACCTACTCGAGATTTAGGAACATTACCATTAAGGCTCAAATTAGCGCCCAAATGTTAGCGTCCTTGACTGGTTATAGTCTCTTTTATGTGTACTCTATTCGTATTTTTCCCCCCACATACCATGCTTATGGCAACTATTTGTATACAAATGAAAACTATTTTGACATGATAACCTACTACTAATAATATATATAGTATAATACACAAAGTAATATATCTTCAATAATAAGCATTTGCTTCTCACATTGATGGTTGGACAGTATAGATGTGCAATGGGTTACTGAGCATCCTTTGTTAATGTTCTGTACCACGTTACGATCCACCATCCCATCTCTTTGCTTCGATTTAGGTACTTTCACTTTACGTTCTAGTTTTCAGGAACGCATCTTGGACGTAAACTGGAGTATGCCTTTACTTGCATTATCTTCTTGGTTCTTTCGGTAAAGTCACGTAGAAGGGAAGTAATAAAATAATAAAAATAAAACATAATAAAATAAGATAATTCTCACGACGTTTCGGCTACAACGCAAGCAGCCGTCTTCAGGTGAAGAATGAGACACTGCCAAGCTAGGAGCTTATATATAAGCTGGGTTGGAGGTTGAAGAAGAGCGCCTTAACAAAAAGAATGTGCATATCAAGAGGAATTTAGCATATTCATGGAAAATGCGTAGGAGGTGGGCGGGGGGGGGTTTCAAAGTCATATTATGCCCATGCATTATGCAGGATCAGCAGCACCAAGGGAGGGTGCAGGGAGTAGCATTAACAAAGGAAAGGAATGTTAATGATATGTAGCTGCAGTTACTCAACAACCACGTAGAAAACTAAAGTATAAACTACATAAAAAACTAAAGTATAAACTGCATAGCATCATCAGTATAATTACTATACTCTACAATAAGCTGAGTTACTAACAGCAAGTAATACTATTCCCTGCACCCTCCCTTGGTGCTGCTGATCCTGCATAATGCATGGGCATAATATGACTTTGAAACCCCCCCGCCCACCTCCTACGCATTACCATGAATATGCTAAATTCCTCTTGATATGCACATTCTTTTTGTTAAGGCGCTCTTCTTCAACCTCCAACCCAGATTATATATAAGCTCCTAGCTTGGCAGTGTCTCATTCTTTACCTGAAGACGGCTGCTTGCGTTGTAGCCGAAACGTCGTGAGAATTATTTTATTTTATTATGTTTTATTTTTATTATTTTATTACTTCCCTTCTACGTGACTTTACCGAAAGAACCAAGAAGATGAATCCCTGCAGTCACAAAAGCTTTAAATCGAAATTTACTTGCATTAGTTAAGAAGGAATGTAATCAAATGTCTCAACATGTTCACACAAACAGCGCTTGTACAAGGAAGCCTGGGAGCAGGACAAGGTCAGCATTCACGTCATGCCTGACACGCCACAGCTGTTGCAGGCCAGGGTCAACACCTACAACCTGAGCGATGTAAGTTCATGGCAGATGGATGTTAATCATATGTTCACTTACAAGGGAGCGATTTATTTATTATTAGCACACACATATATACGGTATATACAGTATAATGCATCAGATTTCTATGGGTAATTTTGATATTTTTTTCTAGAAATCCTACAAGCAAGGTCTGGAGCAGATGAGAGCAGATGGATATGACCTCAAGTTGGACGCCATCTCCATTAAAACTGCAAAAGCCTCCAGGAATATCGCCAGTGATGTGAGCAGCTCCCTGTCATGAAGAGTCACTGGCTGATCACCCCCTTTACTTTCCGCTTGACCAATAGCTTGTAATGTAATGTTTCATATCTTTGCAGTACATATACAAGGAGGCTTACCGCAAGCAGAAGGGACACCACGTGGGCTTCCGAAGCCTGGAAGACGATCCCAAGCTGGTCCACTCCATACGCGTTGCCAAAATGCAGAGCGACCGTGAATACAAGAGGGATTTTGAAAAGAGTAAGACAAACTACCACATGCCTTTGGACATGCTGAACCTCGTCATGGCCAAGAAGTGCCAGGACATGGTCAGTGACACCAACTACAGGCAGAGGCTACACGACTGGACGTGTCTGGCGGACCAGACCAGCGTCGCCCACGCCAAGATGGCCAACGAGCTGCAGAGCGATGTAAGGCCTTATTTACATTGTTTCATTATTATTCGAACAGTGGAAAGGAATTTATGTATCTGACATGCTTCTGTCTCTCAGACTCTGTACAAGGCAGACCTGGATTGGATCCGGGGATGTGGCTGGATTCCGGTTGGGTCCCTGGACAATGTGAAGGCTCAGAGAGCAGGAGACATCCTGAGCGAGAGGAAATACCGGCAGCACCCAGAGACCGTAGGCTTCACCAGCATCACCAACTCGCCTTTCATGCAGCAGTGCAAGCTCAACGCTGACCAGATCAACGACGTGAGTGCTTTCGTGCTGTTTCTGGGCTGATTTTGCAAAATGTTTCCACGTGAAATACTCACCTGAGCGAAAGGTAATCTGACAAACGTATGTGCATTGACAGCGCTTGTACAAGGAAGCCTGGGAGCATGACAAGGTCAGCATTCACGTCATGCCCGACACTCCAGGGTTGCTGCAGGCCAAGGTCAACTCCTACAACCTGAGCGATGTGAGTAGCAGAGTGGGAGAGAAAAAGCTGTATAAAATTGTAGAGGTACTAGAAATTGCAGTAACCTTTCAAAGTAACGTTTTAATAAATTAATTAAGTTATATTTTTGCTAAACTATGAATACCCATTGTACAGAAATACTACAAGCAGGGTCTGGAGCAGATGAGATCCGATGGATATGACTTAAGGTTGGATGCCATCTCAATCAAAGCTGCAAAAGCATCCAGGAGTATCGCCAGTGACGTAAGCACTTCCCTCGCATGGAGCCCACCCCTGTCGCTGCTAACTTTACATGTTATGTTTACATTGTGAGTTTGTGTTCCCGCACATTATTGGTTATTTAAAAGTATTTTTTTTCTCTCCAGTACATATACAAGGAGGCTTACCGCAAGCAGAAGGGACACCACGTGGGCTTCCGAAGCCTGGAAGACGATCCCAAGCTGGTCCACTCCATACGCGTTGCCAAAATGCAGAGTGACCGTGAATACAAGAGGGATTTTGAAAAGAGTAAGACAAACTACCACATGCCTTTGGACATGCTGAACCTCGTCATGGCCAAGAAGTGCCAGGACATGGTCAGTGACACCAACTACAGGCAGAGGCTGCACGACTGGACGTGTCTGCCGGACCAGACCAGCGTCGCCCACGCCAAGATGGCCAACGAGCTGCAGAGCGATGTAAGATTTCGATTAGATATTTTCTCTTTGTTATTCAAGCAGTGGATAACACCAAGTAATTTCTGATGTTATTTTGTTTCTCAGACTCTGTACAAGGCAGACCTGGATTGGCTTCGAGGATGTGGGTGGATTCCAGTTGGGTCCCTGGACAATGTGAAGGCTCAGAGAGCAGGAGACATCCTGAGCGAGAGGAAATACCGGCAGCACCCAGAGAACGTAGGCTTCACCAGCATCACCAACTCGCCTTTCATGCAGCAGTGCAAGCTCAACGCCGACCAGATCAACGACGTGAGTGCTGTGCTTTACTTGATATCTTTTATTAAATGCTTCTACATGCAATACTCATGCGAGTAAAGGATAATGTGACTCTAAAGTGCAGTAGATCATCGATAATTATTCGGCGGCTTCGGTAGGGGAAGGAGCGCCGTATTTTATAAAATGCTGTATAATCACGAATTATTATTTCAAATAGCTGATTTTTGCACATTCTTGCCTAACATTACGTTTTAGGTGCTGTGTTTGTTTTTGTGTGTTTTAAATGTGTTTACTATATGAAGTTGGCATAAGTAATCATACAAATAAACAAACAAAAATATCCTACTGTAAAAAAGCGAGTGTATTTACTGTATCGTACTTAACACTCTAATCTCAAAGACTGCATGCGGTGATATACGTACTATGCTCTTGTTTCAATAACCATGTGTTTGACGATCGCCGGACTGGTTACAGCCTTTGGAGCGGTTTTTCCGGTTTAACTGGATAGGCCCGGGACCGCCGGATAATGTTGGAAGCCGGATAATGTTGGAAGCTGGATGAATGCACGTCGGATAATCGATGATCAACTGTATGTGCATTGACAGCGCTTGTACAAGAAAGCCTGGGAGCAGGACAAGATCAGCATTCACGTCATGCCCGACACTCCAGGGCTGCTGCAGGCCAAGGTCAACACCTACAACCTGAGCGATGTGAGTTGGTATGAAATTAAAGGTCTTGATATTATACTTTGGCTTTCGTGTTTCATGTGTGGAATACATTTAACACGTTTCCAGCTAATGGTGTTCATATATATTTTACAGAAATACTACAAGCAGGGTTTGCAGCAGATGAGAGCCGATGGATATGACCTGGGATTGGAGGCCATCTCTATCAAAGCTGCAAAAGCATCCATGAACATCGCCAGTGATGTGAGCCCCATTCTCTTGTGTCATTTTAGGGTGGGGATACGATCTATCCTTGCAGTGCAACCAACTACAGCACATCTTCATATGCATTTGATTAAATATTTATGTATTTTTTTCAGGTCAAGTACAAGGAGGCCTTCGAGAAGGCAAAGGGACACCACGTGGGCTTCCAAAGCCTGGAAGACGATCCCAAGCTGGTCCACTCCATACGCGTTGCCAAAATGCAAAGCGATCGTGCGTACAAGAAGGATTTTGAAAAGAGTAAGACAAACTACCATATGCCTTTGGACATGATGAACCTCGTCATGGCCAAGAAGTGCCAGGACATGGTCAGTGACACCAACTACAGGCAGAGGCTACACGACTGGACGTGTCTGCCGGACCAGACCAGCGTCACCCACGCCAAGATGGCCAACGAGCTGCAGAGCGATGTAAGATCTTGTTTTTTGTTTTTGTTTACTCATCTATTCTGTTTTCCTCAGTGTCTAGCAACACGGCATTCTGGTTTATGTCACCCTAGACGCTGTACAAGGCAGATTTGGATTGGATCCGGGGGTGTGGCTGGACTCCGGTTGGGTCCCTGGACAATGTGAAGGCTCAGAGAGCAGGAGACATCCTGAGCGAGAGGAAATACCGGCAGCACCCAGAGACCGTAGGCTTCACCAGCATCACCAACTCACCTTTCATGCAACAGTGCAAGCTCAACGCCGACCAGATCAACGACGTGAGTGCATCAATACTCTGCTTGGACTGGGTTTCTAAATATTCCTTGCATGCATTACTCATGCGATAGGAGAATGATAATTTAACTCCGTTGTGTATCTACACCCACAGCGCTTGTACAAGGAAGCCTGGGAGCAGGACAAGGTCAGCATTCACGTCATGCCCGACACTCCACAGCTGCTGCAGGCCAAGGTCAACACCTACAACCTGAGCGATGTGAGTACCTAGGTGTAGGAGATAAGGACCTGGATTAAGTTTACACGATTAGCTGGTAGTGGTTGATATGGAGAATGGGTTGGAAGCTTGGGATATTCGACAAATTGATGCAGTAAAGTACCTCGTATTATAAAAAAAGTGTTCTTGTTGTACAGAAATCCTACAAGCAGGATCTGGTGCAGATGAGAGCAGATGGGTATGACCTGGGGTTGGAGGCAATCTCCGTTAAAGCTGCAAAAGCCTCCAGGAACATCGCCAGTGATGTGAGTACCTATCTCATGTTATTGCATGTTCATACCTTTTGCTGACATGTCTCTATGAATTTATGAATTGATGTATTCATCTGTGTTAATTTCTCTATAGTACCTATACACGGAGGCTTACCGTAAGGAAAAGGGACATCACTTTGGATTCCAAAGCCTGGAAGACGATCCCAAGCTAGTCCACTCTATGCGCGTTGCTAAAATGCAGAGCGATCGTGAATACAAGAAGCATTTTGAAAAGAGTAAGACAAACTACCACATGCCTTTGGACATGCTGAACCTCGTCATGGCCAAGAAGTGCCAAGACATGGTCAGTGACACCAACTACAGGCAGAGGCTGCACGACTGGACGTGTCTGCCGGACCAGACCAGCGTCGCCCACGCCAAGATGGCCAACGAGCTGCAGAGCGATGTAAGATCTCAATTAGATATGTTTTCTGTTTGTTATTCAAGCAGTGGAGAACACCAAGTAATTTCTGATGCTATTTTGTTTCTCAGACTCTGTACAAGGCAGACCTGGATTGGCTCCGGGGATGTGGCTGGATTCCGGTTGGGTCCCTGGACAATGTGAAGGCTCAGAGAGCAGGAGACATCCTGAGCGAGAGGAAATACCGGCAGCACCCAGAGACCGTAGGCTTCACCAGCATCACCAACTCACCTTTCATGCAACAGTGCAAGCTCAACGCCGACCAGATCAACGACGTGAGTGCATTGGTGCTGTTCTCAGGCTGAGTCTCTAAGTGTTCCCAGTATGCAATAGTCTCTCTGTGTGTGAAAAATGTAACCTGACTCCATAATGTACCCGTACTCACAGCGCTTGTACAAGAAGGCCTGGGAGCAGGACAAGGTCAGCATTCACGTCATGCCCGACACTCCACAACTGCTGCAGGCCAAGGTCAACACCTACAACCTGAGCGATGTGAGTACCAGGGTGTGATTGAGAAGTTACTTTAACGCGTCACATAATGTATAAAATAACACTTGAGATGTGTTACTCTCTTATTTAAAACCCAACATCATGGATAGTGTCTTCTCTGTAGATGAGGCTATTCGTGTAAAGCTCGCAGCGCCAGGGCTCTGTAGTTTCATACGGTAGGTTTTTAGTTTGTGGTCCCACTGGCAGACACATGTGTTTTAAAGCACAAGAGTTATTCCTTCTTGAAAATGAAAGTCTATTTGGATCAAATTCTTCCTGCCAGAATTACAGCCGTCACTTGCACTGTGCCTGAACACAATGTCTGGTGTAACCCACACCCTGTCCATGTGAATCAGTACAGTATTCATATTAGGCAATGAAATGCATTACCTGCTTCTCGGTTGCATGGTATATTCCATATATCGTACATTCAACTGGCATCAACAACATTTTAAACTCTGAATTTTCGTTTGCTGTTTGTTTGTGTCGATTGGCATGTTAGAAGACGTGTGCGTGTAATATACTGTTTGTTTGTGATGTATTTTGTTATCACCACACAGAAATGCTACAGGAAAGGCCTGGATAAAATGAGAGCGGATGGATACGACCTCAAGTCGGACGCCATCTCCATTAAAGCAGCAAAGGCCTCCAGGGACATCGCTAGCGACGTGAGCAACCTTCCACTCATTAGAGACAACTGAATGCTTACTGTTGTGTTGACTGAAAAATGTACAACTCTTCTTGAGCATCTCCATGCATATCGTGGGCCGTCGCTGGCTGATCACTCCTTGATTTGCTGCTGAATCTGTTACGTTGAAGTAGAATGTTCATCAGTGACCCAATTTAAATGAAAGGAAAATTATAATTATTCTCTCACCTAGTTTACAGGAGTTTTCCAGTTCGATCCCAAACCCTGACAATACCAGTTGTATATTTGTAGTGCGCATGTTCTCTCTCCCCATAGTCTCGTGGATTTTGTTCCAAGTCATCCGGTTCTTCCCTACACATTTAGCAACGTGCGTCTAGATTATTTGGCTGCAGATATAAATTCGCACGTGACGACGCTGCAAGCCACTTCGATGAGCTATCATGTGTGGCCAGGTCACCACTGAAAGAGCTCAATGGGCTTTACTTGATGAAATAGTTTATTCTTCTTTGGTTCTTTCGGTAAAGTCACGTATAAAGAACAAATAATAAATTAAATAATAGCATACGACGTTTCGATTGCAACACAAGCAATCATCATCAGGTATAATGAAATAGCGACATAAAATCTAACCAGAAAAAATTATAGACAGACATATAAGCAGACAAATATCACCAAGATACACACAGCGGGCAACACAGGTACAGAGAGGGGTGATCGTCTCTGTGGGGTGGCCTTAAATAGACAGAGGGGGGCGGAGGCAGCGAGAGGGAGGGGTTAGAGACAAAATTTACATGTCAATGAGTACAACAAAATGGAGTGAGCAGGCTTAGGGGGAGAAAGAAACACACTAAAATTAAATAACCTAGCAAAGTATCAAAATGTTATGTAAAACGACACAGAGAGTCGGTCAACACACAATTAACACATAGCCTGGTCGATTACATATTTCAAAGATTGCTAAGTTAGAATTTAAGTGTGAAAATTTCAAAGAAAGACAAAACATAAAAACAAGAAGAACGGAGACACACAGACAGAGCAGAACCTAAGAACGACAAAAAACGAGTGTAGACAGAAAAAATTACACTAAATAAACAGGCAGAGAGAGAGAATAATTCCTGCAGTCACGAAAGCTCCAAAGTTAAGATTGAAATAGTTTAGTTTGGTTTTGACTCATTGTTCCTGTGATATCATGACATTGAATTAAGAAGTCGGGTCAGGTGACGCCAGTTATTTTGACTCCATAGTTTCTGCATTGAAGATGCTTGACACAATTCCAATTTTCTACATTTTCTTGTGTGAATTATTTTTTCAACTTACCAGTGAGTTGAAACAATAATTTTTGGCACATTAAACGTTTATATGCATGAAAATGTATTTTGTAAAAAATTGTGATTCGTATATTCAACGTGTATAATTATTTTGCAGTATATCTACAAGGAGGCTTACCGCAAGGACAAAGGACACCATTTTGGGTTCCGAAGCCTGGAAGACGACCCCAAGTTGGTACACTCCATACGCGTTGCTAAAATGCAAAGTGAACGTGAATACAGAAAGGATTTTGAAAACATTAAAAACAGTAACCACATTCCTTTGGACATGCTGAACCTCGTCATGGCCAAAAAGTGCCAGGACATCCTCAGTGATGTCAACTACAGGCAGAGGCTGCACGACTGGACGTGTCTGCCGGACCAGACCAGCATTGCCCATGCCAAGATGGCCAACGAGCTGCAGAGTGATGTAAGTCCCTTTATGTTTCTGTTTGTGTATCTATTATATCGTTTTTCAGTGTCCAGCATTTCAGAATTTTGGTTCGTGTCACCATAGGCCCTGTACAAGGCAGACCTGGAGTGGCTGCGGGGATGTGGCTGGATTGCCAATGAATCTCTGGATATGAAGAAGTCTCAGAGAGCAGCAGAGATTCTGAGTGACAAAAAATACCGGCAGCATCCAGCCACCCTAAGCTTCACCAGTGTGAATGACTCGCCTTTCTTGCTGCAGTGCAAGCTCAATGCCGACCAGATCAACGATGTGAGTTCATGAGTGCTGTGTTTGGGCTGAGTCTCTATGTGATTCCGGTATGCAATACTCATGCGATTAAATGACCATTTGACCCACTAACGTATGTGGGCACTGACAGCGTTTGTACAGGGAAACATGGGAGCAGGACAAGATCAGAATTCACGTCATGCCTGACACGCCACAGATGCTGCAGGCCAAAGTCAACACCTACAACCTGAGTGATGTGAGTACCTGGGTGTGAGAGATAGGGACTTAGATAAGTGCATTGCAACCTGTGTGCTGCGGAAAAGTCCTGGGTGTGCCACGGTACCTTCGGAATTATAGGAGAGGAAGAGAACCTCAAATTCTCATATGCCGCCCGACTGATTCAGAGTGAGACCTCTGCTGTCAAACCGGAGCTGGCCATTAGCACACTGTCCAGGTATGGAAAATGTCCACTCTCTTCACAACTGCTCTATCACCAATAGGGAGTTAAGGGGTGGAGTTTTTTATGGCACAAAATACCCAGATAGTTGTCTAGTTTTGGTGGGGCTGATTGTAAGACCCCACCTCTCAGTATCAATCACCAGATCATCAGCATTCATAACATGGTTAAGCAATACGGAGCCATTCCTTGACCACACCCGGGCACCCATCAGAATCTCATTGTATTCCAAGTTGAACAGTGAATGGCTCTGACTCCTGGCCACAGAGCTTTACCCGGGCCTGCCCACCATCATGAAGGCCCTTAATGATTGTGAGCAGAGAGCCTGGGACGCCGCAAGCATGAAGAACTGCCCAGAGCCCAGGCCTGTTGATAGGCCTTGACCAGGTCAATAAATCAGAGATGTACGTCATGTTGGAATTCCCTACATATCTGCTGTAGCAGACCGACATAGAATATGGCATCCCTGCAGGGTCGCCCTGGCCGAAACCACGTTGGGGCTCTGCAGGTTTCTCCTCAGAGACACACACAGACACAAAGACACATAGACACGAATCTACTCACGCAGCTAGGAAAATTAACATGCTGACATGATTGGCTTTACCTGTTTTTCTCTATATCACACTATATTGCGATTGCCAAGTCTCGTATTTCTCTTCATTACAATGTGTGTTTCTCTTGCACAGAAATCCTACAGGAAGGGCCTGGAACAAATGAGAGCAGACGGCTATGACTTGGGGTCAGAGGCTATCTCTGTGAAAGCTGCAAAGGCTTCCAGAATTATCGCCAGTGATGTGAGCACCTCATTCCATGTCACTACATATTTGTTCTCTTTATTGCTTGATGGGTCATTGTATTATTATTAAGCGTGTTTACCCAGAAAAAAACTCACTGAGTCTCAAGACTCAGAAGGTTCCTGCTGAGTTTTTGCAGTTTGCGGCAAAGTTTTTTTTGTGTTTTTCAATTGAGTATTTTTTTGTTATTTGGCAAATTTAGATTTTGATGCCAGCACACAGTAGCGTATTCTTCTTTGCATATTGTCAGAGGACCTTTAGTGTCCACTTTGAGTGAAGCAGTCAGTGCATGGTATTTTATGCTTAGTACACCTGCAGAATGAACCAGGGCCGCCTAATGGATTGCACCACGAGCCTCAAAGAAGCAGGGAACATGCTACCGCTGGACTATGTAACCGCTATTTGAATTATTTGTATTTATTGTAATTATATTCCTCTGCTTTTTATACAGTACATATACAAGCAGGCTTATGAGCATGACAAGGGCCAGCTCTGTGGGATTCGCAGCCTGGATGATGACCTCAGGATGGTCAATGCCTTGCGAGTTGGCAAACTGCAGAGTGACCTTGAATACAAGAAAGATTTAGTGGAAAGTAAATCCAACTTGCACATTCCTACGGACATGCTGAACCTCGTCGTGGCCAAGAAGTGCCAGGACATGCTCAGTGACACCACCTACAGGCAGAGGCTGCACGACTGGACGTGTCTGCCGGACCAGACCAGCGTGGCCCATGCCAAGATGGCCACTGAGCTGCAGAGCGATGTAAGTTCCTTTATGTTTCTGTTTCTTTGTGTGTGTTTTGTATTATTTTTTCGTTTATACTACTGCAGAATTCTGGTTTATGTAACCCTAGACGCTGTACAAGGCAGACCTGGATTGGATCCGGGGATGTGGCTGGATTTCAGTTGGGTCCCTGGACAATGTGAAGGCTCAGAGAGCAGGAGACATCCTGAGCGAGAGGAAATACCGGCAGCACCCAGAGACCGTAGGCTTCACCAGCATCACCAACTCGCCTTTCATGCAACAGTGCAAGCTCAATGCCGACCAGATCAACGATGTGAGTAGACATTTTTACTGATATGTAATTCCTGTTTTTCAATGTGAGAAATAATTCCATATTGAGGCATGTTGAATGTTAAAGTCTTAACTTTGTTCCTCAAACAGCGCTTGTATAAGAAAGCCTGGGAGCAGGACAAGATCAGCATTCACGTCATGCCTGACACTCCACAGCTGCTGCAGGCCAAGGTCAACTCCTACAACCTGAGCGATGTGAGTGCACTTGAACTGATTGTTACTGATATCACGTGTTCACACATTATGATGTTATTTAATATAAGGACTCTATAGATTACAGGCTTCAATGGCTAATTCTATCAATATTTTTCTAGAAATCCTACAAGCAGGGTTTGGAGCAGATGAGAGCGGATGGGTATGACCTGGGGTTGGAAGCCATCTCCATTAAAGCTGCAAAGGCCTCCAGGAACATCGCCAGTGACGTGAGTACCTCCCTGCCACAAGACATTGGAGTGCCCCTGCTTCTGTAGAGCATCCTCTCCGTTTAATGGAATAAAAATGATTAACTTATTTTCATCGTTTATCTCTTCAGGTCAATTACAAAGAAGCATATGAGAAAGAAAAAGGGCATTACATTGGCTTCCAGTACTTGGATGATGATATCAAAATGCTTCACTCGACACGAGTTGGTAAATTGCTGAGCAATCTTGAATATAAGAAAGATTTTGATGAAAGTAAAGGGAAGTTTCACATTCCTACGGACATGATGAATGTTGTCATGGCCAAGAAGTGCCAGGATATCCTCAGTGACGTCAACTACAGGCAGAAGCTGCACGACTGGACGTGTCTGCCGGACCAGACCAGTATCGCCCACGCCAAGATGGCCAACGAGCTGCAGAGCGATGTAAGTCCCTTTATGTTTCTGTTTGTGCATCTATTCTACCGTGTTCCAGTGTCCAGCACTTCTGAATTCTGAATTATGTCACCATAGGCCCTGTACAAGGCAGACCTGGAGTGGCTGCGGGGTTGTGGATGGATTGCCAATGGCTCATTGGATATGAAGAAGGCTCAGAGAGCAGCAGAGATTCTGAGTGACAAAAAATATCGGCAGCATCCAGCCACCCTAAGCTTCACCAGTGTGAATGACTCGCCATTCTTGCTGCAGTGCAAGCTTAACGCCGACCAGATTAACGACGTGAGTTCATCAGTTCTGTGTTTGGGCTGAGTCCTTAAGTGTTCACAGCATTCAATACGTACGTCAGTGAAAGGCTGTCTGAGAATATAATGTATCTGCATTGACAGCGCTTGTACAAGGAAGCCTGGGAGCAGGACAAGGTCAGCATTCACGTCATGCCCGACACTCCACAACTGTTGCAGGCCAAGGTCAACACCTACAACCTGAGCGATGTGAGTTGATGTGACGACTTGGTTGGACGCACATCTGCAGTGTTTTTTTAAAAAATTGGTTCACATTTCGTTTTTTTGGCGTCCTTCTAGAATTGTATGTTTGTTCGGACAATGTAAACACCTCCGTGAATAGTTATCAAACGTACAAATATTATTTGAGATGCTTACAGATCCTAGTTGCGTCTTGAATTGTATTATTTGTTCATTTTGCAAAGCTCATAACCTTGCCTAATTCAAGATATAAGTACAATCTTATCCATTACAGTTATTTAATGGTGCTGTTTGAAACTGGCTACTTGACACTTTGGGCCTTTGGGCCCACGCTCAGCAACCTTGTTCACCAATTTTCCATGAGCAGTATATGCTGGGTAGGTGTCAGTAACTGATTAACCATTAGAGTAAAATGTAAAATATTTTCAATGTCATAGGTAAAGTGTTTTGTAATATTCTGAAAATTATTTAAACTATCCAATAATATTACGACGAAATGCTTTCCACCTTTGAAGATGACTTGTGTTGATGCCTGCCGTGCGACTGTTTCTACAGAAAAGCTACCGTAAGGATTGGGAGGAATCCCGAGCCCTGGGTCATGACGTGCGCTTTGATGCCATCCCCATACGAAGTGCCATGGCCTCCCGCGACATCTGCAGCGACGTACGCATCTCTCTCGCACAGCACCGGCCCTTACAAAGCGTTGGCTCATTGGGAAACTAGTGAGCGATAGATGCAGCTCTGTGAACCGGAATGCTGCTGCCGTTGTACAAGTTGCTGCAGCTGTGCATTGTGCTGTTGCTGGTGATGCGATCCGTGCTGCTGCTGTGCATTTGCTGTTTCTGCTGCTGTGCATTCTGCTGCTGTTGGTGTTGCTGTGTGATTGCTGCTGCTGCTGCACAAGCCATCCCAGTCTACAGCAAGTGGTTGGTACAGAGTCGCAATCTGTGAGCATCGCAGCATCTGTACACACCAGTAAACATTCACTATTGCAATCTAGATTTGAAGTTTTCGTGACTGCAGGGATCCATACTCTTTGGTTCTTTCGGTAAAGTTACGTAGGTATAAAATAAAATAAATTAAATCACTATGTTTCGATTGCAACACAATGATGATGATGATGATTGCTTGTGTTGCAATCGAAACGTCGTGATTTAATTTATTTCATTTTATACCTACGTGACTTTAGCGAAAGAACCAAAGAGTAGAGTATTCACTATTGCTTTACATTCCCACTTTGTGGTCGACGGAGAACACAATTTAGAGCCTAAAACAAGGCAAACATAAATCAGCGCAAAAACAACTGCATTACAGAAGCAATCAGAAATATTGCACAAACATAAATCAATGTAAGATTAAATACATTTATTTTTATGAAGGTTGGTTCAGACAAAAAAGCTGTTCATAGCAAAATTCAGTCGTAGAAACATTCACATGGATTTAGGGCAGGGGTGGGGAACGTCCGGCCCGCCGGCCATATAAGGCCCGCAAAATCATTTGGTCTGGCCCTGCCAAGGCAACCACAGGCGGGACTCGAAATTCAATAAATCTAGCAGCAAACCTGGAAAAGCAGTTGCGAGTAGAAAAAAGGTTCCCCACCCCTGATTTAGGGTGACTGTTGCACCAATATGTAAACAGACAGGGACGTGTCAAATACAAATGCAAGTGATGTTTTCTCAAATAATTTATCAATCCTATAGTTATAATTCCCAATGCTGTTATAATGTTGACCCGCCATTGCGTATGATTCCACGTGTAATGCAGTACAAGTACAAGGAGAACTATGAGAAGGAGAAGGGCCAGCACCTTGGGATTGCCAGCCTGAAGGATGATCTCAGGATGGTCAACGCCTTCCGAGCTGGCAAACTGCAGAGCGATCTCGAGTACAAGAAGAATTTTGATGATAATAAATCCAAATTCCACATTCCTACGGACATGATGAATGTTGTCATGGCAAAGAAGTGCCAGGACATCCTCAGTGACGTCAACTACAGGCAGAGGCTGCACGACTGGACGTGTCTGCCGGACCAGACCAGTGTCGCCCACGCCAAGATGGCCAATGAGCTGCAGAGCGATGTAAGGTTTTGGAATTGCATGTTTTTTTGTTTTAAGAAAAAAAATTGATTCAGCAGTCCAGTCGATTCATGTTTAAAAACGCGTTCTCTGTAAAAAAAAATATTTTATTACTTTGATTGCAGCACACAGTTCCAATGTACGACCAGAGTATCGATCAGTTTCTCAAACTCCAGTCCTTATGAACCTCCACAGGTTGGCATTCTGAGATTGCCAAGAGATACATGCAACATGTCGACGCTCGATCTGTATGGGAAATATTGGTAATAATGAAAATCTGCATCATTGTCGGCCTCAAAGGATTGGAGTTTGAGAAACACTGGCATAGATGGACACGGCGCGACGAGCGTCCTGTGCGGTGTAAACATACAGATTTAAAGGAAGCCGACCGTTATTGTTATGATGGCAACTTTTTGTGTTCTCCCCTGCACAGGCCCTGTACAAGGCTGACCTGGAGTGGCTGCGGGGTTGTGGGTGGATTGCCAATGACTCTGTGGATCTGAAGAAGGCTCAGAGGGCAGCAGAGATCTTGAGCGAGAGGAAATACCGGCAGCACCCGTGCAGCGTTGGCTTCACGAGCGTCACCAACTCGCCCGGCTTGCTGCAGGCCAAAATAAGCGCAGCGCTCATGAACAATGTGAGATATTGGTTTTCATATGCATGTTCTGATATGTGTTATTTGTAAACTTAGGTCTTCTAAAAGCTGAGTTTTATTCTATTTATAACTTTACCAACAGAGGCTGTACACCGAGCAGTGGAACAAAGACAAGGGAGTCATTCACCTCATGCCAGATGCACCCCTGTTCATACTCGCCAAGAACAATTCCTACAATATCAATCAGGTACGTTTGCTTCAGATGTTGGACATGGAGCGATGATGAAATCAGTTCATGCGCAGCTACCTGTTGTATTTTTGCATCGTAAGATCGCGAGAGGTGGCGACGACTTGGGGAAGCCTTCATCCAGCAGTGGATTTATCACGACCGATTGATGATGACGACGGTCTAAAGTAACAATAGCGATAGCTGTACTATGCGGAGTTGTAGCTCTGTCTTTCACTGTGCTGCTTGGCAGAGGAATTACACGCGGCAGTGGGAGGAGATGAAGCGAGAGGGAAACCACATGAAGCCCGATGCCATTCCGGTGCAGGCCGCCAAGGCGGCTCACCTGCTCATCAGCGGAGTGAGTGCCTTCACACGCCTACCACACCGCTCACAACCGACTATTGAAGACCCGTGTACTGTGTGTACGATTATTATACGTAGGTTTCAAATATCTGATTTATCCCCCTAAACAATGCCACCACAAGTATATGATGGGGGCGTATCGTCAGATTATTGTTTTTGTTATCGAAAACTATGGTCGTTAAATACAGTCAGTATTTGTTAGAATTGTTTTCCCAGACCTTCGGTTAAGTTGGCTGTTCTTACAGCTCATAGCATCCATTGAATTGGCAGTGGCTCATCAAGTTATACTCAGACAAAATTGCTTGTAAAGTGTACCGGGGGTGACCTGAGATACACTGGATATGTTTGGGTATTATTCTCACTGAAGCAATGCGAATATATATAACCAGCAGTCAAAGCATACTAAAGAACGTGCACGAATGGCTTTTATCATGTTACAATATGAGTACGTGTGGTGTTTGTTAATTTTAGATCAAGTACAAGGAGGCCTATGAGAAGGAGAAGGGCCAGCACCTTGGGATTGCCAGCCTGAAGGATGATCTCAGGATGGTCAACGCCTTCCGAGCTGGCAAATTGCAGAGTGAACTCGAGTACAAGAAGGATTTTGATGATAATAAATCAAAATTCCACATTCCTATGGATATGATGAATGTTGTCATGGCCAAGAAGTGCCAGGACATCCTCAGTGACGTCAACTACAGGCAGAGGCTGCACGACTGGACGTGTCTGCCGGACCAGACCAGCATCGCCCATGCCAAGATGGCCAACGAGCTGCAGAGTGACGTAAGCCCCTCTTTATCTTTCTAAGTTTGCATCTATTCTGTCCTGTTTCAGTGTCCAGGACTACTGCAATCTGATTTGTGTCACCATAGGCCCTGTACAAGGCTGATCTGGAGTGGCTGCGGGGCTGTGGATGGATTGCCAATGACTCATTGGAAGTAAAGAAGGCTCAGAGAGCAGGAGAGATCCTGAGTGACAAAAAATACCGGCAGCCTCCAGCCACAATAAGGTTCACCAGCGTGACCGACGCACCTTTCATGCTGCAGTGCAAGGTCAACGCCGACCAGATCAACAGCGTGAGTTTATTATTCAAAATAAAACAAATCCACCTGCATTCATCGAACAGGCTCCATTTATTCGTCAACTCACTGTAGATGTAGATGACGTTGGTTGTACGTTGTCCATGTGCTTACAGAGACTCTACAGGAAACTTTGGGATGCTGACAAGACCCAGATCCACGTCATGCCTGACACCCCCGAGCTTCTGCAGGCCAAAGTGAACACCGTCAACTTGAGTGATGTAAGTAAATCTGGCTATGGATGTCTTTCTGGAAGGTGTGTGACTTGCGAGCTCTTATTATCAATACGAGAAAACAAAGGTCATGGACAACTGGAGTTGCCTAAGCATTTGGAGACATCTTTTGGAGGGACACAAGTGGAAAACGCAGCATAGTGCGTGAACCTAGGGCAGCCGTTGAAGGTATACCGGGGATGGAATAGATGAAATAAAGGTGTGGACGAGAGCAGGCTGCAGTGCTTTTGGAAGATAAACTTGGTCGTGAAAAGTAAGACTCCAATGTGCGTCATGAAGCAAGGTGTGAATCAGTGGGTGGCACGACCTTCTATGGCACACGGCTCAGAAGCACTGTGGTGTTTAGCGAAAAATATCAAACAAAATCTCAAAAGTGCACAAAGCATGGAGACTTGTATAATTAATTGGTGTTACATGTGGGCACCAAGATGTTATCTGCCGAGCCTAGAAACATGCATTTAGAGTATTTGGCTGCTATACATTTCTACGTGATAAGCCACTTCGTTGAGCTATCATTTGTGATAGTTACTGTATTTTCCCGCATATAATCAAATACTTATTTCCCTCATTAAAATGCAAATCTATTTATTACATTTTTGACATGCGTTTTTCTGGATTTTGTTGTTGTTATTCTGTCTCTCACTGTTCAAATAAACCTACCATTAAAATTATAGACTGATCATTTCTTTGTCAGTGGGAAAACGTACAAAATCATCAGGGGATCAAAGACTTTTTTCCCTCACTGTAACTACCGGTCCAGTAGCTGTAATATGATGAGGTCGAATGCTGGTAAGCCTAACAGTACGCTTACTTTCTTATCTACCAGTTATGTGTTACTTATTTATTGGATATTTACTTTTGTTACTTATTTACTGTTTTAAGTTCACTCGTTTCCGGTTAGTTTGTTTTCTTTGTGCACGTTATGATTTTAATGCTAACAATTGATAGTGGAATGTATTACAAATGTAAACTTTGTATTAATATGATGGAATTAAGCTGCGGTAACGACTTTAAAGATATGAATGCTTGCGGGGTATATGGAGGTGCGGGCTATCTGAAATTTGCTTTACACAAAGCGCTATTTTTACAGGGTATATGCATCTGCGGGTTATATGCGTATGCGGGCTATATGTGGGAAAATACTGTAGGTCGCTTCTGAAAACGAACTAAATGAAATAAAAAGTTTCTAGTTTAAAAAAACATTTATTATAGCTTACATTGAGAGAAGAAGAAGATTGCAGGATAATGACATCATCCAAGCAGTTAAGGAAAGTCGGTGGGCTTGGGCAGGACGTGTCGTGAGAAGGGACGATGGACGATGGTCAAGACTGATAACTGAGTGGCAGCCAAGGAACGGAGTGGGTCTGAGAGGAAATCCACGGAGGAGGAGCAATGAGATGAGTTTGTGTGCAGGTGCTGGATGGATTGAATCGTTAGATCATGAGAGGTGGTGATCGCCTGGGAGGGCTTATCTTATTTTAATTTATATAGCACATTGACAAAGGCGCTGAACAAAGAATGAACTATTTGTACAGCAGAACTGTGATGAGATGCGTTGTTGAGGAGGGTAGTACATTTTGAATATGATGATGCGTGCAATAAACGATGATGAAAATGACAATGAGTGGTAAAATCATGAGTGAGTGTGATACATGGGCAGAGAAGTTGGGAAGAGGGATGGAGTTAGTCATGCGGAAGGGAGGAAGAAGGGGAGGTTGGGCAAGCGAGGGAAAATAAGCGAGTTTTAACGGAAGAACAAAAAATAGACGGTGAGGCTGATTGGTTGACGTGCAGGGGCAGTTTGTTTCAGTGTAAGGGGGGCAGAAGCGAGAAAAAATGGAATCGTGATTGCGTACAGGGAGGAGGGAGAACACAAAGAGACAGCTGGGATTATGAACGAAAAGGGCGAGAAGGAGCGTAGAATGAAATGATTGATAATGGCTGATGATCATCATTGATTAAAATTCTCACGTGTGTATTGTCTCACAGAAACACTACCGCGGCGCATGGAGGGAGTCTCGAGCACAGGGCTACGACATGCGCATCGATGCGATGCCACTGCAGTTGGCGCGCAAGTCACATGACATCATCAGTGACGTGCGTACCCATGTTCGGCCCCACGCTCCCCGCCACGCTCCCATATCCCTGCGTGCGGATGTGAATTGAGTAGCAACAATGCGCCAAACCCGCATGCACAATGGCAGTCTCGGTGTGTCATTGCTCACAGGCAGCTATTTGGTTATTTTGTATAATCACTCATGAATAGAGTTGGCCAAACATCCCAATATAGGGCTGCAGAGCTTGGGCAATTGTTGGCGCTGGTTTTGGCTGCCTTTCTGCTTATATGTAATTTCCCGTGCCTCCGTGCGAAAATTGTACACGTTGAAAACTCTACAGCATTTTGAGAAGTGATTTGCATGAATGATGTGACTTACAAATAAGACAATAAGTATTATTATCAACTTGTCATATAATTAATTTTTATATTTTGAGTACTGTTTTCTCCCAATTGTATTAACAATGTGTTATTGAGTTGTTTCATGAGACAAACACATTTATATTCCATAACTCCCAGAGAGCGGCCTTGGAAGATGATGTCACAGAATTACTTATGAATGCCCTTCATTGGCCTTTCTATCCACACTTGAGTCATGTATTTTATCGATTGACTGAGATTTTTTATTCTGGAATAAGTCAAATAGGTAAAAAAAATACGAACTTTCATATGCCATCAGTTCTATCCAGCAGCCATTAGTAACTGGACTGAGACCATGAACTCACCACACTTAAACATTTATCTTAATCATGGGTTACTGCCTGGGTTTAAACTAAGGATTTTATGAATGAATATTCCGCAAGGACGCTCAGCTGGGTTGAAACGAGCCGTGCACGCGTCGGATACGCGTGCACGGCTCGTCCCTGTCTTCAGCGGAGGGGAAGGTGCCACCCTGCACCAGCGACGTCTCTCACACGATCGCTGTCGCCCACAGTACAAGTACAAGGAGTCCCACGAGAAGGGCAAGGGCCAGCTGATCGGCTTCCGGCGCCTCCAAGACGACCCGCGTCTGGTTCACAGCGCGCGCACCGCCATCATGCTCAACGCCCGCCTGTACCGGCAGAAATTCGAGGACAACAAGACCAAATGTGTGACTCCAGCCGACGCTCTGAGCGTGCTGCAGGCGAAGAAGTGCCAGCACCAGCTCTCAGACATCCCCTACCGCACCTACCTGCGGCACTGGACGTGCCTGCCGCACCAAGGACCTTTGCTACACGCCAAGCACGCTCAGGACCTGCTGAGTGACGTGAGCGACGCTGCCCCCCCCCCCTGTGCACGTCACCTCGAACGTCCGACAACGAGAGCATCAGCACCACCCGGCACTTGCGTTGATCTGACCGATGTGTGATGGTTGCGATGCAGTGCGGCCAGCTGTGATATGGGTAATAGTGCAAGTGCTGATAGTGGTGGTTGGTGGTGTCAGTAGGTGTGGTGCTGGTCATCTCAGCCTTAAATAAATAGCTGGTGCAGTGTGTAAACATCGCGACTAGGGAGACAAAGGTGGACTGGCGTGGTGCTGGCCACCCACCAACTCGTGCACTGTGTCAACATTCATAGGTGCTCACAAATAGCACTTTCCCCTACAGTGTGTTAAAGGCTATACGGGGGGGTCTTTGTATTTGGTCTTGGTGGTATTGCGATTGTTTCAAGTTTATGTTGTCTAACCAGGTGAGAACTAAAGAGACCAGGATATGGTCCCATGTGCAAGAGCCACCTGGGTCATCAAAATGACGAAAGTAAAAACAAAGCACAGCAAAGCAGCAAATAACAATTGGGGCAAGAACAACTCAGTTACATCGTGGTGTCAGGCCTGGTGAGAGTGGTGGTGGAGCTGGTGGTGGTGAGAGTGGTGTCACAAAGTGGGTGTGATGCTGATGCAGGCTGTAGAGGAGGTGGTGCTGGTGGTGTAGCGATTGTTCTGGTGGCAATGGTGTAAGTGCTCACGGTGGCCATGTGATGCAGAACCTGTACAAGGAGGATCTCCTGTGGATGCGAGGGCTGGGCTGCTCGGTGTGGGACACCCCTGAGAACCTGCGAGCGAAGGAGGCCTACAATCACCGTAGTGACGTGCGTATGAACCACTCTGCCACCTCCTCCTGCTCACTCTGCACAATAAAACACGGAAAACACAATTGGTTCTTGTGAGTTTAATACAAATGTTTGTATCCCCTTGCAATGTGATGTTGGTTTTTATTCGTTGAAATATGCATCATGAGGGTTCACTTTCAATATTGTTATTGAAGCATCTCCAATTTTCCCGTATGCCATTCTAATAGCAACCAGCAAAATGTTATAACTTTATGCTGAGTGTCTAAAGCTATTGGTTGGCATCAGGAGTTGCTTGATATGCAGCAACCTTTCTCCTGTGTAATCGTGCAATGGACAGGGGCCGGTCATGTGACGAGCACCACGGATCATGCTTTGCCACATTCACAGGAGGTCGACTCTATAAATTGAAGCCGTTTGTGAAGGAAGTAGCTGCCACTGCCGTGCATTGTTCAGACGCAATTAAACGCAGCCAAGCGCCTTCTAGGCAGGCTGAAGCCAGCTCATTGCCCACGTCAGGCCTTCGCAGCCCGTTTCTCAATACAGGTTCTGTTTGCTGCGCTGATGCGTGTACCGCAGATAAAGTACCAGGCCGAGGCCAAGGTGGGGCAGCTGAAGTTCACGGTGGTCACCGACACCCCAGGCTACCTGACGGCGCTCACCAGTGCACAGCAGCTAAGCGATGTAGGTCCCATTCGCCGTCCGTTCGTCTCGACAATGGATGATGTGTGGTGCTGCATTTCTGATTCATACGGTGATGTGCAAGATCTCAAATTGTGCGCAACACATACTGTGCATAAAGTGTTGAATACTGTATGCTGTTTAATGTGATGCGTACACGATGAATTGTGTGTAATGTTGCCTTTGGAGTGATGCTTTGTGAGATATAATGTGCTCTGTGGCATGTGCAAGGTGTCGGCTCGTGTGCTTTGAGCCAGTTTGCTACGCGATGTGGTGTTGTGTAACATGTGATGCGATGTCGTGTTACATGTGATGTCGTGTAACACATGATGTGCTGAGTGGTGTGTGTGCTGCGCGGTGTGCGTGCTACATGATGTCATATTGTCATGAAGTACTCACTGTGCTATGTCGGCTGACACGTGGTGTGTATGCTGTGTTGCTCAGATCAAGTACAAGGCCCAGTACAAGGCAGCACGCGGTGTTTATACCCCAGTCCTGGACTCTGTGGACAACCTCCGCGTGGCTAATGCTCAGAAGCTCTTCAGCAACGTGAGTACTGTATCTGCAAGCCAGGGCAGCGGGCCCGTGCAGCTCACATCAAGTGCAGCAGCAGCATCATCATCATTGGCCATGATCGATCCACTGCTGGATGAAGACTTCCCTGAGCCGCCGCTACTTCCCACGATTCAGAAAAGCAACAATCCACCCAGCGCCTGCACATGAACGGATCTCATTGCTCCAACACCTGAGTGGACATCCTCTCGGACGCGTTCCATCCCTTGGCTGCCGATCCGTTGTTATTATTGAGCATCATCGTCCCTTCTAACCCAAGCCCACTCACTTTTCTTAATAGTTTGGATGATGTCATAAACTTGCATATGTTCTCTAATCCATGTGTTCCTCTCTCTGTCTCTCAATGTAATTCCAAGCACACATCTCTCCGTGCTGTTTTGCGTACATTTCTGTTTTTGTTTATACATTTTTCATTAATGACCGTGGTGCCTCTGAAGCACGTATCAGTGCAGCGTGTACGCAGGACCAGTGATCTTGGGTAATTGTTTGTAGCACCGATTCTGGCTACCTTAAGGTTTCTCGCATCTCGAAATAATTCTCTCTCTCTCAGAGTGAACGAAAGCTGTGCGCATTACACGTTCTAAGTTAGTTTAACACGAAGGCTTTCGCAACTAATATCATCCATAATAGAGGTTTTTTAGGGTTAGATCGCGTAAATATATAAATGTGTCGTTAAAACCCGCCACCACCCGACACAGCCAACTAGTAAGGGTTGTCACGTAAACAGAACGTGCCAATTCGTCGCTAGTACAGAACACCGGTGTGTTGGAGAGCCAAGCCACAACATTTACAAACAGTAAGACTTTGCCTGATGAAGCTAGTTGTAATTACTGGCGAAATGTAGTACTCAGTTTGTAAATGTTGTATATTTGCTCTCCAACACACCGGTGTTGCTGTACTAGTGACGAATTGGCACGTTCTGTTTACGCGACAAACCTTACTAATTGGCTGTGTCGGGTGGTGGCGAGTTTTAACGATACATCTATATATTTACGTGATCTAACCCAAAAAAAACCTCTATTATGGACATTGTAAGTTAGTTTTGTGTTTTGTGGTACATCGGTGTACTTAATAAATACATGACCTGGTCATGTGATTGATTTCACTCCGCATCTAGAACCTCTACAAAGAAGCATGGCAACGAGTGAAGGCCAAGGGCTTCTCCCTCCCAGTAGACACTGTACACCTGCAGAATGCTCGTCACCAGCAAAGCCTGTACAGCCCGGTAAGCCAACCACAGCCCGGTAAGTCCCCCACATTCCCCCACAGTCCGGTAAGATCCCCCCACAGTTTGGTAAGGCCCCCCCAGCCTGAAAAGCCCCCCACAGCCTGATAAGCCCCCCTCCCCCAGCCCGGAAAGCCCCCAACAGTCCGGGAAGGCCCCCCCAGCCTGATAAGGCCCCCACAATCTGACAGAATTGTTCTCCACCTTATCGTCGAGCTGAAACAAAAACAGTTGGCGCATTATTAAATGCTTGTATTTGTGATCATTTAATTGTTTGGCTACGTCGGGTGGTGGAGGGTTTTTAAAGACACATTTTTGTCAGACTACTTGGTTTAATACAAAGATCGCTTATGAATAAATTATAAGTTATTCTTATGGCAATTTAATGAAAATTTTACAGCACTATTTTGTTTCTTTTTAATTCAGAGAAATGATTGGTGGATGGCGGTCCACAGTGTGTTGTTGATGGTTGAGGGTGGAGCCACGGGTCCACGGTTACGTTTGAATCGCTTCTGACGGAAACTCTTCTCTCACCCGTCCCTGGCGGACCGTGACTCAGAGGAAGTACCGTGCGGAGTACGAGCAGATGAAGGCCCACTTCACCCAGCCGAAGCTCCTGAAGGAAGATCCCCGTGCCTTGCACGCCCTCCACGCTGGAAACATCCTCAGTAATGTGAGTACCTCCTTGCCCCACGGTCACCTCCTCACTCCTCCGCCTCCTTACTCCCCCCAGCCTTCTCGCTCCCCCATCATCTGGCCTGCGTGTTCAGCGGTCGATGTCTCCCATCTCCGCAGTTGCTGTACACGGCGGCCTACAACAAAGCCAAAGGAGCGCTGCACCTGGCCCCCGACATGATGGAGGTGGTGGTGGCCAAGCGCGCGCAGGACCTGGCGAGCGGCCAAGGCTACCGCTCGCTCCGCCGCTCCTGGATCTGCCTGCCGGACATGCAGCAGCTGGAGCACGCGCGGCACGCACAGGAGCTCTACAGTGACGTACGTCCTGCGCAGCATTGGTGATAATTGAGTACGCCGTATGAACGTCAAGAGGCGTTCACCATGGTGGAAGGTGCTAATGTGTTTCACAGACACAGTGTGTAGTAGTTTCAGAGTAGGGGGCAATGTTGCTGTGTGTCATCCCAATTTAGTCATTTGTGGTGTAGTTTTTCGAATTTGGCAAATGTAGACCATGGCGCCGCCACACAATGGCCTACTCTGTTTGAATGATGTCATGGGATCTTTAGCGTTCACTGTGAAGCAGACATCTCGTGTTTTACAGTTAACACACCTGCGTTATTAACCAGGGCAGCCTGCCGGATTTGAACCACAAACCTCTGCACGCTACCGCTGGGCCACCGCATCACCGCCCTGTTCTTCCCTTGCGCTTGAATTCCCTCCCATAATAATTGTGCTCAATTAGAGAAACTTGTTCATGCTTACCTATTCTAACTTTTAACTTACTGTTTGTTGCTATCCACTTTATGTTTTGGTGCTTTGAGCATGTTCATGGAAAATGTCTGAAATAAAAAAAAATGCAGAAATACACGTGGGCGCGCGCTGTGGTACACACCGTGCAGCATGGGACGTACGACACACACCGCTCCCTCAACACCATTGCGTGCGATGTGTGCGCTGCAGGTGGCCTACAAAGACGACCTGAAGTGGTCGCGTGGCATCGGCTGCTTCGTGTGGGACACACCCAGCATCCTGCAGGCCAAGCAGAGCCGCGACCAGTGCAGCGACGTGAGTGCCGCGCCGGGTGCACCGCCGCACGGAGGGTGATGGAGACGCCCCGCACGTGGCGTGAACCGGCTGACGGTGCGCCCTGTTTCCCCTACGCACAGGTGCGATACCGTGCTCAGGCCGAAGCCGCTCGCAGTGCATTCACGCCCGTGCTGGACACGCCTGGGTATCTGCAGGCCCAGACCGTGCGGGGCTACAGCGACGTGAGTCACTTACCAAGACGCAAAAGAGACACCAGGATATAGAGACACTCAATGGGGCTACAGTGAAAATTATCAATACACTGAGACACTCACTGGGACATAGAGAAACTCACTGGGACACAGACCCTCATGAAGACGCCAAGACAATACACTGAGAGACACCAACGCAGAGAGATACTGAGACCCTCACCAAGACACACCAACACAGGACGTGTAATCGATGCGGGTTGCCTCGTTGTGAAGGAACGCGTGCTGGACGCAGCTTGTGTGAGCGATGAGCTCCTCCCCCGGTGTGCGCTGACAGAACAAGTACAAGAGGCACTACCTGAGTGAGGTGCGGGGGAGACCGGTGCAGGGAGCCAAGCGACTCGACATCGCCCACGCCGTGGCCACTGCTCGCCTGAGGAACGATGTGCGGCTCCTCAACCATCCCACACTCACTCACTCATTCACAAAGACAAATATCCCCCATGTAGCCTTGCACAGGCTGTAGGGGCCAATAGCGAGCACCTATGAAGACCAGCACAGCATACAAGGGGGTGGTATAGCCAGAACCACACCTGTCGCCTTTATCTCCCCAGTGCTAATGTTTTTACACACTGCACCAGGTACTAATTTAAAGCTGAGTCGACCTAGGAGAGGTCCATAACCGGTTCAGATATTCATCACAAATGTTAGCTGTAAGAGGGAATTGAATTCGGGTCCCTGGGTATTTAGCACAGTGCAGTAATCACTGTACCACTGCTCCCAATAAAATACCTACACAGAGACACAAACTCCCTTACTCACAGCTCAAAGGATTCTTGTAGGTGTGCTGCTGTTTTTTCTGTGCCTCTATGTCCTGTGTGCTGACCGCTGTGCTCCTGTGCGCTGTGTCCGTGCGCCGTGTGGTATTTGGTGGGTGCTGGTACAGCGTTGGTACCAGCAAGGCCTTAAGCTGCTGCCCACAAGCTACCATCTCCCCGTTGACACGATAGCACTGGCCACTGCCAAGGCAGCGCATGGACTGACAAGCAATGTAAGTAACACTCTCCATACGCACAAGTGTGAACGTGTGCACATGTGCACATTCTGTTTGCATGTGCATTGTATGTCTTTTGTGGATTCTGGCCTCCTTGCTCCCAAGATCCACTGCTCCACCAGTAATAACCACTTGGTTAGCCACTACACCCCCACTCTCTGTAAATCCCTTGCTAGGCAACTCCATCTGGTCTAGTGTTTGCCACCTGTCTGGGTTCCAACCTGGACAGTGTGGGAATTGGCATCTGAGTTTGGGTGGCTGGAATTGATTTGTGCCGAGTTCTGGTGACATTGTGTTGAACTTTGGAAGAGTCTATGGCACTTAAAACATAGCCAATATAAAGATCAATATTTGTTTTTGGGTTAGGCCACATGCTCTGGACTACGTGGCCCAACCCAAAAATAAGTTCTGGATCGGTTTACTGCACAGTTTGGATAGACCTCGGCTGACTGAAAAATATGTCCAAGCTCGGACTGTGGGATAGGTGGTCATCTTAGCCTGGTCCCCTGTCCTTCCAAGTCTGGCAACCTTCATTGTCGACTTTCATTTCAGACCCCCTTCAATGCTTCCATTCCCTCCTTCCCTTGAGTGAGTGAGTGAGTGATTTTGTGAATGGGTGAATTAGTGAGTGGGTGGGTGGGTGAGTTAGTGAGCGGGTAAGAGGGTGAGTGAATGAGTAGGTCGGTGGGTGAGTCTGTAAGTGGATGGGTAAATGAGTGGGTTAGTGAGTGGTTGAGTGAGAGGCTTCCCTTCTGTCCTTTTCTTTCTCAGTCCCTCCCGTTCGCTCCTGTGTCCTCCTGAGCATTTCAGTGACATTTGTCACAACCTGGGCACACTACAAATGTGCGTTCTTGCTGCTGCCATTGTTGTATAGATGCTGTACCGGGACAACTACGAGAAGGGCAAGGCTGCTGGCTATCGACTGCCCCACGATGCAGTTGGGTTCCGTACTGCCCTGCACGTAGGCCTCCTGCAGAACCAGGCAAGGCCACATGGCAACGGTGTGGTGGTTGCATGTGGACGCAGTATCATAGTGAGGTGGTATGCTGGTTACACTGTGTTGTTGGTATGGTGGGTGGTGTGAATCATATGGTGGTGAGTGGTGTGCTGCTTACGTGTTTTGGTTGACATGGTTGTGTGTGATGTTGGTGGAATGGTGGCAAGTGGCCTGGTGGTCATGCTGAGCGATTGTGATGGTGTCTGTGTTGTGTGTGGTTATTACAGCGACTCTACCGTGTGGCCTATGAGAACGGAAAAGCGAACATCCACCTGGGCAAGGACCTACCCGAGATCACACACGTGCGCGCCGTACAGAAAGCCATCAGCCGTGTGAGTGAACCAGTGTCAAGCGGCAACCTCGCCTCCGTATCTTTCTACTACCGCTACCACCATGGTTTCTGTTCCTGTGAACTTCACTCGTTGATTCCTCCACCCCCGTTGAGGACTCGACAATGTTTAACCACCAAACTGCAGGTCACAACGATTTTATTTCTGATTCTTCCCTCACACTGCTTCAATTTGGAATTAATTATACATCTCGAGGACTATTCCTGTATCTTGAAGAGTCTTGTGCATGCTTGGGAGAGTGAGGGAGACGGTGGTGTGTCCCTGTGTCTCACAGCCAGATCATACAACATGTCTCACTGGGCTGTGTCTGTGTCCCACAGCTGGGTTGTGACTCACAGCTGGGCTGTGACTCACAGCTGTGTCTGTGTCCCACAGCTGGGTTGTGACTCACAGCTGTGTCTGTCTCTCCCAGCTGGGTTGTGACTCACAGCTGGGCTGTGACTCACAACTGTGTCTGTGTCTCCCAGCTGGGTTGTGACTCACAGCTGTGTCTGTGTCTCACAGCTGGGTTGTGACTCACAGCTGTGTCTGTGTCTCACAACTGTGTCTGTGTCTCCCAGCTGGGTTGTGACTCACAGCTGTGTCTGTGTCTCACAGCTGGGTTGTGACTCACAGCTGTGTCTGTGTCTCACAGCTGGGTTGTGACTCACAGCTGTGTCTGTGTCTCCCAGCTGGGTTGTGACTCACAGCTGGGCTGTGACTCACAGCTGTGTCTGTGTCTGTGTCCCACAGCTGGGTTGTGACTCACAGCTGTGTCTGTGTCTCCCAGCTGGGTTGTGACTCACAGCTGGGCTGTGACTCACAACTGTGTCTGTGTCTCCCAGCTGGGTTGTGACTCACAGCTGTGTCTGTGTCTCCCAGCTGGGTTGTGACTCACAGCTGGGCTGTGACTCACAGCTGTGTCTGTGTCTGTGTCCCACAGCTGGGTTGTGACTCACAGCTGTGTCTCCCAGCTGGGTTGTGACTCACAGCTGGGCTGTGACTCACAACTGTGTCTGTGTCTCCCAGCTGGGTTGTGACTCACAGCTGTGTCTGTGTCTCCCAGCTGGGTTGTGACTCACAGCTGGGCTGTGACTCACAGCTGTGTCTGTGTCTGTGTCCCACAGCTGGGTTGTGACTCACAGCTGTGTCTGTGTCTCCCAGCTGGGTTGTGACTCACAGCTGGGCTGTGACTCACAACTGTGTCTGTGTCTCCCAGCTGGGTTGTGACTCACAGCTGTGTCTGTGTCTCACAGCTGGACTACCGTGCTGCCTATGAGCTGACCAGGGGCCGACCGATGACCCTGGCTTGGACCCCTGAGCTGCTGCACTGCCGCTTAGTGGGAGAGCAGCTCAGTGACGTGAGTGAGGCTCTGCCATCTGCAAGAACACTCACGTACACGGTTCCTGACGCACACAAGTCTGTGCGCGTGTGTCTAGGTATGGATGTATGCATACATGTGTGTGTGTTCCGTGTGCCCGTGCGATTCCAGGTGAAGTATAAGGAAGACCTGCATTGTATGCAGGGGACTGGGTGCTACCTCTTCAACAGCCCTGCCTTCACGCTGGCTCGCGAGGCCAAGCGCTATGGGGTACATCGCTGCCAGAAAACGTCTCCCCAATGCCTCCTGTGTGACTGCTATTGATGAAAAATAATGACAGCAATAGCTAACGTCGGCTATTTATATGTGAACATCACGTTACCTGTATTCTCGTGCGTGTGTGTGTGCACGTGCTCATGTGCACATATCAGAGCGCCTACACAAAGGGTGCGAAGGTGCTGCTGGGCAATCCCAAGGTGGTGCTGGACACCCCGGAGTATCTGCGTCTCCAGCAGAATAAGGAGCACACGAGCGACGTAAGGATTCCCATTCATCGGCTTGGCACAGCAGTCTCCTGTGAGCTGTCATGTGACAGCTGTGTTACTCATCTGGCTAAGGAGGCAACGCAGAAGCTCGGTTTTCTTTTTCGTGACAATGCCTCTTGAACTCCAATTATTACTGCTGCTGCTGCTAAACAAAGCGAAAATTCGGCCGAAATCTGGAGCTCAGCTGCTGTCACACCTGGGGTGGAGCTCGGACAGAGTTCAGAGTGAAGCAGCAGTCAGGGTGATTGACGATCCAGCACTCGCCGATTCACTCCAGTCACTCGGTCACCAGCGATCAGTCACCTCCTTATCACTCTTCTATCACCACTACCATGGTTACTGTTCCTATTAACTTCACTCATCGATTCCCACTCCCATGTTGAGGCCTCGTTCTACCAGACTGGCTCATCTCATCTACATTGGGGAAGTAAACTGTGATTAGCCTCTGGATAGACTCGGCCCCGCCAAAGAATTGTCAGACATCCACCCCTGGCACTGCAGGGCTGTAAACAGGAGATGAGCACCGCCTCGTTGCTCTTTTGAGCAGCAGGCGAGCACTTTGACTCTGAGTCACACATGCTCACTCGCTGAACACGGCGCCACTCTGTGCCCTCCAGCTGGTGTACCGTGCAACGGGAAACGTCCTCAAGTCCCGCTACACGCCCGTGCTGGACACCCCCGTGCTGCTCCGTGCCAAGTACGCCCAGGAGCTGCAGAGTCAGGTGCTGCACCCTCTTCGACCACAAAAATGCCCCCTGTAAACTCCAACAGACTGTTGAGGCAAGTGCTGTTAGTGAGCACCTATGAAGATCGGCATGGCACACGTGGGGGTGGGTGGCCAACACCATGGTCAGTCACCTTTGTCTCCGCGGTGCCAATGTTTACACGCCACACCAGGTACTCATATAAGGCTTAGCTGACCTAGGAGAGGCCCAGGACTGGTTCAAATATTCGCCATTGTTTTGGTCGTAAGCGGGAATCAAACTTGGGTTGCTGAGTTTGGAGTGAGGTGTGCTAACCACTGTGCTACCGCTCCGCAGGCTGTGTGATAGACAAATACAAAGATCCCCATTTAGCCTGAACAGACTGTTGGGGCAAGTGGTGTTAGCGAGCACCTATGAAGGCCGGCATGGTACACGAGGGGGTGGGTGGCCAACACCACGCCCGACCGTCTTTGTCTCCCTAGTGGCGATGTTTTACACATTGCATCAGGTCCTCATTTGAGGCCTAGTCGACCTCGAGGAGGCCCAGGACCGATTCAGACATTCGTCACTGGTGTTGGTCGTGAGCGGCAATCGAACTTGGGTCACCAGGTTCGTAGCGTAGTGCGCTAACCACTATACTCGTGCTGTCCACACACACATTCACATACGCGCATGCTCACCGCCCTCGCTATGCTCGCCGTGCTGACTGCCGTGCGTGCGTGTGCCGTGTGCAGTCCCTGTACACGGACGACGCCAAGAGGAATGTGCTGCACTCCTACAAGATGCACGCTGACACTCCTGCCCTGCTGCACGCCAAGGCCGCCAGCCAGCTCATCAATGGAGTGCGTACCCTGCCCACCGCTACCCACGCCTCTCACACTTTGCGATATCACTGGACAAGCAATGGCTTTAGATATATGTATTGGTGATACTAATGGTGCGGGAGATGATGGTAATGGTGGTGGCTGTGGATTTGATGGTGCTAATGGTGGTGCTTCTATTGTAATGGTGGTGTTGCTGGTAGTGATTTGTGTGGTGGTTGTGGTGGCCTTGATGATGGTTGTGCTTTTGGTGGTGGCGCAGTGGTGCGATGTTTTCCCATCTATCCCGTGAAGCCTATGCTGGGCGCAGCTGTTGAGCTGTATAGCTGTATATGCTGTGATAGGGGCATAGTCAGGCTATGTGCAGTTGTGGCAGTGCAGTAGTCATATCAACCTGTTTTGTGCTCTGCCGTGTGCAGCGACGGTACCGTGCTGAGTACGAGCAGCTGAAGCAGAAGTTTGTGTCGCGACTGGACTCGCCCGCGATCCTCACCGCCAAGCGAGCACACCACCTGGCCAGCGACGTAATGCCCCACAATCAACACCACATAGAGCAGAGCCAGCTACACGTGAAGACTAGTCACAACATCCCCTGGTTGGCCATCTGGCAATGGAAAATGAAGTGATTTATGCATAGCATCTACCTTCACCAATGCCAGTCACAGCTCCAGAAAACCAAAAGATGCAGATACTCTTCGTCCCGACTGCCCCTCCAGCTCACTCCACTGATGAGGGATCACCAGAGGTCGCCTGGCTCTGTTTAAAGACCTCAAGTGCTCGAAATTTTGTATTTTCGGCCCCTGCCAGAGATAGAGGGCCTGTCCATGGAGAGTTTTAAATCTTACACTCAAGACCCGCCTTTTAAACATTTCCCTTTCGGAATTTGAATTTATGTTGGCTCAGCGGATATATTTGATAACGTATCAGATACATTTTTGTACACAAATGGTTAGTTAGATACATTGTCAATTACACTTTTTAGGAATGAATATTTATTTATGAATAAAACTGAACACAACGCCATCGCACAATGCAGATCGTCTCTTGGTCTACCGTGCATGCGTGCGCGTGGGGCACGTGTGCTCGTGTCTGCAGCTGCGCTACAAGGAGGCGTTCGAGAAGGACAAGGGACGTTACAACATGCGGGAAGACGCGTGCGAACTGCGCCACCACCGGCTCGTAACCGACCGCATCAGCGACGTAAGTCCTCACCCGTTACCTCGCCCTCGCCCCTTTCCTCTCCCTCGCCCCTTCCATCGGCCGTTCCCTCACCCTTTCCTTTTCCCTCGCCCATTCCCTTGCCCGTTCCCTCGCCCGTCCCCTCGTATATTCCCACGCCCCTTCCCACACTCATTCCCTCGCCCGGCCCAAGCTCACACCGCCAGTCCGTTCCGCTGTGCCGGTGCGAGCAGGTGAAATACAAGGAGAATTACGTCCAGGGAGGAGGCGTGTGGAGCCACCTGCCCTTCCTACCGGAGCTGATACACCATAAGGACGTCACCGAAGCCATCAGCGACGTCAGTACCCGTGTTAATAACCGGAGCCGCTAGTGTGGCACACATGCACCTGTGCACCCAGCCCTCGTCCACCCCACTTGTCTGCCTACCCAGAACCTGCCTGCTAAAAAGGGCATTGTTCCACACACACAGACCACCACACACCTGTACTTGAATGCAGCCACATGTTGGACTATGATTCCGTTGCCCCGCCACGTGATTTGCGCGTGTTGACAGGAGCGGTGAGGTGATTCAGTTGCTGTTGTGTGGTGGTGGTGTGCACAGGTGAGGTACAAGGAGGATGTTGGGTACCTGCGCGGCATCGGCTGCAACATGTGGGGCAACCCGGACATGGTGATGGCGAAGAGGAACCAGCAGCTCTATAGCGCCGTGAGTCACTGTGGCGCCTGCTACAGGAAGTCTACCAGAGCACACACTCCACAGTGCATGTGGCACAGCACACACCCCATTATTCATTCTGGACGAGGCTGAAAAGCCTATTTGAGTTACAATCCCATCCCCATGTACAAAGGTTTTATCTTAATTAACCAGAATACCTTATTTATGGTACATAAGTAAAACATCCAAGTTATTCCGCCATAGGATTGTGGAATTTCCACTACTGGTGGCTCAGGACTATAAATAGAGCTTCGCCTCAATGCTCATTTGAGCAGAAAATAATTGTGTGCCATTCAAGCGCAAACCATAGGATCACTGGCGCTGTGCCCGGTGCGCAGGCTGTCTACCACAAGGATTGGGACCTCAACCGCGGAAAGTTCTCCTTCACGGCCGACACGCCTGTCCTCCAGACTGCCAAGATGGCCGCCGTGCTCATAAGCCAGGTGCGTAGAGTAGGCCTGCCGGCCATCCTCTTGCTGGCCACACCGATTATAGCCTTCGCCCTCGTACTGAACGCCGAGCGGTAACGCGTGTGCGCTTGTGCGTTTGTGTGTGTGAATGCTTGCAGCTGAAGTACAAGGCGAAGTATGAAAAGATGAAGAGCAAGTTCACACCTGTGCTGGAGGAGCCCAGGAATTTGCACGCCAAGGCTATGCAAGTGCAGCAGAGCCCGGTATGTCTGCCTCATGTCGCGAGATGATTACCCCGGCGTTTTAATGCTGCAAAAAAAATTGGCAGACAATACCTGCTTTCCATATCTGTATCTACACTTAAAAAAAAAGTATTTCTTTTTACTCATCCCATCGACAACATAGCCTTCTGGAAGTGGTTTTGTTCAGCAGAATTGGTTTGGTTCAATACACGAAAACTGTGGACTGAATTCAACACAGTGTTACGCTGCAGGTGGCTCTTGGGGTCCTGTTGGAATGTGTCTCTTTGTCCTTGTGTCCAGTGGATGTACAAGAAAGACTTTGAGAAGATGAAGACTAAGTTCACTCTCCTGGTTGACATGCCATCCATCAAGCAAGCTAAGGCAGCCGCCAAGCTGATCAGCGACGTGAGCACTGCACACACACTGCTTGTCCCCTCGCGCGTCGCCCGATCGCGCATTGCCCTCACGCGCGCCTTCTCCTCGCGATCCACCCTTGTCAAAATGTGCGACTAATGGTGGCCCGTGTTGCGTGGTCCTAGATCGTCTACAAGGAAAAGCACAATAAGACAAAGCACATCGGCTTCACGCCCTTACAAGACTCGCCCTTCCTCCGCCACGTGAAGAAAGCCGACGCTCACACCAGCTATGTGAGTATGCCGCAAGCACCAAACCCTTTCCACCTCCTCTGAGTAGCCACACGACACCATCCGCGCGAACCTCTGCCGTGCGGCAGGTTTAACGCGAGACGTTCGCCCGCGCCCCCCCCCCCCCCCCGCAGTGGAAGTACCGGGACGAGTATGACCGCAAGAAGGACACGTACACTCTGCCTCCCGATGCCGTGCCACTGTGCACCGCCAAGCAGGCCTACGCCATCAGTCTGGACGTGAGCTGCACTGACTGCCATGGCCACATCAGATTTTAATTAAGTGTGGTGGTTAATTTGTTAAGGTAGTCAACGTTGGGAAACCTGTGATAATGGGAATTATTATTCTACTTGTTTACCAAGCAAAGCCTCACCGAGTTTCAAGATTCAATCTTGATGTGAAGCTTTCGTGACTGTAGGAATTCATACTCTTTAGTTCTTTCGGTAAAGTGACGTAGATAGAAAAATAACTAATAGGTCACGACGTTTCGATCGCAACACAAGCAATCGTCTTCAGGTGAAACAATACAGCAGGTGGATTGCTGAGGCAGGAAGAAATATAGTGAGAGAGCTACTTCAACCAAAGGTTATATAGGTTTTGGTGGGTACAACCCAAGGGTAAGTGGGCGGGGCTAGGGATGGAATTTGCAAGTACAATGGAACCTCGGTATACGTCGTTAACTCGTCCCAGAAGGTAGGACTTATACCGAAAATGACGTATACCAAACGAATTTTTCCCATAAGAAATAAAGGGAAAGGAAATAATCCGTTCCAGAGGAAAATAAATTATATTTTACATGGCATATTATACATTAATGGGGTTGTATAAAACTATTTAGACACTAATTACTAAAATGCATACAGAAGCCACGTGACCGCGCTGCTGCCAGCTGCGTTGGTCACGTGGCGTGCCTCAACCCAGCACGTCGTGCGCGCCTCGACCCGGGGCTCCACCCTCCATAGGGGCAGCCCCCCACGTCCCCCGCCCCTCTCCCCCACGCCCCCCGCCCCTCTCCCCCACGCCACCCCGCCCCTCTCCCCCACGCCACCCCGCCCCTCTCCCCCACGCCACCCCGCCCCTCTCCCCCACGCCCCCCGCCCCTCTCCCCCACGCACCCCCGCCCCTCTCCCCCACGCCACCCCGCCCCTCTCCCCCACGCCACCCCGCCCCTCTCCCCCACGCCACCCCGCCCCTCTCCCCCACGCCCCCCGCCCCTCTCCCCCACGCCCCCCGCCCCTCTCCCCCACGCACCCCGCCCCTCTCCCCCACGCCCCCCGCCCCTCTCCCCCACGCACCCCGCCCCTCTCCCCCACGCACCCCGCCCCTCTCCCCCACGCACCCCGCCCCTCCTCCCCCACGCCACCCCGCCCCTCTCCCCCACGCCACCCCGCCCCTCTCACCCCACGCCACCCCGCCCCTCTCCTCCCCCACGCCCACCCCGCCCCTCTCCCCCACGCCACCCCGCCCCTCTCCCCCACGCCACCCCGCCCCTCTCCCCCACGCCACCCCGCCCCTCTCCCCCACGCCCCCCGCCCCTCTCCCCCACGCCACCCCGCCCCTCTCCCCCACGCCACCCCGCCCCTCTCCCCCACGCCACCCCGCCCTCTCCCCCACGCCACCCCGCCCCTCTCCCCCACGCCCCCCGCCCTCTCGCCCCACGCCCCCCGCCCCTCTCCCCCACGCCACCCCGCCCCTCTCCCCCACGCCACCCCGCCCCTCTCCCCCACGCCACCCCGCCCCTCCCCCACCTCCCTCTCCCCCACACCACCCCGCCCCTCTCCCCCACGCCACCCCGCCCCTCTCCCCCACGCCACCCCCGCCCCTCTCCCCCACGCCACCCCGCCCCTCTCCCCCACGCCACCCCGCCCCTCTCCCCCACGCCCCCCGCCCCTCTCCCCCACGCCACCCCGCCCCTCTCCCCCACGCCACCCCGCCCCTCTCCCCCACGCCCCCCGCCCCTCTCCCCCACGCCACCCCGCCCCTCTCCCCCACGCCACCCCGCCCCTCTCGCATTGGACGGGGCATACGCGGGTACTGCACGCGGCGACTCATCCCGACCCACACAAGTTCTAGCAAACGCGTCGTATCCCAAGAAATTTTCTCTCTCGAAAAAACACGACGTATTCCAAAACGGTCGTATACCGAGGTTCCACTGTAAATGTAAGATCGCAGAGCTAGCATGCCTCGGCTAATCCGAGGGGGGAGGGTAGGGAGGGGGAACCAGGTAAAGTGTAATGAGTCTCAAGATTCTTTGTTTGGAGGGTCCTGCTAAGTTTTCGCAGTGGGAGGTGACGATTGTTACGTGTTTCCCAATTATGTAATTAGCGAGTATTTTTAACAATGGCACACAATGGCCTACTCTTATTTGAATGTCACGGGATATTTTACGTCAACTGTAAAGCACAGCGCACATAATGTTACAGTTAATACACCTGCAGTATTAACCAGGGTGGCCTGCCAAAATCGAACCACAAACCCTCTGGTCCATGTCACCACCCACGTATTAATCACGTGGTGGCATGATTGTTGATGGTGCGGTGGCGGTAGATATCATTTGACCTTGGCATGAACCTATCTCGTTGAATGCTACGAGTTCAGCTTTGAGACTGATTTCACGAGTGCGTTGTACAGTGCAATGATGGCGATGATGTGGTTGTTGCAGCGGCCGTACCGAGCTCAGTATGAGAAGACGAAGGCTCGGTGGGTGGAGGTCCCTGACCGACCAGACATGGTGTCTGCGATGCGCGCGACCGTGCAGCTGAGTGATGTGCGTGCTCCGCCCTCACCCCGCGCACTTCTCCATTCCCATCCCGGCCACAAGAGTGCACGTGAAATCCCACAATCCCTTGTGTCCCCTGTCTCCTTATTACACCCTGCATATTCGCAAGGTACACTTGCACGCACAATGTAAACGGTCTACACGCCGAGCGTGCCGAGTGACTCTCGAGGTGAGTACAGCAGGCATCACCACCAAGCGCCATGCGCCCTGTGAAAGGCATGCACATCGGCCTCAATGTGGTTCCATTATTCTGCCACTTCTGACGTAGTGATCTGTACGAAAAGCTAAATTTCTGCAAGGTCTGTTACGGCTGTTGCACCTGTGCACACGTGCCTGTCCACACACGTGTGTGTGCGTGTGTCCGCGTGTGTGTGTGTGTGTGGCTTAGGCGGAGTACCGGCAGGACCGGGAGATGCTCAAAGGCTGCAAGTTCTCTGTGACCAATGACAAGCTGATGGTTTTGGCTAAGCAGGGCCAAGACCTGGCCAGCGGTGTACGTCCATGCAGACACTTGTACATGGGCATATACGGATACACGTACCCATTGCTTGTGGGCAAGGCTGCGGTTGTGTGCTTACACGGGTATGTGTCTGGTGTCTATGCGCTTGTATGCTTTTATGTGTGTACGGATGTGCAGATTAAATACCACGAGCAGTTCCAGCAGATGAAGGACAAATTCACGCCAGTGGCAGACAGCCCCGTGCTCAACAACGTCAAGAACGCCAGCAACCTCGCCTCCGAGGTGATGGTTGATCGATGATCTTCTGTTGTGTGGCCTCACGAGCATGGACGTCTCAATGTGGGAATCTCCAACTAGTGCTGCCAGTCTTAGCTGATTTCAATCTGTTATTAAAACTCGCTTACTCAAACGCCTGCAACCGCCACAGTGCAAGTTAATTCTTCATGAACCGGCCATGTGTGCCATTTAGTTCTGTATTTACGTGTGTGTTTAATTGGGTGAGATATTCACTGTATAAACTAGGTTATAGATTTACAATGTTTGTATAAGTGTCATAACGAGTTTTCTTTGTGTCAATTAACATCCTGAACCAAATTTCAAACGAGATATTCCATCTCAAGGGATCATCCAGGTGAAATTCTTTAATATTTGAAAGAATGCCTATTTATGTCTCGTACAACTCTGTAGCTTGCATTGATGTGAGAGATGTAAGTGGGAATGTCTACCGCTGAGAGAGACGGTGACAATAGTCACTCTCGTACGTGACCGGACTGAGCAGGTCAAGTACAAGGAGGCGGGAAAGAAGGTGCTGCCCAAGCCGGCATTCTCCAAGATCCCTCAGACCCCGCAGACGGCCCTTGTCAAGAAGCTCTCCAAGCTGCAGAGTGGGGTTCGTTGTTCTCACACACACACACACGTGCATACAACAACAACAACCGCCATTCGCCACTAAGTGGCGGTGACGTCACCACGACGCTTGTGCCAGGCCATGTGCACCTTGAGGCCGCGTGAAGTGTCGAACGCCCGCTGGCAGGAGGTCACGGGGCAGACCCAGGTGCCACAGGTCGACTGACTGAGATGACTGAGATGACTGGCTGATGCACCACTTATTGCCCCCTACTGTGCCAACTTGCTGTGCTTTAGCCACCTGGCACTCCGCTCGTTGTTGTGAGCGTCACTCCTCCGCCCTCTGTTGTTGTTGGAGGGCGACTGCCTCCAACTGCCCAGTAGCGTCTTTCACGAGCCTCCTCCACAGAGGCCTCTTGACACCGCTGGTACCAGTCAACGGTAAGTCCACTCAGCTCCACGTCCTCCTGTACCACATCATTCCGTCTCTTCTCTAGCCCGTGTCGCGCCCATTTAGTCCCCTCTATCCGGCCAAACCAAAGCTGTTTAGGCATGCGGTGGCTGGGCATGCGGGCTACATGACCCTGCCAAAGCAGCTTTGCGTGCCGGAGGAGCTCACCGATAGGACTTTGCCCAGATCTTTCAAGGATTTGTGGGCTCTGCAAGCCTCTCCTCAGCGTGCCTCGCAAGGCAATGTTGAATAATCCTTGCCAGGACCTTTCCCGGCACACTGAGGAGTGAGATGCCCCTGTAGTTGTTACAGTCTGTGCGGTCCCCCTTCTTAAAGAGGGGGACCACCAAGGCATCCTTCCAGTCCTACGGAACCCGTCCAATGGTCCAGACTGTTGTTATGATGTCATGTAGTGCAGTCTGTGCACAAACGCCACCCTTCCTCAGCATTTTGCTTGGGAGATAATCTCTGCCTGGTGCTTTTCCTGGTTTCAGACTCTGGATCGCCTTCAGTACTTCCTCAACAGATGGCATCTCAGCCAGCCACTCACAGGGGGTGACTTCCAATATTTGAGGCAATATTTGAGGCACCGCAGCCTCAGCAGGGTCATTCCCACTTTGTGCCACGATGTTTTCTTGGCTGAGGGATTTCCCCTCCCCCAGGACCTCACAGAAATGCTCAGCAAATCTGCAAACCTGTTCCTGGGGGTCGGAGATTGGATCACAGTTTTTTCCCCGTAATGATGGTAATAGGTGTGGCGCTGCAGGTTACTTTTTTAATGGAGTTAAATAGGGATTTGTGATCGCGGGCCACTGAGGCAGACTCTATCTCCTCAGCAACCCGCTACCACCACCCATCCTTGGGATGCTGTAGATGATTAGAGTGGGCCTGTCGCTTTTTCTCAGCCAGCCTGAACACCTCTGTCAGCCAGGGTCTCTGGGGAGGTCTGGACCACATACCCAAAGCAGCCATTACAGCTGCATGAGTCACAGTCCTAAACCTCGCCCATTTACCCTCGACATCAGGAGGAGTGGGGGATGATGCCAAATGCAGCCGCAAGCGATGATGAAATTCTCGCTTGCAACTTTCATCAGCTAACTGAAAACCAGGCCACCTTAGGGTGGAATGGGGTCCTGTGTGTACACCCACCACCAGAGTGTAAGAATGGCAGGCGCATCTTACAGATGACTAGTCGATGGTCAGAGGGCAGATTAGCTCCACGGTAGGTCCTGGTGTCAAGGACATGGGCTCGCATCCGCTGGTCTGTCACTATGTAGTCCAGCAGATGTTCTTGCTTGGACCCGGCATGCATCCATGATGGAACAACGTGTTGGTAATTACAAGCCCATGGGCTGCACAAAAATCTAGCAGCCTCCTACTGTTGTTATTGAGCTGATCTGGCCCATGCCTTCCAATCACTCCAGATCAGGTGCCAGCATCATGACCAACTCAGGCATTGAAGTCACCCAACAAGATGACTCTAACCCGAGGGGCCACTTTAGCCCGCACCTGTGACAGGAGGTCATAGAAGGCATCTGACTCATCGGCTTTGCCTGCATCCCTCCACGGATGTTCGTTTTCGGTGGGGGCATAAGTAACCACGACCACCACTCCTCGCCTCCGGTTGATGGGAAGGTGAGCCCAAAGTAGCCTGGGGCTTACAGCTTCCCACACCTCACCGCCACGCTCCCACGCTCCATTCATTCTTTTGTTCAGAAGAAGAGCCACACCCTGTTGTTTGGCAGTCTCCTGCCCCGAGTAGAGGACTGTCCACCCCTCATGGTGGCAGGAGCCAGAGCCGGTCCACCAGACCTCTTGAATGCCAAAGAGATCCAGGCGGTACCAGTCCAGCTCCCGACAGAGGAGTGGCAGCTTCTCCTCCGCAGTGAGCGTTCGAACATTCCACGTGGCCATCCGTAGTGGCTTTTCATTGTTTCTGGAGGGACCCCGAGGGTAAAGATTCAATCTCCTGGCTCCGCCAAATGGGGTTTGGCCAGGAGACGTCATAGACGCCTGGCCTCCGGCACAAGCTTATTAGTTAGATATTTCAGTTGTGGTTTAGTGGTAATTTATTGAAGGTGGAGGGGTTACCAGCCCCCATTTAGCCACTGTGGTGGTCACAGACGCCATGAAGGGAGAGGGCAATCGGAATTGGCCCTCCCCCCCCACAGCACTGTCCACGACAGGGTTGCCCATCTGGCACCGCGAGGAGTTAGGGGGTTGTTTTACCGGACGTGCATACAAACACTCGCACAGATACACACACATGCACAAAGACAAAGATCCCCCGTATCACCTTTAAAGACTGTTTGGGCAAGTGCTGTTAGCGGAGCACCTATGAAGGCTGGCACGGCAGACGAGGGGGTGGGTGGCCGGCACCACACCTGACTGCCTTTGTCTCCCAAGTGGCGATGTTTACACTTTGCACCAAGCACTCATTTGAGCCTGAGTCGACCTAGTGGAAGCCCGTAACCAGTTCAGATAATTGTCACTGGTGTTAGTCGTGAGCGGGAATTGAACTCAGGTTGCCGGGTTTGTAGCGCACATGTTAACCGCAACAATATGGCTCCCCATACATAAAGACAAAGATGCCCATTATAGCCTAAACAGACTGTTGGGGCAAGTGTTGTTAGCAAGCACCTATGAAGGCCGGCACAGCACACGAGGGGGTAGATGGCCAAGACCACGCCCGGCCGCCTTTGTCTCCCTAGTGGCGATATTTACACACCACACCAGGCACTCATTTGCGGTTGAGTCGACCTAGGGGAAGCCCAGGACTGTTTCAGATAATCATCACTGGTGTCGACCGTGAGCGGGAATCGAACTCTGGCCGCCGGGTTTGGAGCGTACCGTACTAACCGCCACACTATCGCTCCCCATACACACACGCACAAACACACATGCACACGCACGCGCACACACACACATATGTACGTAAAGATAACATACTAATCGATCAAATGCTGTTACTGAGCACCTATGAAGGCCAGCATGGCACTCAAAAGAGAGCGGTGTGCCCAGCACAACCTTCGGCTGATTTTGTCTCCCCAGTGGCAATGTTGACAACCACGCCAGGTATTATTTTAAGGCTGAAGCGACCTAAGTGATTACCAAGTCTGGTATGGATAGTGATCGCTCATGTTGACCGTGCACAGGAACACTGGGTTCATAGCGCAGTGCGCTAACCACTGCACGAACACTCCCCACACACACACACACACATATATGCACGCACAGACACGCGCACATATCGCACGGTCTCACCATGAATACCTCACGCGGCCACATAGCGCAGGCCCATAGCACAGGCACACCGTTCACATGTGAAGGCAGCTGTGGGAGTGGCCACCTTGGCATGCACTGCTGTTTGCAGAAGTGCTACCGGCAGAAGCACGATCAGGAAAGAGGGAAGTCCGATTACGCCAGCATGGAGCACCCGCCCGACGTGCAGCACGCCATGGACGTGAACAAGAAGCAGAGCTCGGTGAGTCGCTCACCACAGCCCCCCACAGCCTCGCCCGTACGCCCCCACGCCCCCCGCTGCTACGCACCTGACGTACTCGCAAACCTGCGCAGGCTCCGCTACGCACACGTGATTCACCTATGTGAGCCTTAACAACACTACCCCACGGGCATCCCGCACGCGTCCCACTGTGAGTGTGGCCAACGTGGGCAAGAACTCCGGCTTGTTCTGGCCGCCGTGAAGGCAGCTGTACGAAGGTGCAGCCCGTGGCCCCAATTTGATGCATGAGCACCCCACTCGCAGCCTTTAAATTGCAACCCCTGCCAAAATACTAGACTAAAAAGTCAAGGTGCAGCCCTGAGCAATTGTTTGCTCACTGGCGGATGGGTCTCCACAAGAGTGAACTCTCGTGTGTATGGGTCTACTCTTTCGCATTACAGCAACACACTTACTGTATACTTAATGTGGATCATGTGCTATACGCTGTGCTGACTGTGTGCCTTGTGCTGCCTGTAGGTGGCCTATAAGAAGGCCGCCAGGGCCAGTCTCAACTACACGCAAGTGGCCGATCGTCCCGACATCCTCAAGGCCCAGCAGGCTGCCAAGCTCATTAGCAATGTGGGTCCCCTCTCCTTCACACAACGAACACCCCAATTGGAGAAAGCCCAGTTCACATCTCTAACAGGGACATCATGTATACCAGTGTGTACGCCACAGACATGCTGTAAATAGCAGGTGTTGTTTAAATTACAGGGTGTGAACCAGTGTAAACCACACGGTATAAATCAGTGTGTTAACCACAGTGTAAATGACAGATTGTAAACCACAGTGTCATTCACAGACACCACAGATTTTAAAGTAACACAAAATAACTATATTCTTTGGGTCTTTCGGTAAAGTCACGTAGAAGGGAAATAATAAAAGAATAAAAATAACAAATAATAAAATTTTAACGACGTTTCGGCCACAACGCAAGCAGCCGTCCTCAGGTGAAGAACAGAGCTGTCGGAAAGACAGCGTCCTAATGAACACTGCTAAGCTTGGCAGCGTATTTTAAGCTGGGTGGGAGGAGCAGAGAGCCTTGACAAAGGAGTTTACATATCAACAGAGGAATTTAGCATGTTGATGACATGCAGATATGGGGTTAGTCACTCCTTGTGGAACGTGTAGGCGGTGGGGGGTCTCAAAGTCATATTATGCTCGTGTATTATGGAGGATTAGCAGTAATAAAGGAAGGGAAATTTTTGTATAATTATAAAATTTGGTACACCGGTCACTTAATGTTAATAGCTCAGCTTATTGGAGAGTATATTGAGTACATTGATTATATTGATGTAATTTAAATTAAGTTTTTTTCACATCGGTTTATTGTATGGTAGTAGGGTATTTGCAGTTCTCCACTGCCAGCCTCTCACTATACACTCCGCGAACTTCTCCACTGCTAGCCTCTCACTATACACTCCGCTAGCTTATCTGTTGCTAGCCTTAGCACACTCACACTTAGGATTCCGCTAGCCTCTCTACTGCTAGCCTGTCTACCCTCACTCTTCCAACCTTGCCCCTGCCTCCAGCGGAGGATCAGCTAACACCGCTGGAGAGGACGAGGTGTGGAGAGCGGGGTCTCGGACTTCTCTTGAATTCTCTCTTGTCTTCACTCCAACCAACTCAAACTCCTATGCCTCACACGTTCCCCTTTTATCCCCCTCCTCATTAAGTGCCCCCAGGTGGCCCTCATTAAGCCGGCGTCCTCGCCACGCCCCACGCACGTATTCTCCCCCTTATCGCCACTCTCTCTCGCCTCTGTGGCGCCTACTCCGCGTTTGCATTTGCAGCCAGCCAATCACTGCCTCTTTCCCTAATTGCTGGCGTCTCTGTCTGCTGTCACCCAGGCCACCTGCCTGCACCTGCTTATCCTTAGCTGACCTCACTGTCTGAAACCCCGTACATAATGCAACTGCTGTTTGCAAACCCTGTGCGCGTTACGCCACTACACAAGTGTAAAGCACACCATACAGGGCATAGCCTGCAGCAGTGTAAACCGCATTGTGCAACCCACACATGAGCGAGGTTGAGTGAGCATAGGAGTCTGGGCGAGAGCGCTGAATGATGGTCGGTGACGTGAGTGAGGGATATGAGCAGGAATGTGATGCCATCGCTACAGATCGAATACCGGGCCAAGGCCAAGGAAGAGGCCGCGGGGTTGATCACTGGGATGGCAACTCGGCCAGACATTGACCACGCCACAGGGGTGTCTCACCTGGTGTCGCAGGTAAGTCCTGACGCATTTTCCTCAGTCACGCACGATCATGGTACTCTCCAGTTATGTCTTGCGCGCTCAGCCTGCAGTTGTGGTGACCCAGGGCGCCCTTGCAAAAGAGGTGATGCTGCCTAATGCGTCTCAACTAGGGTTAATTTCATCTCCTGGTTAAATAAAGAATACCACAGCTACGACCATCACCGACGTGTCCAGGGTACTCGCTAAATTCCAGGCACCCCAACACACATACCAGGTGTCCTGAGAGCCTTTCTAGGACACGGCCGTGGGTCCTTTATGATGTCGGCGGTGCTTCCAACAGGTGGAGTACACGAAGCAGAAGCCTCGCGGCCATGGCGCCGCCTCCTACGACACACCACTCATGCGCCAACTTAAGAAGGCCAGCAACCTCATCAGCCACGTGAGCCTTCACAACACTACACCACGGGCATCGCACATGTGTCCCAACGTGAGTGTGGCCAAGTGGGCAAGAGCTCCGGCTTGGCCTGGCTGCCGTGAAGGCAGCTGTACAAAGGTGTAGCTCATGGCCCTGATTTGACGCATGAGCACCCTACGCAGTTTTTCAATTGCACCCCCTCCTACCAACAACTCCAGTAAAAGGTCAAGGTGCAGCCCTACAATTGCTTCCTCACCCCATTACTGGTGGATGGGCCTCTACTAGTGGGCATTAGTGGATTCTGATCTACTCTTCCACATTGACCAAACTTGTGATGGCGCCACGGTGGCAAGATGTTAACTACCTCACCCAGTTTACAGGTCGTGGGTTTGATCCCGACCCTGATGCTTGTATATTTGGAGTTAGCATGTTCTCCCCGTGGTCGTGTGGACTTTTCTCTGGGTCCTCCGGTCTTTTCCTACACTTTTAGAAACTTATCTTTAGAGTATTTGGCTGCTATAAATTTCCATATGATAAACCACGCCTTTTGGTGTCCTCTGGTCTAACACCGTTTTGAGTCTAGGCTTAAAAGAAAGCTGTCTCTGGTGTGGACCAATCAGTTTCAAAGACAATGCAATGTTTTTTGTTTGCATTCTGACCACAAGTATTGTGGTTAATGCAGACATGATTCCTTGTAAAAGGTTTAAGTTTGGTGTTTTAACATTTTAACATCTGTTTTGTTACCAGTAAAAAGGAGAAAACCTATTCTCATAAGCCACTTCGTTGAGCTGTCATTGTGGCAAGGTCACATCTGAACAAGAGCTATATAGCTCAGTGGGCCTCACCTGGTATGAGGTAAAAATAAATTGGAAGAGGTGGGCGTAAGCACTCTCTAGCCCCCGCACACGACCCGCCGATCGACTCATCGTGGTGCACCCATTTGTACCGCTGGGTGAACAGAGGTTGTGGGAGAATTTGAGACACTTGCACCGTCGTTTCAATTGACACGACGGAAGATGAAATTGTTATTGATTAACCGGACTGGTGCACCAGTTACGTGGTTAATGGCGACTCGGTTGAGGATTGCTGTGTGTGACACACGTGCTGTTGCATTTTACAGATTTACCACAATAAATGTGTTTGCCCTCCATTTGGAGCACCTGCCCACGTCCTTCATTTCGAGTGTGCCCCTCAATGAGTCTTACATCTTGAGACTCATTGGGGCTTTTCTGAGTAACTAATTTAAATACAATTACACCCCCCAAATTTACCTGCCAGGGAAGTCTGTACTTGGCCTTTGCCTCATGAGGCTATTAAACTGACTATGTTATCCCTGGTGTGATGTCCATGCATGCACAGACAAAGTACAAGGAAAAGTTTGACAAGGAGGTGAAGGGGAAGAAGCCACACTTTAAGGCAGACGAGTCGACCACCTACAAAGCGAACAAGCAAGCCACTGCCCTGGCGAGCGAGGTGACAAGCATCATTCTCGCAACCACTGACAATCCTGAACTCTTCTTCCACATCGCAGGGTACTTTGTGATAAGAGTCGCGAGCCAGACAGGAGACGGTAAGATCATGCAGAGCAATGTAGGCAGTTTCTACAAAGATACGTATTGTATACGACGCTAACGATTATTTCTAATTATGTATCACAATATAATATTGCATTGAACTAGGAACCCAAAGCGTAAAGAGATGTTACTATAATATCGATATTTCACCATCATTAATTCAAGCAAGCCTGACTGCTGATAGGACACTGCATGTCCGAATTGTTCCAGAGTTTGCTTGTATTGTTGAGCTAATGCTGCTGAAAAAACACACTTCCAGAAATGCCGTGTGACTGATAAGGTGTAAAAAAAACCTTTAATTTTTAAGCGCCGCGACAAATATAGGAAGACGTAATGTCTGCTAATTATATACTCCACAATTCCTTCATACATTATTATTTTGCACAATGTTATATTAGGGGATTATACTCTTTCCCCCTTGGGAGAGAAGTCCCTTGCTATGTTCCTGCTTGTGCCACTAGCTGGTGCCAACCTTGCTTGCCCAGTCGCCCGTGCGCGGGACACACGAGACCGTCTCTGGAGGCCACACCAGTCGAAAATACACGTGTGCGGTGTGTGCCGCTCACCCACTCTCTAGCACTCCACTAACAGTGGCATACTGGAGTAAGGCAAGGTCCACGTTTCAGGCAGGTTGGGCAAATTTGTGGTGAGTTAGGATTATGCCTTTCTTATTGGGAGTTACAGCTAGGCTTCAGATTGAAAAGTTAATAGCTACAGTGGCTTCCTAACATCAGAAGGAAGAGCATTCCAGATGGCCACAGAATCGCATCTGAAAGCGCACGATGCAGTGATCATCTTTATTCGATGGCTATTCAAAAGCCGATGCGACGATGACTGGAGTTCGCGTGATGGTTTGGGTGTGCACACAGGTTGGACGCACACACGCGTGACAGTTGAGGTTGGGGGTTAGAGTTGTGTTTCAGAGTTAGAACCGAGCTGTACGTCGGGATGCCCTGCCAGCCTCATGCCACCGGTGTTGCTGTGCACCTGCAGGTGAAGTACAAGGAGGACCTGAAGAAGATGCATACTCCCGGTGTGGGTCTGGCCTCCTCGCTGCTCATGCAGCACATTACCTCCACCAGCAAACTCAGCAGTGAGGTGGGCACTCCCCAGAGAAAATCGCCACTACGCCGTTGGCACTGCACTGAAAACACTCAACACCTTCATCAGTAACACTGTGGCCTTAAAAGTAGAAATATCTATTTATAATGTAATAGGTAATGTTATGGGAAGTCGACCTTTGTAGCAAATAGAGAGGTGAGGAAGACTGAGCGAACAACAGTAGGAGACCAATCAGTTTCAAAGACAATGCATATATTATCAGAGTATTCAGTTTGGTGTTTTAACATCTTAACACCTGTTTAGTTGCCAGAAAAAAGGGGAAAACCTATTCTCAACAGTAGGAGACTTCGCAATACCCATATACACCATGGGGCCCTGATTAAAATGTAATTAGAAAAATGTTTCCAAATTATTATTATAATTTTCCAAGCTTTGTGGCACTATATTGGGACGTTTGACCTACTCCATGTATGTGGTTAAGCAAATTTTGCTCGTGACTTATTATGACCACTTGCTAAACATTTGTGACAAATTTTGGAGCAAAAAAATGATTCCCCAGCAACGTATTGAGATGGAGGTGACACCTAACCCCTTCGTGTTTAGATTCAATGTATCCTCTCAAAAATACTATGTGAGATGGCAATGGAGATGAGAGTGAGTGTTTTGTGTTTGCAGAATGTGTATAAGAAGGAGTTTGAGAAGAGTCGTGGAAAGTACCTGCATGTGGTGGATGGGCCTCAGCAAGTCCATCACCGTGAGGTCACAGACATGCAGAGCGAGGTGGGTGACACAGGGCCAAGCGCCGCCGTACATGCGTAGTATCAGCGTGCATCGTTAACCTAGTACCTGTCAGCTCATGACACGCAAGGGCATGCTTCACACTCGCTCGCATAGACGCGATTAATAGAGGTAATATATAAACCACAGCTTACACAGGTTGCTGAGGCAAACAATCGATTAACGTGCCCACCATGCCAGCCCAATCTGCTGGAGGCGCACCTGGGGACATTACCCCTCATTGCAGTGCCAGGTCTACGTGAGGGGCTGTGACGAGCGTGATTCTCTGTTTTTGCCGAGCAGTCCAAGTACAAGCAGGACTATGAGAAGTCGAAAGGAAAGCCCATGCTGGACTTCGAGACGCCCACCTTCATCACGGCACGCGAATCCCAGCTGATGCAGCGAGAGGTAGGACTTCTCTGTTCACATTGACTCAGGAGATTTTAACACTCGGGATGGGTGTATCAAGGCCCGTCATCTCTCCGAGTGAACCAACCTGGTGATCACGGAGGAACTATTAGTCTCAAACCTGTTCATATTCTCAGCTCAGCTATTTCAAGTTTATTTTGTCTAACCAATTGAGAACTCAAGAAACGAGGATGAGTCTCATTTGCAAGAGTGACCTTGGGTCACCATAATGACATTAAAGCCAAGTACAACAAAGTATAAGAGCAAATATAAATCAGAGCAAAAACAATCAGGTTACAGAAGAAATAAAAACACTTGTACAAAATCTAAATCACATCAAATAACTTTCCAGGAACAAAAGTTGGTTTGCACAAATTACTTAAAAAAAAACGTTTATCGTAAAATTCAGTTACAGATACATCAACATGGGTTTTGGGTGATTATTGCACCAGTGTGTAAACAGATTATTGCACCAGTGTGTTGCGATTGAAACGTCGTAGTTTTTTTGTTATTTTTGTATTTATTGTTTTTTCTTTGAACCTATCTACGTGACTTTACCGAAAGATCCAAAGAATATGAATTCCTGCAGTCACAAAAGCTTTAAGTCAAAATTAAAGCTGAAGTTATCTTACAGATTCGACAGCTCAGAATTACATTGTGGTGTAGACGACAGAGTGATCAAGGCCAACTTTGAAGCAGCTGTGACGGGAGTGATCGTTGTGGTCACTCATGAGTGGTCCCTTGTGATGCCTCTTTAGAAAGTCTACCGGAGGGATTTTGAGGAGGGAATGAAGGGACGGAATCTGAACGTTCTGGAGACGACGCCCGCATACCTGTGTGTGAAGCACGCCTCCAGCATCCTCAGCGAGGTGGGTGCTGCGCTGCCCTGCACAGAGACACTGTCGTTAGTAACAACAGAAAGAGCAGCGCGCATCTGCGCATTGAGTACTCTTTCACGAGCGAGTCAGGTTTCGAGTCTCATTGCAACAGTGACTGATTTGGGTCACCGCAATGGCAATAGCAATAACTTAAGAGTGCGGCAATGAAGCAAAAATCGGGGCAAAAACAACCAAGCCACTGACAAAAAAAACATCATTGATAACGTAATGTGATGTGTGGTGGGCGGTGGTGCATGTGGTGTGTAGTGAGGGGCGCTGTGTTTGAATGTACGCTTGCCACTTCACGTGATCTGAAAGTACACGTAGCCTGGCACAAGTTCTGTAGCGCCATCACTGCCGCTTTGTGTGTATATATGAGCAAGTATTGTGATGTGTGGTGTGGCCGTGGTGTGGTATGTGCCACACAATGTATGATGTGCAGAGAGAGTACAAAAAGGACCTGGAGAGGGTGATCAAGGGGAAGGGAATGACTGTCCAGGACATGAACACCCCCGACTTGCAGCGGGCAAAGAATGCCACGTCTATCCTCAGCCAGGTGAGTCTGCACTCTCACCAGAACCACGTCATGATCTGACCATGTTTCTGTGAGCCCCTCTACCAACCGACAAACGTTTAGCGAGGTTGTTACGTGGCCTCATGCAAAAGTTGATTACGAATCATAACATTGGCTGCGAAAACACACGCGTTACCAACTTTTGAGGGCTGTTTAGCGAGTTCGGTTTTAAGCAGGATCACGCGTGCGCTTTCACTGCATTGACTGCGGGGTGCTGCCTGGCCTCAGACCAAATACAAGGAGATGGCAGGCAAGGAGCTCGGCGTTTACATCTCGGTGGTCGACTCTCCCGACATCGTGCACGCGCGTCACGTGAAGGACATCACGAGCTCGGTGAGTAGCGCAGCGGCAAAACACGCTCGGCCACGAGCCCCGGCTTGATTGGTGTTGACTGGCGTCTCGTGCCTCTCGCCTCTCCACTGGTGCCGCCCAGATCAAGTACAAGGCGGATGCGGTGAGGGAGCGGGGTCACTTCGTGTCTGTGCTGGACACACCCCAGTTCAACACCGTCAAGGAGAATCAAAAGAACTTCAGTGAGGTGAGAGTCCCCCTCCTCAGCCCATGGGCTCTCCCGGCCTGGTAGGCCACTGTGGCCCGCAGGGATGGTAGATCACACGAATTGGGGGAACTATCACTCTTACCCAAGAGTGTTGAGGTGGCTTGTCAGGGTATGGCAGTACTAAAAAGAAGATTAATTTCCATCTGTGCAGGGATTGAGTGTTATACCTACCTCTCATGCACATTTTTTCTCCAGGTACTCCAGTCTCCTCTACGTGTATACACACCCATTAATGGAATTGAACAAACATCCCAATATAGAACCACAGAGCTTGGGCAATTGTTGGCACTGGTTCTGGCTGCCTTCCTGCTTGCTTGTGGGTTTCCCCTGCACCTCCATGAGAAAACTGTGCATTACAAATTCTACTCCAGAGGAGTTTTTGGATGTGATTTGCATGAATAATATGGTTTAGAAAATAAAAAATTATTGCACAGTATTATAGGGGCCAGGGGGAGGTTGACTCAAATACATTAAACTTTGACACTGTGTCACCTTGTATGTTGACCAACTAGAACACGGCAGTCTTACATACGTCACAGAAAACAGTCCTGGCCATCCTAAACAACACACACGGGTTGTGACATGGTTGTGATGCTGCTGTGTGGTAATCGTGCTGGACACGTGGGGGTTGCGACGATCCTCTACGCTGCCATCTCAGATCCAGTACCGGGACCCGATGGCAAGTGGCACATGTGCCACCGACACACCCGAGCTGCGGCACGCCAAGCAAGCACAGCACATCATCAGCACGGTACGCTGCCCACCCACATAATCCCACCCCACTAGCCCAACACAACAAGCCACCCCTCGAGCCCACCCATATAACCCACCCCAAGAGCTCACCGTGCAGACCCAAGCATACAGTGAAGTATTTGATCCCCTGCTGATTTTATACGTTTGCCCACTGACAAAGAAATGATCAGTCTATAATTTTAATGGTAGGTTTATTTGAACAGTGAGAGACAGAATAACAACAACAAAAATCCAGAAAAACACATGTCAAAAATGTTATAAATTGATTTGCATTTTAATGAGGGAAATAAGTATTTGACCCCTCTGCAAAACATGACTTAGTACTTGATGGCAAAACCCTTGTTGGCAATCACAGAGGTCAGACGTTTCTTGTAGTTGGCCACCAGGTTTGTACACATCTCAGGAGGGATTTTGTCCCACTCCTCTTTGCAGATCTTCTCCAAGTCATTAAGGTTTCGAGGCTGACGTTTGGCAACTCGAACCTTCAGCTCCCTCCACAGATTTTTTTTATGGGATTAAGGTCTAAAGACTGGCTAGGCCACTCTAGGACCTTAATGTGCTTCTTCTTGAGCCACTCCTTTGTTGCCTTGGCCATGTGTTTTGGGTCATTGTCATGCTGGAATACCCCTTAGCAGAAAAACACCCCCAAAGCATAATGTTTCCACCTCCATGTTTGACGGTGGGGATGGTGTTCTTGGGGCCATAGGCAGCATTCCTCCTCCTCCAAACACGGCGAGTTGAGTTGATGCCAAAGAGCTCCATTCTGGTCTCATTTGACCATAACACTTTCACCCAGTTGTCCTCTGAATCATTCAGATGTTCATTGGCAAACTTCAGACGGGCATGTATATGTGCTTTCTTGAGCAGGGGGACCTTGCGGGCGCTGCAGGATTTCAGTCCTTCACGGCGTAGTGTGTTACCAACTGTTTTCTTGGTGACTATGGTCCCAGCTGCCTTGAGATCATTGAGAAGATCCTCCCGTATAGTTCTGGGCTGATTCCTCACCGTTCTCATGATCATTGCAACTCCACGAGGTGAGATCTTGCATGGAGCCCCAGGCCGAGGGAGATTGACAGTTCTTTTGTGTTTCTTCCATTTGCGAATAATCGCACCAACTGTTGTCACCTTCTCACCAAGCTGCTTGGCGATGGTCTTGTAGCCCATTCCAGCCTTGTGTAGGTCTACAATCTTGTCCCTGACATCCTTGGAGAGCTCTTTGGTCTTGGCCATGGTGGAGAGTTTGGAATCTGATTGATTGATTTCTTCTGTGACCAGGTGTCTTTTATACAGGTAACAAGCTGAGATTAGGAGCACTCCCTTTAAGAGTGTGCTCCTAATCTCAGCTCGTTACCTGTATAAAAGACACCTGGGAGCCAGAAATCTTTCTGATTGAGAGGGGGTCAAATACTTATTTCCCTCATTAAAATGCAAATCAATTTATAACATTTTTGACATGCGTTTTTCTGGATTGTGTTGTTGTTATTCTGTCTCTCACTGTTCAAATAAACCTACCATTAAAATTATAGACTGATAATTTCTTTGTCAGTGGGCAAACGTACAAAATCAGCAGGGGATGAAATACCTTTTTCCCTCACTGTATATGTCAATTACATGTCATTCATAACCTGTATTAGGCCACCCTTCCAGCGCTCCCTGCTAGCCCATCTGCCCCACTAGCCATATATAAGCACTCTCACCTCAGCCCTGGTAGCAGTTGCACTGCATCTCTGACGTTTGAATGGGGGCATGTGTTGTGTCATGATACGTGGTGTTACGATGTGGTTGTGACGCACGGTTGTTTGTTGTTGTGGTGGGGTCCAGGTGAAATACAAGGATTATCCCGGGAAGGCTACGCCTGTGCCCTTCACGCCGGAGGTGGAGCGCGTCCGCAGAAACCAAGAGCATGTGTCTGACGTATGTCACACGCCGCACCACACAATACAAATATCCCTCCTTTAGCCTTAATAGACTGTTGGGGCAAGGGCAGTTAGCGAGCACCTATGAAGGGCGGCACAACACATGAGGTACTAATTTAAGGCTAAGTCGATCTAGGGGAGGCTCAGGACTGGTTCAAATGTTAGTCAACAATGTTGGCACCTATGAAAGGCGGCACAACACATGAGGTACTAATTTAAGGCTAAGTCGATCTAGGGGAGGCCCAGGAATGGTTCAAATGTTAGTCAACAATGTTGGCCATGGGCAGGTATCGAACTCGGATTCCCGTGTTTGTATTGCTATGAAATAACCACGACGCTACCACTCTCCAAGCACACATAGACCTCTTGTGCCTGTGATGATAGTTGTGACAAGGGCGAATGATTATCATGAGCATCGTATAAAATACCAGGCACTTGTTGAGAAACACGAATTTTGTAAGGTGTGTGCACGGTACGTGCTGTGTGTGCTATGGCATGCGTGTGGTCTGTGGTGAGCTATGTGTTTTCTCTGCGGCTGCAGGTGAAGTATAGGGAGCAGCTGGGGAGAGGGACGGCTATGATGCTCACCCCGGAGATGGAGCGGGTCCGCAGAAACCAGGCCAACGTGTCTGACGTACGCAGGACCCTCACACGCGCAAGGGCTCACACACACCTTCTCTGAGCTGAGGGCAATGGTGTTTAGTGACTTGTCATTATTAGCGACCTGTATAGCCAAATGATCATACAATACGCAATAAATAAATCATGACTTCTGTTTCAGAATTACCACTATTCAGCAGAACATTGTTCGTCTGGCGATCTATATAATTGTTTGTTTCAGGTCAAAAAAGTAATTCCATGAATCTATGTGTACCCTTTATTTACTTTAAAAAACATATATAGTAAATGCTTATTTTAACGTTCGATGGTACTTTGCTGTGCAATTGAAGCGTATTGTGTGTGCCATGTGTGTGCTTATCCTATGTGCACTGTATCTGCGCGTTGCTGTGGGGTGCATGTTGCCTGTCGTGTGGCGAATGTGGTGTGGATTGTGGGCGTGCTGTGTTGCTGTTGTGCTGCGTGTTTGTTGTGGGGCTGCAGGTGAGGTACAAGGAGCAGTTGGGGAGGGGCACGGCTGTGATGTTCACCCCGGAGATGGAGCGCGTCCGCAGAAGCCAGGCCAACGTGTCCGACGTACGTGGGACTCTCACACGCACGCACACACACGGAGTCAATTCGTGGGGCTTGCAGGGTCATTTTGTATCTGCAGACCGGTCGGTAATGCAGTGTGGATGACAACGACTGGGGATGCAGCTATGTACAGGTTTTGTGGGGGCAGTGATGTGGCCCAGCGGTAGTTCGCCACTTGTTATAGAGGTTCGTGGTTTGATTCCGGCAGGCCGCCCTGGTTAATACTGTGATATGTGTTACGCATAAAACATATCTACGTTAAAGATCACGTGATGTCATTCGAAGAGTAGCCCATTGTGTGTAGGCATTATGGTCCAAATTAGATTTTTTTTTTTTAACATAGCATTTGTTGCCTCCTACTGTGAAAAGTTGCAGAATCTTCCAAAAAATAAGTAGTGAGACTCGGTGAGGCTTTTCTGGGTGAAGAGATTTAATAAATAAATATAACTATTATTGATTTTCGATTCAAAAAATAGTATACGTATTTGTTTTCTCTATATTTTTATGCAACACAACGAACATCCTGTAAAAAGGCTTAAACCTGTCAGAAGCTCTCCCATGAAGGTTTCACAGTCACAAGGTTATTTTGCGTTCACGTGACCCGTGTTCCGTGCAATGTGCCGACGATGCAGATCAAGTACAAGGAGCAGCTGGGGAGGGGCACGGCTGTGATGTTCACCCCAGAGATGGAGCGCGTCCGCACAAACCAGGTCAACGTGTCCGACGTACGTGGGGCTGGGACACACGGGGTCACACGTGCGGTCGACGTGCGGGGCTCGCACAGCCACTCGGGGATATACGCGGGCCTCAGACACGTACGGGGTTTGGCGCGCGGCTCTCAAGGAGATGCGCGTGTCTCAATGCTTCCACTGTTTGGCGGACTGTACGGCCAGAGTGCTGTGAAGAAGAGTAGCGTTGATTCGGTGTAACCTGTGCATAACTCGTGTGGCAACAGGTGAAATACAAGGAAGCAATGCGGAGGTGCATGGCCATATCTCTCACCCCGGAGATGGAGCGCCTCCACCACAACCGGGCCAATGTGTCCGTGGTAAGTGTCATGTGAACACATGACCATTAAATAATTATTTATACTGTCATTGACATATTCCTGCTGAGAACCAGGTTATATCAGTATGTGAATGGTAGTTTTAGCTGTTAAATGCGCTTGTATTTGTGCAGGTCCAATACAAAGAGCGGCTTGGGAAGTACACGCCCGTAAATATACCTTCTGACCTGGAGCGCCTACGAGAGACCGAGAGACACATGAACGCGGTAAGAGATTTGGCGTCGCTTCTCTTGATTGAATCAGTCCTGCTCTCCAGCGCATAATGCACACTCACTGATACTACACAGCTCCACTACAGTGTACAGTGGCACGTATCTAGTCGCGTGCATACCGGAATTTGTGTGCTCGCCTGTGCAGGCTCATTATAAGGACCTGGGCCGATGGGATCAGCAGGGCCGCTCCATGTGTCTGCTGGACACGCCTGAGATGCGACGCGTGCGTCAAAACCAGCGGGACATCTCCATGGTGAGGCCAGTGAGGGGGACTGCAGGACGCCCCTGGTTCTCCTGCATACGCACACGGCGCCCGTATACCGTCACAGAGCCTGCTTGTCGTGACCCGGGATTGAATGGGTATCTTCTTGTCACAGGTTAAATACCACGCAGACTTCGAGCGCAGCAAAGCGCGTGGCTTCACGCCAGTGACGGACGACCCCATCACGGAGCGCGTGCGCAAGAATACGCAGGATGTGAGCGACATCACCTACAAGGGAATCACACGGCGTGTCGTGGAGATGGAGAGCACCTCAGCTGAGCAGGGTGGCACCACAGGTACCTAGCCTCTGGGGCCTGGCTCCACGCTGCTTCACAGCCTCCTCTCTGCTTCACAGCCTCACAGTCTGCAGCGACTGCGTTTAGTCAGAGAAGCCTTGCCTGGGAGCGTGCTCACCTCTTATTTTCTCCGCGCGGCAGACTTGCGTGTTTGGCGAACGAACCCTGGCTCCATTTTTGACTACGACCCTGCGGAGGACAACATCCAGTCACGGAGCCTGCGCGTCGTCAGCGGTGGGCAGCTCACTTTACGGCCACCGCAAACGCATGGCATTCACTCACTCTATCGGTTCACGTTGATGCTACTGATTTTGAGGGGGGCACAGGTCCACTTTTGGAGTGTACTGTTCCCATTGGTGGCGCTAGTAATGCACTCACGGCCATCACACGTATGTACATAGGGAGAGAATAACTGGAAGTATGATTTGTCTCCGATATAATGTTTTTTCCTTTGCTTTGCCTGGAGAGAAGATTCCCAGATACAATATGTGCATGTAGTGGTGTGTGAATACACACGGTGGTGTGCATGCCATACCACACCACGGGTGTACATATGCCATGTTTGTGCAGCTCCTCATAACAGCAATGTGCCTTCCGTCCTCTGTGCCCGACTCAGTTCAAGCGAAGCGGTGTGGCCGGGAGTACCCACGCTCCCTCAGTGCCCTGAGCACGAGCACGGGCGATGAAAAGTCGGAGATGTCGGGCCCCACGCGCACAGCCTCGTTCTGCAGCAACACGTACTCCAGCCAGCCGGCGGTGCAATTCCAAGGTGACGACGTCCTGATACTCCGCTTGCTTGCACGCAAACCCCCTGGGATCCTGAATTCCCACTCATTAATAAGAATGCGGTGGTTGTGTGCAGTTTCTCAGCAGGTACAAACCGGCCACTCAGAGGGCACCCAGGATCAGAGTGGCCATGCCGTGGGCAGCAGGGTGCAAACTGGCTACTCAGTGGGCACTCAAGGTCAAAGTAGCCACTCGGTGGGCAGCAGGGTGCAAACTCACTACTCAGTCGGTACCCAGGGTCAGAGTGGACATTCCGCGGGTACCAAAGCACAAACTGGCTATTCAGCGGGCTCCCAGGGTCAGAGCGGGTACTCTGCAGGCACCAGAATGCAAACTAGCGACATCGTGGGGAGACAAGGTCAGAGAGAACAGCCGGTGGGCACCAAGATGCAAACCGGCTACTCAGTGGGCGCTCAAGATCAAAGTAGCCGCTCAGCGGGCGCCAGGGTGCAAACTGACTACTCAGTGGGATCCCAGGGTCAAAGCGGGCATTCTGCAGGCAACAGAATGCAAACGAGCTACATCGTGGGCAATCAAGGTCAGAGTGAACAGATGGTGGGCACCAAGATGCAAAGTAGCTACTCGTTAGGCACTCAAGATCAAAGTAGCCACTCAGTGGGCACTAGGGTGCAAACTGGTTACTCAGTTGGGACCCAGGATCAGAGTGACCATTCTCTGGGCACCAGGATACAAAGTGGCTACTCAGTGGGTTCCCAGGGTCAGAGTGGCCACACAGTGGGCACTCACGGTCAGAGTAGCCACTCGGTGGGCACCAGGGTGCAGACTCACTACTCAGTGGGTCCCCAGGCTCACAGTGGCTATTCCACGGATTTCAGAGGGCAAACTGGCCACCCTGTAGGCAATCAAGGTCAGGGTGGTCACTCGGTGGGCACCAGGATGCAAACCCACTATACGGTGGGCACCAAGGTGCACACTGGCCAGTCGGTCGGTGGCTACCTGATGGGCAGCCAGATGCGGAGCAGCTCCTCCATGCAGACGGCGTTCCTGGCATCGGCTGGAGTCAACGTTTCTGCCAGCCATCGCCAGCTCTTGTCGCCGGTCTCGTCCCACCTGTCCTCGACCTCTGTGAGTGCCACAACATCCATGCAGGCACCGTGGAGATAGAGAGCGTGCCCACGTGTGGAATAGTCACTCGCGGCGTAACTCAACGGTGTTCTCCCCTCCCCATGCGTTCCAGAGAATCTACCGAGCCGTGTACGAGTACACGGCCGCAGACCGTGACGAGGTCTCTTTCCAGGACGGGGACGTCATCGTTAACACCCAGCAAATCGATGAGGGCTGGATGTACGGCACGGTGCAGCGCACAGGCATCTCCGGCATGCTCCCGGCGAACTACGTGCAGGCCCTGTGAGCCACCGCACGAGCTGCAACACTGCCGCCTTCTTCTTCATACGGGCTTACCTCCACCAACCTCTCTCATCGTCAGCCACAAAAGCAACAGCTTTCTTCTACACAAAGGCTTCACAAACATGGCGAATACATTCTGAAAGTACACGTGTCCCGGTTTAACAACCAGTTTAACAACATGGACAGTCTGGCAATTATCACCTGTGCTCGAGTGTAAGGAAATCATTTGTACAAGATCTGGTACCAGTATTGTGTTGAACTTGATTCCAGTATTATGCACAGTTTTGATAGAGCTAGGCTGACTGAGAAATGTCTGGGTTTGGTATGTTGAAAAGGTGGCAACTCCTAAGGTTACCCTCAGCTACAAATCTGAAGACGTATTAGTGAGCATAGATAACGTTTTGCTGCGAGTTTGGTCAGCACATTTCGACACAGTTGTGGTCACCTGCGTGTGAACCCTTGTTGCATGGTGGTGGCTGTGAACAGCGTTTATGTGTTCTAATAAAGCCTGATCTCCAAGCTATTGTGTAGCTGTGCTTTGCTTTGCGCCAGGTGTTCATTACAGGTACTTGTGTTCCCACTCAACTTATCCAGACAGAATGCAAGGCAGCGCACGGTAAGAGGCCTCATCAGGAGGATTCACAAGACGTGGATTTACTCTGTACAATTCAACTTGCCCGGGACAACAATTTCAGCACTTGTTCCCAGGGCTCTAGCTTTTATAAAGGTCTCAAAACCTTTCGTTAATAACTCAAAAGGGTTAACCCCTGAGTGACCCCTGCTGTGCTGCGCTGTTTGCCAGGGTATGCGACCCACAGAGGAGCCAGAGATTAGGTTTCCATCTGCCCGGGTCTGTCCCGTAACGTGACTTGCACCAAGGCTGTCTTCTTCATATGGGCTCACCTCCACCAACCTCGCTGGTCATCAGTCACGTGGGTTTGACTCCCAATCGTCTGGAAATTGGCATCTGTTCTGGTGGCAGGAATTGATTTGTACAGGTATCTGGTTCTGGTTCAGTATTGTGTTAAACTTTATTACGGGATACTGCAGTTTTGACAGACCTAGTGCTGAGAATACATCCAGGTGTGTGCTGCAATGTAAAAGGTGTCAATCTTTGCCAGAGGCCATTCCTAGCTATGGGCTGTGTACCTGTGCTTGACTCTATTGGGCCTTGCACCTATATAAAATCATGTATCTGAAGAAACATTTTTCTGAAGAGTGAAAAAAATTGTGTTCACTTCAGATGACAGCAGCATTATTGTATTTTAAATAAAAAATACCATATTTTAAAATGTTACATATTTGACCTAAAAAAATTTGATTTTATGCACGCAATTACTTTATTTGGTGATACTGCCTTGGCAGTGGTGCACAACCAACAAATAACAAAAAAACCTCAACGCATTAATCAATAATAGTGGCCTTAAAAGGAAAGTATATAATCGTAGACTCGTAGGAAATGACGCTTCTTCAATTCCCAGAGTGAACCCACTCTACCCACCCTCTCTGATCTATTTTATGTTTTGAGCGGCCATTGTCACTTTATTTTTATTATGATTTTTCTATCTACGTGACTTTACCGAAAGAACCAAAGAATATATGG